GGGGCTCGAAGTACCTTCGAGAAAAGTAGTGAGAAATCACTGATTTCTCACTTTTGAAAAATTCTCACTCTGGAAAGAGTGAACGCGACTCCGACTCCGGAGTGAGAATTTTTCACAAGTGAGAAATCACTGATTTCTCACTCCGTTTCTCGAAGGTGTTCGAGAAACAGAGTGAGAAGTCAGTGACTTCTCACTTTTCCCAAATGAAAACTTTTCAGAAGTGAGAAGTCAGTGACTTCTTACTTTTTCAAAATGGAAACTTTTCAGAAGTGAGAAATCAGTGATTTCTCACTTTTCTGATTTCTCACTTTTCCAGAATGAAAATGCTTCAGAAGCGGGAGGTCGCTGACCTCTCACTCCGCTGTTCGAAGCCCTGCGGGAAACGGACCGGAGTCGAGTGAGAAGTCTTCCAAAATGAAAACTCTTCCGAAGTCAGAAAGCGCGTTCTCCTCGTCCCGTTTCTGGACGGAATGTAGGCCCCTTGTTTCTCAAAAAGAAACAGCTTCAGAATGAAGGCGGGTCCTTCGTGGCCCACGCGTCCACGCGCGCCCTTTGCGACGTTCTCGCGCTGCTACCCCTCGAAAGTCTTCGGGGAAGTTCTCCGGCTATCAATTCTATTAGAGGGTTGCGAGTCATGGAAAGATATTTGAAAAACTATGCTCCGAGGAGCGGGCCTGGGGGAGCTACAACAAAACTAAGCTTTCAGGTTTTAGATATCACTCAAGGTAGGTTTGAGAAGTGCAAGGTGATCACATTTCATCGCCTATACCGTGGCAAGTGCTTCGAAAAAACACAAGCCGCGACCACGTCTGAAAAAGGTACAGACGATTTCTACGTCGGGAAGATAGTGACTAATATTAAGAAAAGCGCGCGCCTCTCATTTCGAATCACTAAGAAAAGCGCACGCCTCTCATTTCGAAAGCAAAGTCTTATATCGCGTATACCGCGCTAAGCGCTAGGTTGCAGAAGATCAAAAAAAGCCGATGCCTCGCCTGAAAAAGGTCAAGGCGAGTTTTAGGTCGGGGAGTTATTGTTTATTAACGAAAGCGCACACCTCTCCTAACGAAAACTGCAGGCGATACGTTTGAGATCCTGGAAAAGCCGAGACTTTTTGGACTTTCGCTGCCGTTAATGAGTCTGCTTTTCCACCATAGCATCGGGACCAGGCGAGCATGATGGATTCTCAGAGCTTGAGGAACTTTGACTACGAAGTGCGAAGCTTATAACTCGTTCCTCGGCCCTTACCTGGCGACCAGGTTAAAAGCTCTCTCGGTCCCCCAGCAAACAACGATGGCGTTAGGATGAGAGGCCGCACACGAGGTCAGCCGTCTCTCTTCACCACTCAATCGGGAAGTTGAAAAAAAGGAAAAAAAACAAAGCCAAACGCAGCGCTCGTTTGACTTTTACACCAGCGCACTCCTTACTTCACCAAAAACACTACCTCGCTGCTGCCTCCACAAAGATATTTACACAACTAGAGGCATACTACAGGAAACGCACGACCTTTTTTATTTTGATTGAGATAGCAACGAACTTTGAACGAACAGAACGCGGGATATAGTTTTTTTTTTGCACGAATATACTAACGAACCATACTGCTAAAAGAGGAAAGCGTCATAGTTGGTGAGACTTATGCAGAGAAGGACGAAACTCAAACTACCAAGACTCTATCTCCCCCAGGACAACCTAACCACAACAAACGCACATATCTCTGTCTATATACTAACTAGAAAAAACGACATCTACTTCACAGCGCTCAGAGCCTTCGCCACAGCGCCTTCACAACGACTTTTCTTCTTTTTTTTCGGGTTCCGAAGATCCTGAGTTTAAACTTGAAACGTCCAAGATCCTGACTCACTTGGGAGCGAGTAACCGACCGAGCGACGTGACGAACTCGGCCACTGCCAACACCGATGAATTTGCAAGAGCTCCAGGGGGCTGAACACGCTCGCGATTCTGCCTTTTCCTGCCAATGGACATGGATGCAGGAGGCCGCCATCCGAATTTTTCCGCTCCACACAATTGTTGTTGTACGCACACAAAAATGCTTGATATAGTACATCTGTTGAAGCTTTCGAAAAATTCCAATTGATAGACCTTTCGTTCGAGGGATTGTATCTTATTATGTACATCTGATGAAGCTTGGTAATTCCGAATAATTGATATCGTGCATCTGAACCTTTCCGGACGCAAGATTTCGGAGCAACGAGATTGCGTCTGTCTTCAACTGTTCTTTGATTTGATTACTTTTCCGCCCGCGTGATGGAATGCTGGCTGTAGTTCTTGTGCCAAACTGACGAAACTCCGAAGCGTTGTAAATAAGTAAATTTGATTGGTGCAAGCTAGCGATGCCCATGCCAATATAGCCAAGTCAGTGCATGACATCCCGCGGCCTTCATGTTGTCCCAAACGGAGGCGCAGCGTCATGCGTGAAGATTTTCTTCCAGCCATCGCCACATGCCCCCGTCGCTTGTATAGTCCATCAGCGCAGCCCCGGTCCACCAGTTTCTGTAGTTTCAATTGTTTTTTTTTGTGATGTTTCTAGTATACATCAATTGACTTTCCCGGACACTCAGTGTCAATGGTGGTCTTCAAATAAAAGAAGTTTAGACTTACACGGACTCGCTCGTCGAGCAGAAGGCGAAACATTTCGAACACTTAGAATGCGGAGTCCTTTTATGGAGTGCGAATGACCATGCTTTTTTGGAACTAAACAAAGACTCGCGCACTTACCCCGACCCTGCCTGTTCGTCGAACCGCTTTGCGCAAAACAGCCCGACATTGGTCCCGAGAACCCCCAGGAGAAAGGAGCGGCACTGTGCGCTCCACTTCAGGAAGAGGACGATCAGCACAAAAACCGCTCGAAGCCCCCACAGCAGAAAGAGCACGCGCGAGTCACTGTGGTGCACCGAGATTGCTTTGTAGAGGAAGATCCGTTCGACGCCAAGCCCGATCTCGAAAAAACTCCCGAACAACACAATCGCCGAATGCAACTATCAACGAGAAAAAATATCAAGCAACAATTTCTTCAGGGAGACGATGGCGCAAGACCTGGACGGAAGCGAGGGCTTCAGAGTGGACCACGCGCAAGCGGGAATAAAATATCACTTTCACGAGCACGCGTGTTCATGTCACGCGAACGCTATGTAGTTCTAGCGTTGGAAGAACAAGCGCAGTCCGACTTTGGAAGACATTGACCATAAAGTACACCACAATGACACCAGTAGATTCTTCTCGGGCGATAGCAATGCAAACTGCTTGAAAAATTCGATGCTTTCCCGACATCGTTTGGACGGCTCGGCGCGCACCGTGGTGCCTGAGCAGGGGTCTCCATGGTCGAGACGGCTTGTGCCACGGGTTGTTGCGGAGGCGAGCAGAGAGCTTTCTGCAGCTACGAGATCGATGCCGCCATCAAATGCAAAATGTCTGGGTCTGGGACTCTGCAAAGCTTGCCATGCACCATGGCACTCTGGTCTGTCAATGCATGCTCTAGCATCGGGTTTTTAATGCCTCTCCTGCATGACAAATGCGCTCTCCGTGTAGAAAAAACTGCTCTGCAATACGGATTCTCTTTTCTTTCCCTTTGAAATCTGAGGCAGCATCACCATCGAAACTCTTCCAAACCCAGACTGACACGTTTGCAACGCATACCCTCTATCTGCTAGCGGCGGAGCCACTCGTCCAGAAACCACTTCTTGCCTTCCTTGTTCCAGGGCGTGGTTGCTATCGCAATAAAATTTTTGAGTCAAGGACCACAGCAAACTCGTGCTTTTGGAGCATTTCATTTTCGAGAGCGCCAGCAGCTGTGGCAACACCCCCATGGTCGTCTGCAACCACGACGAAAACGATTTGCCTGTGGCTGACAAACGAACGAAGCAGCTTATGATGGGAATGCAAAAAAGTAGAATCGTCAAAAATGCCGGCTGCCAGGACTCAAGATTTCGTTGCCATAGGTCACAGAGGGTTCCCCCGCGACGTCGCCCCCTAATCCACGTTCCTGCGAAACAGGAGTCGTCCGCGCTGCTTGACCGCTTTCCTGCGAAGTTCCTATGTCAGCCGAAGAAGAGGAAGCAGGAGTGACAGGCGCTGATGGTTTATCTGCAGAAGATGCTGCAGCTGACTTCCTGCTTCTGCGCGCCGTGTCCAACTTCTCGATCGCGATTTTGTCGCGAAGCAACTCCCTTCTGTCATGTGCGGTCACACGTCTTGGGGTGCTTTTCCGCGGAGTTGCGCTCCGTGAGAACAACAAGCTGCTTCCGGGGCCGTTATTCCGCAAGAAGATTGATTCTTTGCTTTTGTTCTTCGTACTGTTCAGAGCAAAAAACTTCGCCTTCTTACTATTCAAGGCCAGCTGCTCGTCTTCATTCTTGCTCTCGTCCGGACCTGGAGTTGAGCCGTTTAATTCCAAGTCGATCTGCGCAACTGAGTTCATCTCCTCCATCTCCGCCTCTGCTTCGAGTCCATACTGGAAAACGTCCGCAGCGACTTGGCGCTTGTTGATGCTCTGCTTCCTGTCTCGCAAAGGCGAGGCGGGTGGTGGTAGTTGTTTCGCACCATGGTTATCGCGATGCTGCAGACGGGGCTGCTGTTCTGCTGCTGCTGTGCTGTTCTGCTTCTGGTGGATCTCCAGTGTGTGGAGCGCCTTTGCGTCCTGTTTCTTGGTGCGGACCGCAATCGGCATACTGCTCTCTTTAATGTCGTCGTCCAGGAGATCATCGAAGCTGGCGATCTCTGCAGCAACGTCTTCTACTCCATCACCATGGATTTCATCATCATCATCATCATCGCCATCATCTTTTTCTTCCGCTTGAAAAAAATGATCTTCATCTTCATCATCATGAGCGTGGTCCTCATCGCCAGCTTTCGCCGCTTCACTCCCCTGCTCCGTCGCGCGAATAGCTGGCCCCGGATGCTCTCGATACCTGTAGTCGCGTTGCCATTGCTCGAACCTGGTCTGGAATGCTGATGCCCCTTGACGGTTGTTGTTTGTCTCTGCGGTGAGAGGCTTGCTGGACCAATACCGGAGCCGCTCGCGCCTGGCGTGGTTAGCTCGAGTGTAGTCCTTCCAGGCTTCCGTCACAGTCTCGCCGTCGGACTCGTATTTTTCGGGCTTAGCAAGCTGGTCCTTCTCGCGTTCGTTTTCGAAATTGAACAGAAATTGCGGCATGAACACGCCCTTCTCAAAGCTGTCTTTTTTTTGTCGACGCCGTACTGCAGGAGCAGGTCCCTCATCAGCAGAAGCGGCATCCAGGGCCGCATTGTTCACGTTGCCGGGTGGTGGTACTGCTACTGAAGAAGCTGCGCCCTTGCTGCGACCATGACCAACGGAGGCGGATGATACAACCTTTTTCACCGACTTGGAGCTTGTTGCGGTTCCGGAGCTACTACTGCCAGCACTGGATTTGTTCTTGACGTCAGTACTTCGTCCGCGTGTCAATGCTGATGGCGCTATGCCACCCGCTTCCTTGTTTTTGCTTTTGGTTGCGGCATTGGCGCGATCTGAGACGAAGATAGAGGATGAGCTGCTAGACGAGGGATGACTAGTGGCGGGGTTTTTCTTGAACACGGCCGCACTCTTTCCCTTGGAGCCGTCCTTGCATCTAGTTGCTAAAGCCGCGGCTGCTGCAAGTTCGTCGCGTGGATTTTTTTTCTTCTCTGTCCCGCCAGACGGTGCCGTAGAGAAGATTTTAGTAGTATCCTGCTGCGCCGGCACCGAGGTTGCTGCGGCGTCCTTGCCTTTTGCTGAGAGGTTACGGGACCCGCCCGCGGTCCTCCGGTGAGCCGATGAGCTTCGCGCACTGGCCCCCTTCTGTGGCTCTTTAGGTGGCATGTTGCGTCCCTATTTTTACTTTCGGCCGACGGAGAAAAAGATTCACGTGCTCGCTCTATCTATGAACCTAATCTAGTCTTCTGTCTCGATAATTGATGCGTGTTTACATCCCGAACGTAAACATCAACGTACCAGACAAAACAAAAACATGTCGCTCGAATAGAAGTTTACGACCGAGTTTAGTACGAGAGTTGTCCATTTCTGCTTGGGCCTCTTCGATGTTACTCAGGAGGCAAGAGTCTTTCGATTTGTCAGACGAGCTCCTTTCATACGGGCAAGAGAGTTTGTGATTGTGTTTGACAATGAGTTCATGCAATTCCAAGTTGCGGACTTTTTGTTTTTCAACAACAACGCCTCCCAATGTAGAACCCCCACGAAAAAGCAAATACGACTACATGCTGGCTAAGTTTTCAGTTTCTCGCCATGTTTGGCGGGCTGACAAATTCCGAGTTCAGCGCAAGGCGCATATTTACAAATGGGCGACTTTTTTGATTTTTCTATTTCCTTCTTGCGATCGACGACGTCACTGCGGCCAAACGAAGGGTCCGAGTTTACTACTCTTTCGCAAGCATACCGCGGGGATGAACGCGCACTATAAAAAAAGCTCTCACTTCTTGGCTACCAGCGCGCCTTTATTGGGCGGGGATGTCCACACTTTTCCACCTTCGCTCGGCGGGGCGCCGCGCTTTTGGCGCACGCGGCCGACCCCGGTTCCAGCTTACACTTAGGAAGCCCTTCCCTCGATGCTACAATGAACTGCCTCACTGTGGGGAGGTGGCGCCCCTTTGTTCCATCTATATCTCCCTCACGGTAATCCGCCGTCGGTTCCTTGCTCTGCAAACGGGAAGTGGGTTCCGGTTCGCCGGGCTCGGGGCCAAACGCAATGGGTCACCGATTCATTTTTGTCGAAAATGAAACTCAAAGCACTTCATCCCTCGTGTGTTTGCGTTTCTCCGCTTATCCGATCTCTCGCCGACGAGTGGCGCTGTCTCGGCAATCATGCTTCGGGAGAACACTTGGCTCTATGTTCCGCGACCGCAACGTGAGAGGAGAATTGTGATTATCTCACTCTGTGGTTCTACAAATAAAACCCAACTTTGATACAACCGAGCATTTGCATCTATTTAGTCTTGAACTTAAAAGCGAGCGGTCCGGATGGCATACATAGGTACATCAACATCAAACATCTACGTTTGTGAACAATGCTGGCGCTGTCTAGTATTTCATATGATTTGTGTTGTATACCAACTATCTGGACCTGTCAAACAACCACTCAACATTTTAAATCAGAGACTCAGCAAGAAGCGAGGAGAACCAGAACATCACCAAGATGCCAGAGGTTAGATGCGGAACCAGTCAGGTTCCGATGCAGTATAGATACGTCTTGTACAACTTCAAGCACTTCTTGCGTACTCCTTTTTCGCTTGATGCCGGGGAGCCACTTCATCCGCTTTCCGTTTGAGTACAAAGTTTGCTAAATGCACTTCTCCATGATCCTCGAAACTATACGTTTTTGCATGCGGAGAGGTACATGGAGGCGCAACAGTCGAAATACATTATACACGTTTGAGAGGTGGGGGGAACAACAAATGTTCAGCTGCTCAGAAGCACTAGTACAACTTGGAATGGTCTACTAGTACTAGTTGCACTACAGACCGAACTAAGTAATTTTACATTGGTTCTGCACTGGCTTGCACAAGACTTTAGACGCAGTTTCCGATCCTAATTTAGTCCAGTTCTCCGCCCAATTGATTACCAACTCCCCCAAAGGGTGTGAACGTCGTGCCGGTATTGCTGGCATTCGTATTTTGTGGCGCACCTGCGCTCTGGCGTTGGTTCAGCCGCTGCGTCTGCTCTGCTGTATAGCTCGCTTAAAAACTTCCACAAATCTCGCTCTACTTCTGCTGTTGTGGGAACCGGCACTCGTCTATTTAGCGACACAACTTAGCTACCATCTGCAAATTGTAGTTCTTTGTAGCTCTCATTACTGAATTCAAATTGTTCTCAGAAAAGTCCCTTCGCCCATCAAAATCAAAGCAATGCAAATGGAAATGCGTCGTTAGAATTATATAACAACAAAAAGCCGATCGAGATTCGAAGAATATTTTGTCCCCGCGACGTATTGCTCTCGCTGCTCTTGTATCGCAATCGTTTTGGAAAAGAAAAACCGTAGATGCGCAGCAACATGACCATCGTCTTCGTCACATAGCAGTGCTGAATTTCGCATACGTGATCTTCCGCCTGTGATGCTTACTTAAACAAGCGAGCATGTTGCTGCGGATCAAACCTTGATCCGCAGCTGCGGATAAAACCTGTGATCTCAGACGTACAGCAAGATGTAGATGAAGAATTTTTCACATATTTCTGATATAAACACATCATGAAGACGCTTCTGTCGCTGCGCGCCCACAACTCTTTTCACTTTCATATTATTTCGCACCTGCTGGTCTGCCGCCATATCGTCGAGGGTATCCATCACCTCGTTGTAAACCTCATAAAGTAAGAAACATGTCATTAAAATTCGTCACCTTTAGCACCTTTAGAGGCAATAAATAAAGAAAGATCGTCCGTTGACGTGGTGTACAAAACATCAGCATGATCAGTAGGTACTTACCCGATAGGTGAGCCCGGCGACGCACAACATCGCTACGGGACTTGCGATGCGGATCAGGGACTTCGTGTTGTGGACCCAAACGCCTTTGTCCCGCAGTTGGTCGTTGCTCGTGACGAAGAGCGGCTCGGACATGGGACGCACGACTCGATCAATCAGCAACACCACCGTAAGAACCCCATTGATCATGCACACCATGCCTGCATTAAGATTCAGTTTGAAAATCCATTTCTTCAACATAATGCATTCGATTCACCACCGACCTGTTCCCTTTTAGTTGCTTCTACCGAGTGAAATTATGGTCTCTATGTAAGATCTGTGGGGTCGTACAGCGAACTTCAGAGCGTCATGCTTGCGCTTGACAAAAAATGTGAATGAAGCATCTCGCCCTGCCAAGTACATACTTACCCCAAGTCATGAGACAGTGCATGTCGACGGACTTGTCGCGCAGGCAGTAGAACCCCACGCCAGCCAGGATCGCCACCATGAAATATTGAGAGGAAAAATCCCCCCTCCCCATATTGAAAAGGTATGTTTCCAAAAATTTGCGTTGCGGATTTGAGGTCACAAATCACATCTGTCTTGCAAGAAGACAAGGCCAGAAGCTTCCGCCCCATTGTGGAAGCGATTTGTCATGCTGTTGGGCCTAAAGGGGGGCCGTTTGCCATGCTGAACTACTAGACCCATACGCCCCTACCTAGCCTGGGGATCTGGCCGCAGTGCCTCTCTGCAATACAAAGCTGATTTGTGGTCACAAATGAGCATCACAAATTTCCGTTTTGATATGGGGAGGGGGGATTTTTCATTTTGATATGAAACCCGGAAAAATCTCGAGATCCAGAAACATCTTCTGGATGGATTCGACCAGCATGACAAACGCGAAAACGGTGAACCAGGGACGACATTTTAGTGCGTACTCGGAAGGCACCGGGGTGATGTAGATTGGCGGCAGGGGCACCACCATGCTGAAAAATTACTCGGAGGAGGTTGTTTGCTGGCAAACTGCGCTACGTCTCGCTCCTGGACGCGCGGCACAATAACGAGAGGACTCAAATCAAGTTCCCACTTTCTTACAAGTAGTTACGAAGAGAGAGAGGGGCACGAGTTTCGTCACACCAGGAGCGAATCTTTTTCATGCCGCGTACCCAACCGGCGACGTAGCAGAGAAATACCAAAAAGTATAAAGTATGCTCTTGATTTAAGTATATATGAATATTGCGGGCAACTTATATTTTTTTAGGGTTAGTTTTGCCTTTGCTAAAAAAATCCGAAACAAAATGGCGCCTTCCATAAACAACTGCGACAGGCAGCATGCTAAGCACGAAACTACATTTTTATGAAGGCAAGAACGGTGAATAAAGGATAGGCCGAAACCCAGGGTGCAGGCCTCCATTTTCCTCACGGTCACGACATAAACCTAAACGAGAACGTATGACTCCAACCTACAACGAACTTTCTGTGCAGCAGAAACCACGGCACTGGTGAAACTGAAGACATACCCACGATTTGTAGAGAAACGAGTCTCAAGGATCGCGTCAGCATAGACGAAAAATCGACATAGTAGAAATTACCATAGTTCCATGTTTTCATCCATCACGATCACACGATTGATTGGTATGATGCTCTAGCTGTTCCCGTTGATCAGACTTGCAAGACGAGATGAAATGAAAACGATTTGTGACGACCCTGGAACAGTGCTCACCAGAAGCAACGGATCCATGCACAAATGCACAGCGACACACAACGGACATCCGATTTTTCAGCACTCACCAAAGATCTGAAACGAATAAGTAACGTTGAGTCGACGCCAATACTGAACACATCTTATCCGTGGTGGCTCGTTTCCTTTCGAATTTGACAGCACATGCAACGTGCTTGGTATCTGATGAAGACTGTATTCTACAAAACAATCTTTGCCAATCTAGGGAAGCAGAGATCCCGTTTCTACTTCTTGTGGCACGAGTAGAGTATTTATCATAGAAGAGCAGTGGTCGCCGTACCAGATATTCTTGACCTCGCGAATAGCTCCCGCATTGCTGACATTGTGCTGTTACACAGGCGCCGCGGCTTTCTACATGCAGTTGAGTTGCGTGTGCAGCCGCGCGGAGGCGGAGGATAAGGGAAGAATAGCTGGATGCAGCGATGGCCGCTATTGCTGTCTCTGGGGGGCGCAGACGTCAAGTAGATAGTAGAGTCAAGCGCGCCAATTTTTACAAAGGAGACAGAGAAGCAATATCGCTATGATATTTCTACGGGCGGATTTTGGAAGCATACACAAACATCGCGACAATGTGAATTTTGAACAAATCATACATCGAAAAAGGGCTTAATACAGGTAAAATGAATTACAAAGTAGACAGGCGAAAATACATGAAAAAATCTACATAAAATCTGGCGTACAATGGAAAACAAGGGCATGAGTGTCCATCTCGAGCTGGATTACAGAGTAGCACACATCATGTCAGTTTTTGATCAAGGTCAACAAAACTCAGGCACTATTTTCATCGTTGCTCTGGGTACCCCCGAGTGTGTTGCCCTTGCCGACGAAGGGTGTAAATGTGGAGCCGCTCTGAGACGCTCCCGAGGTGAGTCCGGTGGTCTCTCCTGCCCCGTAGGACGCGCTTGCGACGTTGCCGGCGGCGGCTCCTCGCTGTCGGCTGTGGTAGTTGTCGACCATGAAGCTCTCGTCCGTCGCGTCCTTGTATACCTGTGCGTAGCAACAGACAGAAGCATAGGATAGTCCCTCTCAACCTCGTGTTAAAGATTGGACCTGATCAAGCAGGAGATACAGAACTTCTCCTATTCCTACCAAAAAACAAGTTCAAGTATGAGAAACAGTGGCGATCATCTGATGTTGCTGCTAGTTGGTAAAACTCAGTAATTTACCTTGTAGACCAGGTAGGCACTACACAGTTCGGCGGTTGGTCCCGCGAGTATGAGAAAATGGATGGTGTTGTACAGAAAAGCCTTCTCCACTTGGAAGGAGAACAGTGGGCGGTCCATCTTCACTGCTCGGTCGATGAGAAAAACGGTGTCGAAAACGCCATTTACGAGGCAGATCATCCCCCAGGTCATGAGGCAGTTCATATCGATGGACTTCTCGCGGAGCGTGTAAAACCCGACGCCGCAAATGATCAGCATCATAAAACCCGGAATAATGTTCAGGAACATGAATATCTGCACCATACCTGAAAAAATTTGTATTTTTTGTTGTTTTATTACCATATTCGAAAGAACTCAGCTTATTTCACGAAGAAGATCTCAACCAGGAGGACTCTGTACAAAAACCGAACGAGCACGTGCTTCCAAAGAGACCTGAGTCGTGCAGCACGAGCACGACGCCGTCGCCGAATAAAAGTGGCAAAATTATATTACTGCAAACGAAGATAGTCGCCGAGAAAGCCCAGAACCAATTTCTGCTCTTCAATGCGTAGTCCGTTGGGACGGGCGTCACCTGGATACTTGGCATCGGAACCACCATGGTGTCGGAGGTGCTCAAATGGACACTAAACTGTGACTATACGAAACCACGACTCGTGCCCCCCGGGCCTCGTCTTTATCTTCTTTACCAGTTTTTCCCTTTATTTACTTTTTGTGTGGTTGTGTTAGTTTTTGTTGATAGATTTCGATCTAATTCCACGACTTTACGATAGTGCTAACGATTCACTCCCACCGCAACCCGAAACGAGAACGATACGAATACGGAGCGATAGCGAATGATCAATGGCGCTTTCTGATAAAAGCATCGTAGTTGGAGGTGTGACTTCGAAAGGGGGGCAAATGAGAATGAATATTTACCCTGGTTTTGTGTGAAAAGGAATGATTACGAAGGAACTGCAATGAAACGATACGACGACACGAAAATCAGAATCAGTTTGTCGTGATACGAGGACAGCGAAGTTTTGTCATAATTAAGTCGAGTACGAGTCCGATTGCGCGTTTAATTTTTGGTGGGCACGACTCAGGAGAACGGTGTCAACGAGCAGCAGCACAGGAAAATCGTTGATCAGAAGGTCAAAAACGACTACATGCGATGAACGTGCATGCCTCCAATTCAGATGAGCATCCTGAGGGAACGAGACCGACAAAACTTTTAGAAGTACCAGCCAACCGACCTTGCTTCGACTACGGCACCGAATTGAATGCATCCTTTCCTGGCAGTGGCACTCGCGGAGAAGTCACATAAGTACCTCCCGGTAGTAATACTCGCATCATGTCCGAATCCGAAAAACGTTTTTGGCAGCTACCGAATTTTTAAGTATTGACGAGAAGGGAAATCAATGCCTGACATGTCAGCTATCAAAGCGCTACGCAAAAGTCGTGCAGCTTCATCTCCGCCAACCAGTACATAGTAACGAACTGGCTGCTTTCTTCTATCACAATGAAGATCTCAATCACTTTTTTTTACGTCTGTGAATGTATGCAAATACTATTTTTTTACTGTCCCTCATGGGCGGGCGCGGCCAACGCGTTCTCACTTTCGCTAGATTTATCTATAGTTTTCGGTACAATCGGAACCTACGAAACAGAAACCGCTGCAGTGCTTTGCGGATGCATTGCATGGTGAGGTATTGGAGCTCGATGCCATCATCATCAAGGATGGAAATTATCGAATCTTGATCTTACTCAAAGATCTCCTAAAAATTAAACTGCAGCCTGGTCCTTTGGCCGGCGCGAGCCTCCCCCTCCGCCAGCCCGCAGTGACCTTCGCACATGATGCGCAGTAGATCGATTCCTTCCGTAGGGACTCTCCTGCAGCTGTTTCCTTTTCTAAACAAGACGGGGGTCGGTCTGCTGCAGCGTGGCCAGGGAGCAGCTGCACGAACCTCCTGGTCCTGAAGTAGATGAGCTAACTGTCATTAGATTTGTGTGCGTAAAAGACTCGAAGGAACAGCTAGTCCCTGGAACAGGCTGATTTGGAGAAAACAATGCTAGTTCGCGTTGTAGAGAACGCAAGCCCTCAGGTCAACTTTCCCAGTTCAAACTTTCTTTGCACCGACTGCAACCCTGTGTGCAACACGGACTCGACGAGTCCAGCGACAGTGAAGAGGCCTCCCAGGATGGCCAGGGTCTGCACGAAGAAGGTAAAGAACGCGATTCGATGCTCCACGAACTTGACGGCGACCGGCGCGATGCCGTAACGGATGTAAATCCCGGGCGCGTGCGTGTTTTTCAGCTCGTTCTGATTTGACGTGAATTGGTAGACGTCACGCCGCCTTGTGTCATCTTGCGGCCCATCACTCCCACTCGCCGCTCCATAAGAAGAACCTCCTCCCCGATTTCCGTTCCTGCTGCTGGCGCCCAGCTTTTCGTAGCGGGTGGGGACTACATTGCAGTAGTACTCGAAGATTGTCGGTTGCGCGACGGTGTTCACCAGGTCGATCGTACTAGAGGAGGAACTTCCTTCTCCGTTCTTATTTCCCGACACGGACGTCGATCCAGAGGGGACCTTGGCCGCTCCCGGGTCGTGCAGTTTCGCGGTTTGGTCGCTGTTGAACAAGGATGGCCCGTCCAGTCCGGGCAAGTTAAAGAGGCCGCCGTGGTAGGAATTCGGGTCGTACTTTTTCCGCTCGCAGGTCTGCTTCACTCCGTCGAGCGGAGACAGGATCCCAGCGTTCTGAAAATTGTCGACGACCCACTGCAGGTCGCGATCGTCGCCGAAGGAAAGGTGTAGGATCTCGTGTTCCAAGTCCAGATTCTGCAGCCTCTGGTACTTTTGCTCCGTCGACAGGTCCTCCCAACGGACGTCGTTTTCCTTACCGCCCTTCTGTTTGTTCGACGACGAGCCGAAACTAGGACCCCGCCCAAACATGCCGTCATCGTCGAGGCTGATATTTTGTTGTGCGTTTTCAGAGAAAACAACGGTAAAGAATGAACCAGGAAGAACAGAACGAGGTCTGTGTCTGCACTAACGAAAACTTACAAACAAACAGCTTCAAGAGAACGGGAGAAATTAAAATCACGGAAATGCAGAATATATACGAAAGCGTTGGAAAGCCGCCGAGGTAGTGGGTCGATATGTGGATATTTCCTGGGACGCGATTGACTTCCAGAGATCCCTGCAGGCGACACCCTTCCTGGGCAAGAAGCTCCTCCTTTATCTGATAGGTCAGAAGATTTGAGAAATCCAACTTTTTTACATGCAGCAAAACAAACGTCATGTCGATACGGGCCAACGCTACTCGCCAAGTTTGGAAACGCAATGCAAGATATGATGTAAGTAAATGTGGTACGTGATCTTTGTCGTGTTGATGCAGTATGTTCCAATTGTGGCGAGAGAGGCCGTGAAATTTGGACTCGGTCATGTGGTTTCCGTGCACCTCTTCCCGATTCAGAACCGTATTTCCGTCGCGACCGAGCTGCAGCTTGAAGAGCAGTCCGCCAGTGGACAGCTCGTGCGAGCCCATGACGTCCTGTGCGTCCAGGGCGAGCGCTGCGCAGGGCACGCGGGGAAATTTGATGTCCAGGTTTATCCTGAGCTTGTTCCGGCTTGAATCCTCGATATTCTGGTGAAAGTCGTCCACGAACATCTCCGATCTGGTTTGGACCGTCAGAAACTCAGACAAGTTGGACAGAAACAGGTAGAGTGCCACAGTGATAGTTAAAATCGATACAACAGCACCGTGCACACTGCTTTCCGTGAGGTCCTTCGGCACCCGCCGGTACCAATCGAACCGCCGCACCAAGTTGTCCATGCTCCTTGTTGCCGGGGGTTTCGAAGCGCCTGTCAGCGTCGGTCGTGTGTGCGACCACTTCGAGGTAGCGTCATACGCATCAAAGAGCTCTTTCGTGCGTGCTTCGCCACCATCATACTCACCACGCGATTGACATTAGAATCAGACTTGCATGCAATTGCTACTTAGCAAGTATCGAAACTGCTCCGCTGCACTCTCGTCTCGCATAACTCTGACTTCGCGTCCGAGAATGCAGAAGCAGACCAAGTTAGCAAAGACGATATTGCCGTGATAGGCGATAGAAGAAAAACTTATGGCCAATGCGAAAAAAAGTGGATCGGGCTCAGCGTGAGGATCGAGCGATCGTCTGTACGAAAAATAACGGATCGGGTTCGTGTTCAAAAACCAACTTACGAGAAAGGAAACACGAGCAGATTGTCATTGTCCAGATCGAGTAAAGCCGGACGCTTCTATAGTACCAAAGTTGATCGTTGGGCAAAAGCAGAACTGAGCAGTCCAGAGTAACGAATTGCTACTTAGAACATGAACAAAAACACTGCCTATGCTGGCATTATTCATTACACCGCCGAGGCCCAGGACTGTTTCCATCAGAAACATTTCGCTGCACTTCTTCGGTCTGACGACGAGGAGCCGAAGTACATATCAGTTTCAGCAAACACTTTTGTCTAGGGCGATCAAGAACTGAATGTACGACTTTGTCAAGGTTTTGTTCCTTTTTGTAATCGCGAAAACACGTCCATGCTGTAAAGCAATCATCGGACGTTTCTACCTTTTTGTTCTCGCCGTGATGATTGCGCTTTCCAGGATTCAGACGCCCGTGGCTACGCCGCAGCGTGCACCAACACCGCGTATCTTTCCGCCAGGCCTTTTTCGGCTATCCTGTGCAAAATCACCAACATCACCTTCAATTTGCGATGCCAAGATGAACACGTCTAAATTGCATGCTTTCCCTTCCCATCTCAGAGACTTTGGCTTGCATTCATTGGATTTAGACGTTGTCGTGTCCGCAGCGTGACAAATCGCAGGTGATGGCAGTGATTCCACCTAGGATATCCACGTACGCCTCGCTATTCGCGTCTACCAAAGCCGGCGAGATGTCGCTGACCCCCAGGACGTCTTTCTGCAGTATCACACCCTTGTGCGTGTAGTCGCGCAACTGGAGTAACGGTATAGGTTGTTTTCGTTTCATACATACAAAGGAAAATGAGTCCAAACATGCGTGCGTGCCAGAAAGGATTGCTTTTGATGCTGCCGAACCGAAACTAACTAACAAGCAACGCAGACGGAAAGAGGAACAGTTGTCTTCCTCAGCTCCATCTCACGGAGAAAAAACACAACATTTGTCGACAAGCTAAGCGAATTCTGAAATCAGATCCAGATGCCGTTTCTCCAGATGCCGTTTCGCTTTATTCAAAAATAAACGTGCTTACGTTCGAGAACTTCGCCTGGATGGGTTCCAGCATCATGGGGCATTGTTCGGAGAGGCAGAGAATCCAGTCGTAGGGGATGTCTCCGTCTCCTAACCGCGGTGGGTAGTTGTCGGCCCGTAATTGATGCACGTTGTTGAAGGTGATGAGCTCAATGTCGCTGCTGTAGTCGTAAGCGTGGCTCTGTACCCACCCGGTCTCGTTCAGCCACCGACTCAGGTCGCCCGTGCCCGCCCCGAGCTCCAGAATGATGTCGTTCTTGCTGAACACGTGCCGCATGGTGGCCCGCACGAGCTCCCGGTCAAAGTCCGTCTCCTTAAACGTTTGTCGTCGCAGCAGCTCGACGATAGAGAAAACCTGTATAGGAAAAGTATTTCTCGTAGCACACACAAGAAGATGAACATCCTTGACCGTACGCAGAAAAGCACAAACAGGTAGGGAATGTATGTGATCCACGCTCCGTCGCGGACGAGTATCGACTTCCGCGACCCAGATCTGCCTGAGAGCACGAAGGCAGGCCGAAATGAGTGCGAGGAATAAATCTCGAGAAGCACGTAGCAGTTTCCTATTTTACCTTTGGTTTCTCGTGCTTTTCATACGTGAGCGGGTTTTCGTCGCTGATGGTGGAGTTCGGCGGGTTCCAGCCCTCGAAGATGCTTTCCGTCGTGTCCAGATCGCCGCGGAACACCTGGGACGCCTCCATGATCCACTGCGTGGCGGCTCCGCGGTACATCTCCGGGGTGTTTTGCATCAGGTACCACAAATACTTGAGCTGGTTCAGCATCAGCTGATGCACCCGGCGCAGGCTGACAAAGAACAGCAGGTGCACCGCGGGCTCCACGAAGCACTCCTGCCGGATCACGCCCAGCCCCGAGTTCACGTGGACCGAGGCCGACACCAGCGACGCCGCCTTGTTCACGTGCGACAAAATCCAAGGCAAATCTCCAAACCCCTCCGGAAGTTCTGCGTCCGAGACGGACACCACCTCGTCTTGTTCGCCGCCGCCTTCCCCGCCGTCCTTCGCAACGGACTTCGGCGTGGGAACGGTGGTCATGTTGGAATAGGTGTAGAAAAGCTCCTGCTGGATGCGGTCACGCGAATTGTACCTGCAGGTCGGTGTAGATTGTTGCTGTGCCTGAGGATGACGTCGTCACGGCTCTCGCTATTTCTTTGTAAGTAAGTACAAGGACGCTTTGCGTGTTTTGTTCTAGGATGATTTATCGTCATGCATGTGGTGACAAACACAATGTGAACCATGAACAAGTAAATGAAAGTTTTGAATATGACGGTACAGAAACTGCGCGAAGTCTTCGCAAGTCCAAGTTTTGTTGGCCCCGTGCAGCAACTGCTGGTCCCAGTCGACCAGATAGTGTCGCATGCCCCCGATCATTGCATCGGCGGTCAAGCACTGCGGGTTGGCAGCGGAAACCCCGGATAGGCCTCCATGCAGAATAGTGGCAGCTCCAAGAAAGGCAGTGGCCGCGCCGGCTGCGGTCCGTGTTAGAACTCGTTTCCATGATCTGCGTTGGCGCCGACCTGTTTCTTTCATAGCCCCGTTTCTCGATGCTTCTGCATGCCCTTTTCGCCGCATTGTATTTGATGGTTTTGATGACCTTCCACATTGATTCGTGCACGTAAAAACCACCGCTGGGTCGGCTGAAGCCGCATTTCTAGCCAGGGATCCACCTTTATTCAGTACGCAGTGGCTTTTCCATTTCCGGGGCATCCTTGGTCTCACTTCGTCCAGTGATGTTGCCGCGTCTGCAGCAGAAACGTCACAGTCTACGGAAGCAGCAGTGGGAAAATCGAGCAACCTGCCGAAGACAACAGGCCTTGAAGACCCACCACAGTACTCTGTACCCAAGAAAACCATTTGGATTTTTGAAGACGAATATGTAAGTAAAGTATTCCTCAACGGAGCAAAAAGATGCTCTTGCTCCCAGGTTCCGAGGGCGATTTATTGGAAAGCAACCTTGATACCCCGACTGAGACGAGACGATGACGAACGAAGTTCGAGTAAAACAAAAATAAAAAACGACACGACCAACAAGATGGACCGAGACAATGGATCAGATTATTCGATCTCCAAATTAGCTGTCGCGCACGTGGACTCTACTACAAGTGGAAATCTTCAGCGTATTTCCTGCATAGCAGAAAGTCTGAGGAGCAACAACTAGATCAGAAAACACAAAGAAGCGGAATGAAACTGACATGACAAACCAAAAAGCGCGCTGACGGCAAGAAAACAAGAAGAGCAGGTGCCTCGACATCAAAGTGCAGCATGGTACAGAGAATTTTGATGGTAGTGACGGGAAATTTCACGGTGAACATGACCCACCTCCTGACACGGAACATGAGGACTGCGACCCTACGACACCCGATTGCAGACTCATGCTCAGCCTTATTCAGACGGTGCGGACACAACGAAGGCAACGGCACCGTGGCCAGCATTGTGACGCTTTGATTTTCTTCTCTTATTCTTACCAATCTATGTTATATTTTGTTGCTTAGTTTCACTTTTTTCGAAAATGGGAATGGCTTATTTTGACAACAAAAATCGGAAGCGCAAAGATTGTCATTGTTCTCGTTGCACGCCCAGAAGATAAAAGTGAAACATACAGACATGGCGCGATCTCATTACTATGTAACATACTATCTAGACTTCTTATTAATTTGAATTCAACCGCCCTACCCTTACAGCCCAAAACGTGTACGTATCTGGCACGGAAAATGCAGCAAGACATGCTACAGTTCTGGGCTGTCTGACGCAAGGACAACGCGAGCGACCGCGACGTTGCGAATGAGTTAGCATTTGCATTGGCCTTGGGTCCGTCCTCACCCTCGTAGGAAACTTAAAAGGCTTCGTCCTTCCGTCAAATCACGTTTGAATTTCTTTTTCAGCAGCTATCTTATCCCTCGCCGATCGCAAGCATCCGGCACCTCGCCAGCCTCTGCACGGGGTGCCCCGCCGGGTATTTGCGCTCCAGCTGCTGGACCAGAAAAAGGCTGTGCTGCAGCGCCAGATCCCCTGCAAGGTCGTTGGTCAATAGGTCAGGACTGTTCGAACTTGCCTCGGTTCCCCGCTGACAGTATTTCAGATTTTTTTCATCCCTCGTGGGGGCGCCCTGCCTCCCATGCACCACAACCTTTCTTCTCAAAAAACTGCGCTCCAATTCGGCCAATTCCTGTTGCACAACCTGCTGGAGGCCTTCGTGCGCCAGGATTTCGGGTCGCAAGCAACACTGGTTCACCGTAAAGGCAGCAAACAGTTCGCGAACCAGTCTCTCATAAAAACCCCTGATCGAATCTTCTTCACCCGGGGGAAGGTCCTGTAGTAGCTCCATCTGAGCCAGAAATCCCTCCACAAACTTCGCAAAGTGCCATCCCGGGGCACGAGTTGCGTATTCGTCGAGCAGCAAGCTCACGCAGGCTTTGGAGACCAAACAAGCACGGAAAAGTGCTGGTGGAAGTGACGTCTTCACGGAAGTCAAAGCGCCACCCTCAGATGTCGCAGCTGCGTTCGACGTCCCACCTTGCTCTACTAAGTGCGCACTGCACATCTCCATGATAGAGTCGAGCAGGTCCAGTAAAGACGAACCTTCGCCGCAATCCGCTTCATCCGCATCGTCGGCCTCCAAAACACACATTCGCTCCTTGAACACCCAGTAGGGATGCTCTGCGTTTCCCGCCCACTCTAGAAGCGTCAGAAAATCACACTTGGAGCCGAGTCGAGCCGCGGCCTGAAGCAGCGCATCGGCATCCGGATACGCAGCGGTCGAGCAGCCGAGAGAGGTTGTCGGTGTCTTTCCGGCGCGAACAAAGTCCTCTTCGCGAACAGCCAAGTATTGTAAGTCGTCGAGCACTACAGGCCCGCAGAAGAGAATCTTATCGGGCACAAAATCCACACTCCCGATGATCTGCGTACTGCTTTTCATCGCTGCACGCATTTTCTCTCCTGGCATCAGCCACATTGTGCGCCGCGACTTCTCCGCGAGCCGAAGATTTCTTCTACCTGTACCTTTCGCTTTCGCATGATCTGGATTACTACTTTGGGAGTACGTCTGCCCCGGTAGGTGGAAGTGTGGCTGCAAATGGGGAAATGAATTTTTCGGCCACGAGCTTGTTGATACTCCGGCACAGGAGGATCCACGCACTTGCCCTTCTCCTTGTCCTTCTGCACAAAAATGCATCACGAGGTGCTTCTCGCCACGCAGGTCGCGTTTGCAACGGTTGCAGTTACAAGCAAACCCAAACTGGCTTCTCAACTGTTGGCGCCTTTCCCGTACGCATTGACCAATGTCTACGTAGGAGTGGCAAATCTCCTCGTGCGGCGCAATGTCCCGCAGCGCGACCAAAACGCACAAAATCTTCGGTTTTTTGGTGCGCCGGCCGTGATGTGGGGGGCAACTCACGTCATCTTCAACCAAGTTCACACGCATAGTACCGGTATCCATTTCATCCATATGCATAAGAAAGTACCGTAGCACGACGTTGGGGTCGCAGCTGTGGTTTAGCATAGCGACGTGAGGGAGAACCGCTGCCCCGACGGGAGAAAAATCCTCGTCCACAATAGCGAAATTGTTGCGGCTGAACCGGGCACGAATTTGCCGTCGCAATTCGCTTGGGTGGTCCAAGTCTGCCTGTTCCCACGACCAGAGGCTGCGTCCTAGCTGTGCCTCGCTGGTACCGTCTCCCACTGGATGCGAAACTTTCGGCTCTGGTACCACGCTCCCACCATTCACTGTCGCGCGCAGCCGGGCTGGCGTGGGAAGTTCGAGATATCTCAAAGGCTCTTTTTGCGCATCGCTATCGTTCGCATCAGCAACGACTACTTGTTCTCTGCGGCCTGCCGGGTTTGAGTTCAGTGGTTTGGGTAATTGGTCATCATCTTCCGGTGCCGCACGTCTAGCTATGCTGTCGTCGACACAGCACGCGAAGAAGTCAGCTACCGTAGGCCGAAAGAGAGCAAATTCCAGCCCTTCATCCGACGCGGGCACTTCTTCGGAGTCGAAATAACACCCGGCGTGAGTTCCCCCTTCGGGCTCTCCCAAGGGCCTCGTTTCCGCGTCCGCACTTTCTCTTTGTGTTCTTGAACGCGAAAAAGCGCAGGAAATACAGCCACGAGAGTCCCCGTCTGTCCTGCTCCTGTCAAACGGGAAATGCGAAAGCGGGCTCCCTCGCTTCTTTGCCGCGACCTGGCTAAAGATTTCGTTCTCGAGTTGCATGCTGGCCCAGCGTTCGCTTCTCTCTCCTGAAACTCCGTTCCTTGCAGAAGCTTGAGCTTCGCGATTACTCTCACGGCTCCTTTGCCGCGAATCGCAACGTCCATCAGAGCGACGGAACATAAGGCGAATGGATGACCTGTTGCTCTCACTGTTTTCACTATCGCCATTTCTACACAAAACCGCTTCCACTTCTGCCAAATGGTGTTTCTTCTGCGCTATTATCGTGCCCCAATCGCATATGGAATCCTGTTCGGACGATGCGAAGCTTGCACTTGCCAGAGCCGTTTCCGCAAAAACAGTCGCCCCTTTCTTAAATCCTTCCGCTCCAGCGACGATGTGTCGCCCAGAATCTGGCTCGCCATGGAGAGTCGTGCGGGGCTGTACCAATCGCAGCTTCGAGCCTACTGCAGCTGCGAAATTTGCTTCCATGGTTTATGTTGTTCAATGGTCGGGTTCTTAAATTTGTTGTGTCGCTGCAGATGTAGACTGCAGAAAACGCTACGTATCGCAAATAAGAGTGCTCGATACTAGTTCGGCTCAAGACAAAAAGTTTAGCAGGCACGCAAAAGCAAGTACTTAAGCTAATACGAAAAAAAAAAGAAACGGGCCGTGATGTTGGCCTTGTGGCGTTGGTCAACTTTCTGTCGCTGCTGAATTTGATATGTAAGTCTTACTTTTACCCGTACCACGCACGCAGTTTTGACTTTGAGCAGAAGGGAATTCCTAAGTGAAGTAGTAAAAAAAAGCCCGGAAAAGAAAAAAATCCTTCGTTCAGCATCTTCGCTGTAAAATGGAGGATCTGCGAGAACAGCCAAGCACAATTGAAAGCACATGCTGAGCGCGTCCGCGTTTTTAGGTAGCGAAAACGCTATCGAACAAAGGATCTGCCGCTGCCGCATGTAAGTACTTAGTTAGTATGCTCACAGCCCGCTGCTGAGCAAGCCAAAATGGCGCCAGAAATCGTGTGGATCATCGCACTATATCGTTTGCGTGCACTGCTGCAATGAAGGATAAAGCATGTGCAGAAGGCAGCGTTGGAACTGGCATGATGTACGGGAGCGTCGGCTGCTGGAACACTATGAGATGACAGGTCTCAGTACTATTTCATTTGTTGGCGCGCTGTTGCGGTTGACCAACATGCGTTATCCAGAAAAACTCCCAGGCCCTGCTGCTTAATCGATTTTCTTCTGTCGCGGTCACATAGTCAGAGAAAGTCGTTTGAGAAAATATGATGAATGATCACACTGTCGCTGAAGAGTGAGTAGGATCCAGAAAGTGCTAAAGCAGTTTTTCTAAACAGAAAAGCTCTACCACCAGCTGCATCCGTGTTTTCCAATCGCTCGTCACGAAACCTTTCTCTTCGTGACAGCGAGAATCTCCCGTAAATTTGACTTCTTGTCTTTGAACTTTTTCACAACGGAAACTTCGTAGCGCCATGGTCCACCAGAGCAGGCCTTTTTTGCCTCTTTCTCTTTGTTTTTCTGCAGCAGGAAGGTGCGAAAGGCCTGCGTGCCGCCGCCGCAACCAAAGTAGTAGCGCTTGCCAGAAAAAAGTGCCACAGAACGCGGGAGGTTTTCTTGGCCGTCTGAAGAGTGGGTCGTTGAAGGGGCCGCGCCGACCAAGGAAGCAGGCTCAGTAGAGTCGTCCAGTTTCAAGTGATTCTCGAGTACGTCAAATAGTGCCTGAAAGGATTCTTCCTTGTAAATTCCCTCGGAACACAAGATGAGGTCGAACTGCTTCAGATTATGGCCGGTAGGATCCTCTTGCTCGTCAAAAAACAATTCCAGCGGTGGATCTTCATCCGCACTGTCGTCATCGTCCTGTGAATCAGATTGCTCTTCGGAATCGAGGCTCTTCTCCTGTGAGTCAGAGTCAGACCCTTCTTCTCCTTCCAACTCAGCACTGTCTTCATTACTGCCATCTGCCTTTTGATGGTCAGCTTCGCCGGATTGTTGCGGAATGGCACCTGCTGCATCGACGCCTGATGACCCAGCCGCATCCCCATCGGGTTCCTCTCCTTCTTCCGAGGAGTGCGCGCCAAAGCCGCTGTCAAAAGATTCGGATGTCTCGGTCTCATCTCGCAATGATTTTTGCTGCAAAATTTCCTCCTCTCGATCTGCCGCTTCTTGTTTTTGTCCGCTCTCCCGCGATCCATATACCGCACGCAGTGCTCGCACGGGGCCCCACTCTTCCAACACCGCCTTCCTGCCGTGTGGCTCAAATTTGAATAATTTTCGTTCCTGGCCTGCTGTGCGTCCTTCTTGTACCACCTGTAAAATTTCGTTCGCCGAGAGCGTGCTCCAATCTCCGGCTAGAAACCGAATCTTGGGCGTGGCAGGTCTCAGTGCACAGGACTCGGATCCCTGCTCGGACTTCCTGAACAATCCAAGAGCTTCGGCGTTTCTCAGCAGATTTCTTTTCGTCACCTCTTCGAGCGTTCTACGGTCGTAGTCATGGAGAAAGCACTCCATTGAGCTTGTTCCCTGCTGCAAGCTCCTTGTTTCGGTGGATAACGACGGTTCAGGAGCCTTTCCCCCGGTGCACCCAACTGGTGACGTCCTGTTCTCCGCCCTGCTGCTACTCTCAAACTGATGTAGCAGGGCCATAGTGGGCAATGCATGTCCGCAACCAAGCTCGAGGACGGCGTAGTTGTTTATCCTTCTTGGAACAAAGGCGCATGAACCACTCGCAGCAACAAGCTTCTTATCCAGCAAGTAGTTCGCCAAGTCGACACTGCACTCCCACACGCCGAGTCCGCTCATTTGATCAACGGTCTGCGTCGTCATGTCGTCAAGTGTACCAACAGCGGAGAACTCGTCCCCACGCGCAGATGTCCCAGCACAACTGCCGCCAGCAGAGCAGGCCTCCGGTAACCTCCTCGTCGACGACGAAGACCGCTCGTTGAGCATGGTGCGCTTCCTGCAGGGTGAGGTAGTCGAGTTGCAGCTAATCTGTCGTGCAGAAGGAGTTGCATCGACAACCGGATCTGTGCTCGTCCATTTCAGTACCTGGAGAGCTATTGTTTCCCTTTCGCCTTCGCAGCTTTCTCCCCCAAGCTGCACGCCGCGAGATGGTGTAGTTCCCTTGTCTTCTAGGATTACGGAAAGCCAGCAAGATTTTTCTCCAGCCGCCGCAGAGTTTGCAGCACCTTGTTCGTGGCGACGGTGTAGGGGCAGGGATTCCATCAAGCCGTCCGGGCTGCTGGTGGCCTGCAGATCCTTTGTGTCCATGATGTGTTTTGGTGTCGTAATCGTGGCGAGTATTACAGGATAAGATAAAGGACGTGGTCACAACACCTTCATTAGGTATGGTCAACAAACACAAGAGCCCACACAGAAATAAATGTTCGCTTGCGATGGCGACGGCAAGCGAAAGCCATGTGATGTCGATGACATCCAAACAAGTTTAAACGGACGGTTTTCGTAAGTCGAAGTAGAGCGTCCGTGGTTCTACGAAACTACACAGACCGGGAGCATTCACACTGAGAGACCACCGTATCTATCAAGTAGTAGGGAAAACGTACAGTGTCGAACCTGAACTGAAAGAGGCGTGAACCAATTTCTGAATTTGAATCGCTGTAGCGTTGTTCTTGATCTTCGCGTCAGCACCCACGTTCTGGTGCGGTTTGATTTTGTTCGGGATCTTCGCACGGAGAGCTGTTCCCTTTTTTTACTTCCGTGACTCTATCCTGATCGCAATTTTCTTGTAGTGCATTTGCAGCTTGCCTTTTGCATTCGGATCTTCCTAAAGATCGATCATCTCACGACGTTATTTTCTATTTGGTTGCTGTGCAACATGGATCCATTGTGTCATCTTGCCTGGGCCCTCCGCGTCAGATTTATTGATACGACGTTGATGTCTGGCTTCCGCTACGATTGCTCCGGTATGAGTCACGACTACACGGCGCCTGTTGAGACACTGAAAACGCAGGGGCGAACAACATACACTCACTGGAGGCTTGATCGCGACAAAGCGACTAATCTGCTCCCGCAACTTGTGACAGAAATGAATCTTTGCTGGGGAAGTTTCATCTTTTGCGAAAAGTACGATGCCTTTTCATCTTTTGCAAAATGTCGTTTCTCTGCGCGGTCCTGCAGTCCATCATCAAGACCCTTCGGCCGTCAAGCCGAGGCGTTCACTTAACTTTGATTCATGATCATGGCCGGTTCCTCGCACAGTAAAATTTGAAAGAGCGCAAGCGCGGGCCCGACCAAACCTTGCCTGCGCGCGCGCGATCCTGCGATAAAAATCGCGAGGCGCGCGAAGCTGCGACCTTGCGCACGCGCGCATGCCCATCGCACGCGGGCACGCCCGTTGCTCCTGCGTTCTGGGGAGTGCGCGCGGGCGCGCGAGGGGCGTGGTCTGCGAGCGCGCGCACGATCCTGCGAACATGCGACCGGAAGCGCGCGCGGGCACGCGGGCGCGGAGGTCCGTCCGGCGCGCGCGCGCCCCTTCCTACGCAAAGCCGTCGGCCTCCTGTCCGTCGCCCTGAGGATTAAGTCTCCTCATCTTAAAGACGCAGGGGACTTAATGTTGTCTCCGTTTATTCCCCGCAGATCTTCTGGCGGATCCGCTTCCTTGATTTCTTCCTCCCCCGCTGCACCATGATGGGCCGCTGCGTGATCCTCTTTCCCCTGCAAAGCCGTCGGCCTCCCGTCGCCCTTGGTATTAATCCTCCTCATCTTAAGGACGGAGGGGCCGACGGCTTCACTCGCAGAATCTGAGTCCATTGTTGTTGGAACGGAAAGCTTGATGAAGCTTAGCACTGGAGCATAATTCTGCAAGCGCGTCCTGTGAGATGTCGGTTGAAAATGAAGAAGGAGACGACTAGCAAAGTCCGTAGCTCGAAATGGGCGGGCGGCGCCGAAGTGAATTCATTACAAAATAAATATTGCGGCACCGCTGCGCTTGTTTTACCTGAGCCCTCTTGTCCGTACGGATGAGAGACGCGGCAGGTCTACAGCTAAACAGTTTTGTGAAGCGAGTAGTACCGCGAGAAACTGGCACGGCGAATTCCCTCTTTCTCTCTCCTATCAAATAAGTACGTAAGATGCCACAACCAAAAAAGTCCGATCGCGAGTTTTCCGAGGTGCATTTGCTGCTCGGTCGCGTTGCATCCATTGCACGCGACGCCGTCGATCTGTATTAATGGCCTTGCCCGACGCGCTTTGCCTATCACGGACTTGCCTGTCACGCTCGGCTTACTCTCCAAATCGACGAGCGCGCAAGGACTGGCCGCAACACTCGCTCTCAGTTGGACAACCAAATGCACAACCGCGCCTCACGCTCCTCACACGCAGAACTCAGGTAGATCGCCGCGAACTCGGGACGAAATATCGATCAACCAATCAAACCGCAGAAAGAGGAAAAGGACGCACCGATACGACGGGGAGCGCGACAGTGGGCACGAACAGAAAACAGGCAAAAGCAAAAATTTGCGAATACTAAAGGCATCTTCAGTGCGTTGTTGCACGGAAGCGGGCGGATCTTCCAGGGATGCAAAAATAGTTCGCCTGCACAACTCGAGCTGTCTTATTACCATTCATAAACAGTGTCTCACTGTCGAAGACGATATTCGTCCTTCGGCTTTGGTTTCTTCATGCCATGTCTGTGAAATACTTACTCAAGTTACAAAACGGGTTGGAAAATTGCCTTGGTGGGTATCAACATGAAGAGATATATCAACAGGAATCGTGTGTACGTGTAGGTCTTGGGAAATATAAAAAGTGTTTTTGTTTCTAGGAAACCGTTCTTTTTTGCGCAGATTGATGATAGCAGCAGGCGCTCCTCGTCAAGAATCTGGAAAGGAATATCGTACGCAAGAGCAAAGATAAGGTTGCTCCAGCTACACTCGTCCCACTTCCGATTCATTGCGTCGCACGTAAACCTGTCTGGCCCATCGCCACCGTCTCGCTGCCTGCAGTATCCTCCCCAAAGAGAAACACTTCGTAATCTTTGGCGCTCTTGTCCTGGCGCTGGGTCGACCTGATTTTATAGTTTAGCACGACTCTGAAATTGGGTCGGGCCGAATTTATTTGTCAGCTCGCTTTTCTCGTGATACAGCAGTACAGCATCCGGAATCAAAACTTGCTCCTTGGAAAATTTAGGCTCGTTTACTCAAATGCTTCAATTGTTGTAACTCTCTCTTACGTCTCGCCAACCGCTTTTCTGGTAGACCCCTGCTGACGCATGTCTACGGGACCGTACGCAGCTCCGAGCAGCGACACAAACGGCAGCATCGCAGCTTTCGTCGTAGCGGGGCAGCCGGCCATGCAGCTCAGCACAACCGGAAAAGTTGCGAGCCCTTCCAACATGTTTGTTCGAAGATGCTTGGGGTTTCTTCGTGGGGAAGTTCTTGTAAAAGTGGTTCAAAATCAGAAAAGAAGAGGTGACGTCAATGCCTCCTGTACTTGGTTCCGTGTCTATTTTTCGACGTATCTAGTTTCGGTCCAATAGCGTTCTTCTACTTCACCATGATTATCGTGGTCGTGCGCTGAGACAAGAGAAAGACTCACACAGACTTGACACACACAAAAAGGATCCTCGTGGAGGTGCTCAAAGAGTGAAAGAACAAGCATCAGAGCATTTGCCAGCATTGATCCCGAAAAATTGATCTTGACCGGCTGCGCATCTCCTTATCTTAATTCAATCACCCTAGCTTGCCCGTCTTGTATTCGTACGTAACAATGGTCGCTTCCTCTTTTGGTCACCCACCTGCTGCGCAAAAGAGACCAAAAAAAACAGATCGTCTCCAACAGAGCAGCAGAGAAAGAGTTCATTCCTTCAGAACAACTGTGCCTCTGGTTTTCAATGCGCGCGATCACGACAGTAGTTGCCCGGGTGTAAATTTGAATGTTGAGTCCAAGCACCAAAATTGATAACATGAAAAATCGTAAAATAACGCAGTCCAAACTGAGCCTCGTGGCTGGTGCATTTCCGCTGCATGTTTTTCCTTTCGAGCTCCTCCAGCTGCTCCTCTCCTTTGGGCAGGACTGCTCCTACACTGCATGCTCTAAATCACTGCAGCTAGTGTGGTAGATAACATTTTAACAATTTGCTCTATCATTTCGAACGTGAACGCTGTTGTCTGATAAATCGTAACTGGTAAATCGCCTGCTGAAACCGTATCGCTTCCTGACATTTTGCAACTTTTTGGATAAATCGTAAACTACTGCTTGCGCGCTTTGAAACAAAGCCGAAGCGGCGTGTCTGACAAGCCTATAGCTTGGTAAATCGTAACAAGGATCTGAGAGGATGATTTGATATTATAGGACTAAGTGTTTTGCTAAAGTTCTTTGCAATCGTTTTAACAAGGTAAAGTTGGATTGTAACGCCAACAGGCAACTTCTTGTGAAACGGATACATCAAGAAGTGGTGAAAAAAATCAACATCTAAAACACATCCGAGGCGGCACCGTCCAAGTGGTCTCCCATCGAAAAAACGTCACTCATCGCGGTCCCGTCGTTGTTTAGATCGTTGATCCTGCTCTTTGGCACGCTCGGTAACGCCGTCGGATCGTTCTCCACGTCAAGCATCTGAGAATTTTCATGTTGTAAATGCACTTTCAGTTCGTTGACGTCAGAATACCCAGTGGCACCGAAATTGCAAGCCGCATCGTAGACCGCATGTAATTTTCATGGTAATATGTTGATGCGACGGCCTACAAAAAAAGTAATATACTTAGATAGCCTTCCCTTTTCTTTTACCTCCATATTTCGTTTGTAGTCTTCTTGTGTGATGAGCGGTTTCCCCCCGAGTTGGACTTGATACTTGTTGATGTTCTCCGTGAGGGTACCTGTGAGTGTGACTCATAAGCATTCATTTTACATGATACATTTTTTTTTCACATTTTCTAAGTCCCCAATTTTCTACTGCAAAACGCGGAAGTACGGCAGAGTAGCGGCAAATCGCAATGCACAAGCAACCAACTCGACACGACTTCCTTGAATTTCCGAAACACAAATTTTTCCGATTCCTTACCGAGTGGCACGCTGCTCTTCCGGAGATCCGTGGGATCGCCGATGGGTTTGGCTCTTGGTGGCTCATACAGCCGCTGGTTTTCCTCCAGATCGTAAAATCGCTCCGTGGTGGTTCGCGGCTTCGTCTCTTTTCGCACCTGGTGCAGACACCGCACCATGTAAAGGAAGTCTTTCATGTTGTCCTCCGGCATCTCGTCCAACACCTCAGCGACCTTGCCGTGGACCTCCGGCTTGAATACCGAGGCGTACATCGCCTCGTCCTTGTGCAAGGGGTTCGGTTTGTCGCCGAAGGGGTTGGGAAACTGACTCTTGGTCGTGGTGCGAAACCGCCGGCTGTCTGGATAGTCTTGGTGCGGTACCGGGTGGCCCACTTGGTTTGACATCGTGCGCCACTTTCTGCGGTTGATCGCGTATCCCCTCCGATGGTGACGGTATTGTGTCTGGATTTGTATTGACGAAAATACATGCTGTGCGCCAACATGATATCTCGTGTATTCAAGGACAAGGATCTTTCCGGCGTGGAGATCAAAATCATTGAATTCATCTCCTGTTTCTCCTGCAAGGGAAAAATCCGCAAAAGATGAAACATTTCGAAAATTACTTTGAACATCGGCATGGGCTGCGAAGTGATGCTGCCCTCCGTGGTTTCTGTCATCTCTGATATCCCGGTCCACCTACTGTAGTCCGAGACATCTGTTGATACTGAGTACGTACTGGCCTGCGAGTTCGCATCCAACCTGCAAAAAGAGAGTTGATTCTGATAGATACATAGATACTTGATACTCATTCGAAAAAACTCGTCAAGACACTGAGCAGCGCCTGCATGACATGCGGTAGAGCGTGGTCAGCGTCTTCGTTTGAGTTTTTCATTTTCTGCTTGCATAAAGTAAACAACGAGCAGAAAAGTCAGGCCCTCAGTCTAAATATGCGCATTACCATGCATCGAGAGTCAAGCTTTCGGGCGCACGGATGTATCTCCGCCTTCGTTTTTCATTGTGCACGTCAATCGGGTTTAACTTGGACGCGGACGCGGTGGAAGAGACGGCGCCCTGACTCACGCCACTGGCCACGGATTTCTGCGCCGCGCTACCCATGGACGGTAATGACCGACTCCCGCGCGTTGTCCCTGCGATTAATGCGGAGTCCCTTTTCCATTTTCTCGGTGAGGCAAGGATTTTTATCGTGTTTTGCAGCGAACCATGAAACACTATTTCCATTTCTTTTCATGCAGCAATGGATTATTTGAATCAGTCCTCATTGTGCACTTTCGACCATCTACCTTTATGATGATACCTTTCCTCGAGCCTGACGCTGGTTCGTCGCCTGTGATGTGGGCTCCGAGTGCGATACTCTGGGCGACATCGCCGGTCATAAGCTGGTCCACCGCATCCTTCGGCTTAGCTGCAAGCGAAGGACTTAGAAGGTCACCTGAGGGTTATGTCGTCAAACAGTGTGCTGACAGGATGAGAACAATCGCATCAGAGACCGGCTGGCACGCAATCATACATCAAGAGTACGACGCAGAGTCACATCCTCTGGTTTGCGTTAGCGAAGAAGTAGAAGAAGAATTAGAATGCGTCACCCGCAAAAAGTAGACTAACCTGCTTCGCCTGGCAGAATCGTCCTATCCTCCGGTATATTCTGCAGTGGTGCCTCGACTAAATTTGTCATCGGCGCCGTGCTGGACGAGGCTGTGAGAGTTCGTGTTTGTTTTGATCTTGAGGATGAATGCAGCGGAGGAAACGTAGCAGCAAATTTGTATTGCAAGCCCTACTGCATTGAGTAGTATGTACATCATCAAGTTTTTGCCTATCAAGACGAATAGCGAGGTAAGAGAGTTCGCTTTCGGTTTCGAGTTTTCTTTTTCCAGAAGATAAAGCTGTGTCTGTGTGCAGGCCCATGAGCATGAACTTTTTATACAAGGTTCCAGAGTCTGCTCTGCCTTCTTCTGCCAAACGCTGTAAAGCGAGTCCACGGACTTGAGAAATTTCTTCTGCTCCAATGGGCTTCGCCATCTGTGCCACTCGGTAAGCTCCTTCAGATCTTGGTTAAACAAGCTCTTCGCAAACTCCGTCCTGGTAGATGTTCATGGTGCTCGTGGAATTGTTGCATCGAAATCATTCGACCTTGCTGAAACCAATCAAGTTCAAGAGCAGCTTCTGTTAGCACTTTTTTGCCAGACTATGCCTAGTTCATAGCGACGTGTACGCATGACAACGGATGGTTCGTATTCATTGAGTTGATTCTTTCCAAAAAGTTTTTACCTCCTTTCGCTAATTCCGTCCTTCCGACTGATCTTTGGCAAGAGCTTCCTCCGGGCGACAGCTTCATTCTGCGTTTGCACGTCGGACGGGAGCAACGTCGCTACCACATCCGCAGGACTACCGCTGCCCTCCGGCATGTTGCCGCTTCCCCACTTTCAACCACCGGTCCTGGCCTGCTTGCAACCGTTATCTTTATTCTTGTACTTCTGGCCTACAACTCGGTCTAAATCCAGTATCTCCGACAAATAAAGGTTGAATTATTAGGCCTTCGCTTGTTTTCTTTTATCCTCGTCTAGTCCCGCACCACAAGCTACTGCACAGAAATGTCAGGCACTCGCTGGAACTTGTTATTTTTGTTTGAGATTACTTACTTGAGGTGTGCAAATAGCAAACGATAAAACATCGAACGATAAGACCGCGGCAACCGAATTAAAAAGTGAGCACCACGGCGTGAACCTAGTACGAAAAACAATCGAGATTCCTCGTGCAATCGACAAGGGTCGAACTTCATACGATAGATCATAATGGCTCGCTGTCACTCACACGCGGACGATACATTCGTAGCCCTGGATTGGACTTCTACATCTCTCTTGCTCGCTATGAGACGAGTGCAGTCGGTTCTCTGAAGAGAGAAAGCATCGCTTCGAGCGCGATCGACGTCGATGAAGGCAGCTCGAATATGGAAAAAGTAGCGCAGGTCGCTCTACTAGCTCGGTCGATCATCACGACGACGACGACGACGGATTTCTGGCAGCCGGGACGCACGAAATTATGAATCACAAGGGAACTTGATTTAACTTCCACTTGCGACGAAATGGAAATCAAAAGCGGAAATAAAACTGCCCCTGGCACTAACACAAACGGACATTTGGGAGCAGAACGCATGCGCAATTACTGTCCCGCTTCAAAATCCCTAGCGGCCATTGCTTGTATCACGTGAAACCACTCGCGGCGTACGTAACTGGAGTATGATGGTCCATCCTTAGCAATGGAGGCGCGTGAAGTGACTATTTTTGTCTGAAATTTCAGCAAATGTCAAAATGTTGTCATCAGCACTGCTTCGAGTGCCGTTCTTTCCAACATCGCATCGTGTCTATATGAAAATCAATCTGTGTCGCTGGGTGGTTCTTTGAAATGGCAGTCATGCGAGGTGTTCTTCTGGCTTTTGCCACGCATCTTCCTTGGGTCGCTCGTGCTAAATCTGGGGCTCTCCTTGGGCGTATATCTGGTTCCATTGCGTTGCGACCTGACACGTGCAGCGTTTGTCGTTCATGGACAATTTGTTCCTGGCATCGACCAGCATCAGGGAGTATTAAAAAAGAGTCATCTCTATTTCTCGGTAAAACATTCTATTTCTTACCTGCAGAGCTTCCTTCTGGTTGTCCTTGAAGTGCTTTGCTACTGTTGGGTCGAGGGGATCGTCTGCATTGGGACAACTGAGAAGTGCCTGGATTTTTCGTTTCGTTGGGTAGGTTGGTGAGTATAGCTTTCAGACAGAAGATGATGAAAAATGTTTTATCTATTATACTGGATGTTCCGCACCACGCAACCAAAAGTTTATGCGTCTCCCTTTACTGGCTTTGCTTTCTTACGACCATGCACTTGGAGAATGATTTTCGTTTCGGCCGTACGAAGAAGTGTTATACCTGGATACTGATGAGCACCGTTCTTATCTGCAGCGCTGGGGTCCACTTGTCTTTCAAAATATCGAGGCAAATCCTCCCGAGCTTGTCGATATTTGGGTGGTAGATCTTGGTCAGAAACCTTACCTTCGGTGGCTCCATTGGGTAGTCTGCAAATAAGTTTCGGGGATGGAATAATCGATTACTAATATCATTTATTTCAGATTCATTGGTGGAGGTCAGACAAAGAACGATAATAGCAGAAATCGCTGAAGATAGAAGACAGCACCTAAAACTCTACCTCTGATGTAATACGAGAAAGAAAAAGGAAAAGCAGGAGTAACATTGGTACGTTCTGGGAGAAAGAGCTCCAGTCCGTAAGTTCCATTTTCGTATGGTGTGCTTGGTGGTCCCGCCATTGTTATTTTGAAGTACCTTTTTTGTGATTTTTAGCTGGTAGAAACATAGCTAGAGGATATCGATCTAGTAGATCTTCGGCATTGATGTCTGTGCTACTTGTATTTGCATTGAAGAAAGCGCTTGTAGCGAACCTGTAGTTTTCCTCTGTTGGCTTGCACGTTACTCCTGGCGGCAGCTCGGTGGTCAGCTTCTGTGTCTCCTTCTCAATGCGCTTGGGAATCACGGCCATCTTTCCGGGGAGCGGGTCGGCCGCGATCTTTCGTCGTTTTGCGTCCTCTATTTTGACCAATCCACACAGAACTGCAGGGGCGTCCCTGGTCGCGTAAGTCGGAAGCTGCTATAGCAGGTGGTTTCCCTGCGCCTGCTGCTCAGCTCGGTAATATATTTTTACAAATATTCTAGCTTATCAGGTTGTCTGCCAGCATCCAAAATCCATGCCGTCTACTTGCTTCTTGCTTGCGATTGTTGTGACAGATAAGATTTGGTTCGTTGCTTGGTGTATTGGTATTGCGGTTTCTTCTGCGAAGAATAAGGGCTGCGTGTCGGAGGTGATGCGGCCGCTTCAAAAGGTCCTACCACCCTGATTGCAGGAGGCTAGCACTTCTACACTCCTCAGAGATGCTCCGCCGCGTCGCTACGAGAAAAATCAAGGACTCCGGTGGTGGAAGATGCTTCTCTCTGGCCGGTAAGACGAACAAGATTCGCGCCAGGTGGAAATAAATCAGGAGAGTACACGACGTGTTCCACTTTGCTTTCGCTCTTCAGGGTCCGACGAGCACTGCACTTCTACGTCCAGATTGTTGCGTCCGCAGGCAGGGAAAGATGCGGGAACTTGTCGCCCGGCTTGCGATCGTGCCCTTTTCAGCGAACCACGCAGGCAAAAAGTCTGCTCTTCCTGCGGCTGCGTCCGTATTGCGCACGAAGCTGGATAAAGGAAAGTTTGTTAGAGGCTGAATAAAGCAAAGTCCAATATGTTTGCTGATGTACAGGTACTTTCGGTTTTTGTGCGTGTTGCTTCAAAAAAAAACCCGGTGCGCGGCGTTGCGCGTGCTGCCAGAAGCTTATGTTCTTTTTTCGTGTTTAGTTTCTGCAGACGATCAAATCAGTACCAACTACGAAGTATTAAATCCGAGCTACTAACATGGAATCATGTGGAATAAATGAAACTGTATTTACACGTTGTATCGATCATCTCTAGAAGGTAGACATAGAAGCAGACTGCTGTATTTGTGTTGCATCTCCGTGTTCACCAATCAGTTTGCTAATGCAGAGAAGAAATGGATATGCGTGCTGACCGTCACCTTGCAGCAGGTGCTTTCTCGGACTTCGCTTTGCTCGATCGTGGTTTTTGTTTACTAGCCAGGCGCGTGATAAAATCTTTCCTCTACGTAGATCAGGATAATGAACACAGATTATACAGGTGAACAGCATCTTAATCTTTATCCCCCGAAAAATTCGCAGCACTTATTATATCGTTTATTTCTTTGTTTTCCCTGATCTTGATGCAGCTTTTGTCAGAAACGTAAAATGACGTTATTGAGTTTCCCTGTGCCTTTTGGCATATGTGCGAATGTGGCCTCTCGACGCCTCAACCTTTAGCTGGATCTCAACAAAAAAGCCAACGTACAAAAATAGCTTTTTATCGAATCAATAAACCTAACTCGAGGCGACAAGTTGTCCCAATCCCAGTCAGAGTTGTGTTCCGCATTGGTATTTACACCCGCACGCTTCTTGTCTGTAATTTTTTCTTTTTGCAAACGCGCACCTTCTGGCTTTTGTATAAACATAGTGGTAATTATTGGAAAATTTTACATGCGATATCATCGATGGCCGACTGTTATCTGGATTATTTTCGAGCGCCGAAACTGCAGCATGCGCTGCGCTCGTTTATCATGGGACAATCTTGACGAAACATCGAATCGGGTGGAAAATGAGCTAGGTAGTCTACAGGAGGGTGAGAGTCGAGGGCCGGCTACTACTTTTGTCGCCGCAGATGCACTGCGATTGCGAATCATCATATCATGTGTAGTCATTCTAATGCTTTCCTTATTCGGCGTCATTTTGATTTTCAGGGTTTAGTTACATCTATACAACGCTGTGCACAATTTCTTTCGGTACCAAAGAACTGAAGATTACTTCGTTGAGACATGTTTTCTATCACTGCCTCTAAGAACTTGCGAACCAGGGTCGTCAAAGCAAGACTGTCCCTCGATTCGGCTTTGGATGGTTACCATAAAATTTAAACTTCCCTTTGACAAGTCTAGAAAATTGTTTCAGTTTCCTGCATCATAGGGCATTAGTGCACTTGGTACTATTTCTTCAACTAGTTTCCGATACGGTGTTTACGGTTCGAAGAATTGACTCAACAAGAACTACAAAGAAAGAACCTATACTTTGAAGATACAAGGGCGTTATATTCTTTTCCTATCATTTACCTTCATTATCAATCGAATTTTCTACTATATACGTGTAATTACATGACCTATGTGACAGGTGCTGGTTTGTATCGAATCAATCTTTCCACACGTCCTACAAACAAAACAGCCTTGCTTCGTGCCTGGACCGAAGTTCACGGTGCCGCAGCTGCATGCTGTGCGATGCTGCACCGCCAGAGACTGCAAGCACAACTGGGTAGTACATCCATAAAAAATGAGATGATGTTGAACGATTTTTCGCATCTACAGCTTGGCTTTCAGTTTGTCTTCGGGCGTCCACTCGCGCAGCGCTTGTCGCACCCCGAGGTCGGCCATGATTTCCTCGCTGCCGCCGTAGATGGACGAGATTTTGTACATGCGGTTGAAGCGCTCCATCTTCTTCCCCATGCCCGTGCGGGTGACCGCCCGGCCGCCGAAAATCTGGCACCCGTTGTCTGCGAGCAAGGTGCTCACGCGGGTGGTCTGGTACTTGAGCAGCCCGATCTCGCCCGCGAGGTAATCCCGGGTCTTCCAGGTTTTCGGGTCGCTCATCACCCGGTCGTAGTACACCTTCATCTGGTAGGTGACGTGGTCCATGTAGCTCTGCAGTGACTCCAGAGCAGCCACTATCCTGAGTAAAAACGCACCCACACCAGAGTCAGGATGAGGATTTTGCAACACAAACCTAGGAGTTTTGCGAGTCACGCATGACAAGTTGCACTCTGCAGTGTAGTGCAGGTTAGCAAGTGCAGCCGCATCACAAATCCAGCTGCTCATCCTGTTCACAGCATCACAAATTCCAAAACACGATTGGAAATGGCTCTCATGGGGATGCGCATTACAAGTCTTCATGTCTTTGCGAATCTGCATTACAACTCTGGTGTGGGTACGTTTTTACTCAGGATAGCCACCATCTGGCCAAACTTGAACCGCAGCACCGGCTGGTCCGACAGCGGTCGACCGAAGGCCTTCCGCTGGGTCAATATCAAATGTAAAAATGTCTGGGTCTGGAAGAATGCATGTTTGTCATGCTGGCTTTGGATTGTAAAAAAATCTGTATTGCATGAGCAGCAAGAAAGAGAGTCCAAGTTTTGCTGCACTGAAAGAGCATTTGTCATGCGGTATAGGCATCAGGTAGCCCTCACAAAATCTGTGATGCTAGGGCATGCATCACAGACGTCAGGGGTCATGCAAAACATGCATGACAAACCTGGCAATCTTCCAGACCCAGACATTTTTACATTTGATAGTCAACCACTGGAGGCAATCCGAAACTACGACGCGTTGCATGCCCAGAGCATTGGCGCTGTGGAAGATCATTGCTCGATCGGTCTTTTCGAATGTAATCGAGAAAAATTTCATGCTTGAGCGTCGTAGTACATTTCAACATGATCCTTTACTTTACTGTTCATGTCAAGATTGACTTATTGTCAGAAAAAAACAGTCTGAGTGGAAGTGAATACTTACCAAATCATCCACCGCTCGTGGTTGAAGTTGAGCATGATGCACTGGAAGCCCTTGTTCAGTTCGTCTCCCTTCTTCACGCCCATGAGACGGCCCTCGACCGGAACCTTGGCGTCCTCAAACTGAACCAGTGCGGTGGCTGCGGTTTTCCCGTAGGAGGTTGACAGTTGCTTAGTCAGCACGTTTCCGTCCTCGCGTTTGATCAACAGCATGCTGATTCCTTTGAGGCCAGGCTTGCCCGTACGCACCGCGGTGACAAAGTAGTCGGCCTGGCAGCCACCGGTGATCCACTTCTTCAAGCCCCGCACCGTGAAGGTCTTCTTGTCTTCCGAAAACTTCGCAATACACTGGTGATTGGCCACGTCCGAACCCGCCTCCGGACCAGTGATCGCGAGGGCAACCTTTTTCTTGCCGAGCAGGATGTTGGCAATCATCTCCATTTTGTCGGGACCGTGATAGAAGTTCATGATCGGGGGGAGACCAATGTTGAAACCCGCAAAAATACCATCCAGAAAGCTGTATCGGATTTTGAAATTTTTGATTGAAATTGAACTACGTTTTTAGCTCATCACAATTTGCTTCGTTGGTTTATTTCTGAGAACAGCATCACAACTCGCAGAAATCCTGGGTCATCAAGTTGAGGCGTGGGCATAAGAGGTTGACCCACCAGAGTAATATTCGTATTGTTTTGTACTATATACGTATCAAACCTGACTGCTTACCTCGGTGGCAGTATCCTTGCCGCTTCTTCATGGAGGATCTGCTCATGGAAGAAGTCGAATTCCTCTGGCTTGATGCCTCCCGGGAGCGGCAACCCCAGTTTTTTCACGGCCGGCATGGCGGTGACGCCGATGGAGCAAGCAAACATGCCCGTTTTTCCGAACTCCTCCCAGATTTCGTTGGGAATGTAGTCCTGACTCTCTTCCAGCTCCTCCGCTTCCGGTAGCATTTCGTGGAAAAACTCGCGGCACCCGAGGCGAAATCGCAGGTGCGTCTCGTTATGGTAGGGGCTCGCGTAGAACCGCTTCATACTTGCCGGTTCGCCAAAGGGTGTGCGGCACAGCAGCGGATGCTCCTTCAGCAGCTGCTCCGCCGGGGCGGTGGCCACATCCAGCTTCTTGCCGCCCTTGGCCTTCTGCTTCGGCTCATAGATTTGCTCGGTCTTGCCCTCCACAGTGCCGATACACAACTTTTTGTGGTACTTGTCAAGCACCTGCATTTTCATCATATGAAAAATGAAAACGAGAAATTGGGTGGAAAAAGACCAGCTCAAAAAAGAAAAAACCATAATGACGGGGCAGACCTGGAGCACTGATCATACCGATACCAGCCAAAAAAAAAATCCTCGGCGTTTTGAAGAAGATGATCGGGGGAAACTTAATATGCATCATGAAAGACATTTTGTCGAAAAATACGTCCGTTGCGTGGAACGCGTAGAAATATTCCGTGGCATCGTTGTTCGGAACGTCGAGCAGGATATGCTTGCCACCGGGGTGGACGTTGGCAAATTTGGACACGTCGTAGACCTTGTTGTCAACGATCAACCACAGATCCCCAAAGGTATTATGCTTGGCCACCTCGTCGGCGGTGAAAACTTTCAACCCGCCGCCCGAGGCGGTGCTTGCGACCGCCGCCATCTTTTGGTGTTTTCAGTAATGCGGCTTACGATGAAAATCTTCAAAAGTAAAAACGGGGGGACTGATGAGCTAGTGAAATCTATTAAGATCAACCGCAATGCGACTTTTCTCTGCTTGTCAAAATACTGTAATTTTTCGTGTAGGAGGGGCACAACGTCGTACAGCCGATTCAATCACACGGTCACAAACTCTTCTGGACCGTTCGCAACTGCTGTGCGACTAGCATGCATTCGATGTTGTGCTTGTGATTCGTCTGACACTGACTTTTAATTCGTCCAACATTAAGAAATCTTTACATCAAGGACTTTGTGAGACAAAGCTCCCAAGAAGCCTGCAAGAATTTGAAGTACAATCGCAACAAAGCATTTCATTTTAGTGCTGAATGTATGAGGGCCCGCAAGGATGGGGACTTCCCTCAAATTACTGACGCTCATCTCGACGTCCAACTCCAAATCGAATATATGGATACCAAAAAAACTGCTTCGCTCTCGGTGCCAATCATCGACAAAAAAAAATGCTTCCGCGCAAGCACGGACAAAACAACTGACCGAATCTAGCACACAAAAAAACAGCTCTCAGAACGGGACACTGAACACTTTGAGTTTGATTTTGTGTCCCCTGCTCATAAAAAGTTGCCTCAAATTCATCGCCAATCCCCGTTCCTACCGGTAGATACGTTGAGACAGCTGAGATCGACAAAGGGGAAGGACATCCAGACGTAAAGATTAAGATAGTGAAGCCGGCACATCGAAAAATAACTTGTTCCATCGAAGTGGCGCTGCGCTTTTCGGAATTCCAGCTTTGCAACGGCGCGACTAACTGAAGTCGGAGTACCGAGGAGAAGCTGGACCCGAAAAAACAAAATTCAATGCGGGTGGAGGAGTAGTGGAGTACTGTAGGTGAACAGATAATTCATGAAGGGTAATGCGAGCGAGAGCGTTAGCAACAACTTACAGCAACTTACAACAATTAATTTCAGATATTAGATAGATAAGCCGTCTTGTGCTGCTTGTAGGTACATTGACGAAAAAAGATGAAAAAGCGTGCTCTTGTAGTTCCAAGAATCCTCCTATACGAACCGGAACAGGAGCAATTGAAAAGTGAAAGTACGAATGCGTGAAAGATACATTGATTCTCATATGTGTTGCTGTAAACAAACTACGTACAGTAGTGAGGACGAGAGTGGTATAAACTTTTTGGTGAAACGCTCGAAGACACAAGAAATGCTTGCCCTTCGAAACTACAGCTGTAACAGACTTAGAAGCGACAGATTCCAATTCCAATTAGTAATAATACGGGGGATGACCTGTATCATTTCAAAGAAACTCAATTCGTTGGGTACATACGTCCTATTCATGAAGAAGCGCCGTAGTCTAGAGTAAATAAAAATGATGTGTATCCAGTCAAAAACCCAGCGGGCGCAGGCGCAGCTGCTTCCTCACGACAAAATAAACAAGTTCTGCTGATTATAATTTTCTTTTGAAATGTTGATGCGTGTTGCTAGCACAAGAATTTTCGACGAGTTTAAGTTTTCGCGTCCATCTACTGGCACTCCTCATCCGTGTCGTTGGAGAGTACCAAACTTGGTAAATGGATACGGGAGCAGCCTTATCGACCAGTAATTGCTGACTCTCAATCTGTATTCTCTAGCCAGTACTTGAAAAAAGCCGGCACTGCTTGTAGTTTTTCCTTCGGTTATAGTCTCAGATGCAGATACCGGCGACCTTGAGATTGTGTGACCATCTTCATGCGTCACCACTTATGCTTCTCGGAAACTAGACAAGTAGTACTTATCACATTCATCCTTCGGTTCCCACACTCACGCTAATCTGTAAAATAAGCGTGCGCACAGGACAAGCTGAATCGGTTCTCACGGCTATCCTGATAATGGCCTAAAGGTATTATGGAAGCTACAACAATGCCAGTTGTAGAGGACGACACTTTCTTTGTTCCCTGCCGCGATGCTTGACCTGCGTTTTTCTGGTCAAACTCCTTTTTTAAAAAAATTCCTCAACTTCAAAAAAAAATCAAACGCAGCAACTTTATCTTGAATTTCGATCGCTCAACGCCAGGGTTGCTTGTGATGGAAACGAGAAAAACTTCTTTGCCCGACGTTTGCGCTTGCCAACAAGGGTCTTCTTGTGTGGTGCTACTTTAGACGAACCCCCACCGCAAGACACTTACTGGCAATGGTCGAGTTTATCATTTACTGAGTTTCATCTTTTGACAACTGGTGTCACTTTTGTATTTACGTTGACTACTTGGTGATTGCGATTGCTTTTCCTAACTAGAAGATTGATGCTGGCCTGCTCCAATCTTATTCGATAAAAACAGCTAAGTTAGTAGACTGCTCCGGGGTCGCACGCGGGTGTCGTTCTTGTGAATTGTAATTTTTTACAGGGATGGGACGAGGGAGATGAAGTCGCGCATTTTGCAATCACATCAGGAGATCGCGTTGTTGGAGATCGTGCGGCGGTAGCAATGGCGCGGGGAGTCGGAGTGAGCGGATCCTTACTATCCTCGCGAACGACTAGAACCGGAAAGAACAGGGGAAAGCAGCACAGCTTCTAACTGTCGAAATTGATCGTCAGCCCGGGAACTGTAGTCCGCCTTGTGCCTGCTCCTTTCTTCAAGGCTCCAAGTCGACTAGAAACTTGTCAATCAGCTCCCGCTGCTCCCTCCGAATGCGAAAGGATGTTTGCTTGACCTGGTTCATCACCTTGCGGACGCATTCTTTGCGCGCCACCATATCGGCCCCTTCGTCTTCCACCAAGACGCGATCCCGCAGCTCCGTGAAGAAGTTATCAAAATGACCCATGTTCTTCACTTCGGTAAAACAACGCGCGAAAAACACGTGGAAAATCTGGTCCGCCTGCGGTTCGTCCATCAGCGTATCGTGCAGGTTAGCCAGGCCTGATCATCAGAATGAATTGTCGTGGATCTTCAAGGGGCAGGCATTTTCAAACGTAAATAGGAAAACTCTCATGTAAAGTGATCCACATAAAAGATGAAAACAAAAACAATCAATACCGTCCCCAATAGCTGCTCCTACTTGTCCGTATCTGCAGGCGCCCTTGTCGGCAAGTGCTAAGAACATGCTTGATACTTTCCCACTTCGTTCGCCTTTCGCTTGCGCGTATTGAACCGCGATTTGCAGGGCCTTTTCTACCATGTTCGGCGGTACCGAATCCGTGAAATCTGTCGAGATGTAGATGTTATTTTCATTCATTATTTTGGCGCCTTATTACTCAGCACGCTCTCGTCGCGAAGCGCCCGCAATGAATGCCACCAATCGGCAAGAAGATGAAAGTAAAAGCTTTTCTTGCGCTGATTTCTTTCTCGCAGTACATGCTGTTCCCAAAAAAAAGCGACGCAGAAAATGCGATCACAACGCTGAGAAAAAATACGCGAGCGCAGTAACAAAAACGTATTGCTTTACGCATGGTACTTACTAGAATGTGTGCATGATGGGCTTTAATGCTATACCTTTCTTTAGTCTGTTCGCCACAGCTTGCTCGTCTTTATCGTCGTCCTCCGCAAAATACGTGATGATCTTGGTGACTGACTTCATGTCGACGTCCTTCTGCTCGCCTTTGTCTGCTCGCTGATTCTTGGCAGCTGTGGTTTTGGTGTCCACGCATTGACTTCATTTATTGAACTTGTCGCTTGAGGGATCGCGATCTTCATTCATCGAATAGGAAAATTCGAACTTGCTCGCTGAAAAGCTGACCCGACGGTTCTTCTTTCGGTTCTAAAAGAAACGGTAGACAGAAAATGAATTGGAAGTACTGTACTGCTTCACCTCCAGAAACAGTGTTTGTGCACAGGCTGTCGACGTTGGCAACAACAAACATGATAAACTAGACGTGCTAATACTGTTACCTGATATGTAGTCAGGCCTGGCGCCTGCAATTTCGAATTCGAATGGTCGGGCCGCGTTAGGGTCGTTCAAGTCACCCGACATGTCCTCCTTCTTCTTAGCGGCCTCCTTGAGCATCTTTTTTCTCCACCCCTGCATGCGTAGGTCAAGCAGGTCTTGAATGAGAAATTGGCAGCGCTTGCTGTAGCGGTAATTGCCCCCCTCATCCTTGCTCGTCTTGAGGAATCGCAACTTGGAGAAGTAGTTCGAAAGGCGCGAGGACTGCTGCTGCTCGCCGTTGTTACCGCCCTGCTGCTGCTCCCCGTTCGGGGCGTTGGCCGTGACGGACTCGAGCGTGTAGCCGATCGTCTGCAGTAACTCCACGGCGCACTCGAGCTCATCTTCCCGCGGTCCCCCCACTTCTTCGCTGTTCAGCTGGATCAGATCCTCTATCACAGACGTGATCACCTTCACAGACAGCAACTGCCGCAGAAACAACTGCCCGATAAACTTCATGTTCGTTATACTGTGCTTGCGTCGCTTCTTCATCTCCGCGGCCAGCTCCTGGCCTTTCAGGTCCGCTGGCTGTGATATTGTTTTTAATGGGAGTGTCAAGTACCACAGAAAACCTAACACGCCACAAGAAGAACGTATCTCATAGTTTCCGTTTTCTGTTACTTTTTGCGACCACGCCGCATTAGATGAATCAGCAACATTCTGACTCTCTCGTTGATGTTCTTCTAGTTTTTTTACAACGGTGGAGTACAAGTTTGTGTGTGTGCTGCCAGTTGAATTTCTCCAAAATAAAAAATAGAAACCCTGAACGAATCAAGAAACCCGTTTCCGCCTACAGATCCTAATTCTGCGACGGCTCTGGACTGGATCAGAATCAGGGCATTATCTTGAATAAAAAAAAGCGCTGAATGTCAGCCAATACCATTTCGTCGCCCGCCAGCATTCTGCTACAGGATTCGTACTTGTCTTGGCAGACGGTGAGTAGCTGGCGGTGGAAAGTGATCTTTTTGGTGGGATCCTCCTCCGAGGGGAATTCGGGGTACCGGGTTTTCAGATTGTAGACCATGTCCGCATAAGTTTGGCAGTAGTGGTCCTCGTTCAAGGCTTTTGCGTACACCAGTTCGATCACCATGTCGAGCTCGTTGGCCCGCTCGATCTCGATCTTGGCCATCTGGTCCACGATAACCTGCAGGTTGTCCGGCGCGATCTTGTTCAGCAAGGCCTGTACTTGCCGCTTGATCTGCTGAAGCCGGCTGCCGTCCACGTGCCCCACCTGGTACGCGTTCTGCGTCTTCTTCAGCAGCCCCAGGTCGTTCGGCTGCTGGTACTGGCCGTACCCCCGGTTTCCGCCGGCAAATGCGTTGTTGCTAAAATTGCGCACGCCGATCAAGTCCGCACGACTGCTAAAGTTATCTGCCTCGTCCGTGAACAACTGTGATAAAGAATGCCGTAAAAATACTGAAGTTCTTGGCTAGAACGGGTGACTCAAATCTACTCCTGATCATATCCAGTCACTCGTCTCTAGTACTTGCGACACCTTTATTAGGACAACCATGAGAGACGGCGCGATGAAACAATCATTATCATAGTACTTAGACAAAACTACAAATCTAACAAAACGGAGTAGAAGTCATTCGGTTTCGGTGTACAAAACTTTCTACGAAAGCACTTCGTAAGGCAGGTGAACAAGATGCAATTTTGGTACCTTTTTCTTTTTCCAGTCTTGCCCGCCTGCGCCACGGGAACTTACTTTGCTAAGCTGTCCCTGGCCGCTACCCGATGGGGTCTTTCGCTTAATGTCGTATTCGCCGGTCGAAGCCATTTTTGCAGTCTTCCAATGTACAGTCGGCTCCGAGAGCTTGCCGGCCTTTTCCAGGCTCACTCTGACCTGCACCATGAAGTCCCGCGGGTAGTGCTTGTCCCTGCGCGCGGCCTCCTCAGGATCCATCACGGAGGACTCGACGCTATGGCTTGTGTACAGGTTGCCTCCCATGGCCGCACCACCCGTACCGCCCGCTCGGTTCACGTTGGGCGGGGACAGCGCGGGCGGCGCCGCACCGTCCTGCTGCAGGGGGTGCTGCGTGGTGGCGCCGGTCCCAGTCGCGGCCCCGTTGTTCGGTATCATGTTTCCAAACTGCTGATTTGCGGGCGCGGCGACCTGGGCCTGCTGGCCTTGCATCATGCCACCCGCTGTCGCCCCGCCATCCTGCCTTGCTTGGTTCTGCCGGTACATTTCCCAGCCCGTCTCAGCTAGCTTCATCTGGATCTTGTATTGGTTTTGGTGGAGTTGCTGCAACTCCTGGGGAGGCAGCTGGTAGTTCGGCGTGCTCTGCATCCGCAGCTGCAGGTTCTGCTGGAACATGGTCTCTTCAGGCGTGAGGACGTTCAGTGCCATCTGCTGCAGCGCCTGTTGCGACTGCTGCGGGAGACTCTGGAAGGTTTGGAGCCCTATCTGTAGTTGTTGCTGTGTCAGCGGCAACATCTGCTGCGGCTGCTGCTGCAAGTTCTGCTGCGGCTGCTGCGTTCCGCCAAGCGCTCCGTTCGCAGCCGCTCCAGTGAGCCGCTGTAGTGGCTGTTTGGTTTGCTGTGCGCGCAGCCCGCTTTGCAGCCACTCCATCGTGGCCTGGTCCAGGGGACTGCTCAGCCCCGGCATGTCTGGCAATTTGTGGTGCGGGGAACCCAGATTCGCCACGAAGTCAAAGTTGGGATTCGTGTGCCAAACGGCGTTGATGTGGTTCACAAGGCCGTTGATGTGGGGGTGCCACGTGCTAAAAACGTGATGATTGGATCTGAACAGCGTCTGAAGCACCTGCTCGTTCTTAAACACCTTAACCCACTCCAGCTGGTCTGTCATCAGAGCATCCAACGCCTTGCGCGCATGCTCCATGTGTTGCGCATTGTATTGCAGCATTCCCTCCACCTGGTGTGTAGGTGCGTAGTATTAGACACATACAAACTGGCTTTCGTTGCGTCTTCGCGAAAGAGCGAGAAGTGTCCTTTCGGGTTGTACGAGTAAATAGAATGCGTGGAGGATCGATCTTTTTTTCCATCGTTTGCGCAGGCGCAAGTTCCTCGCGTGTGAAGTTTTCGAAAAACCCCAAGCGAGAGAACGTGATGAAATCGGGCGAAGATCTGCGAAAACCAGGAGAGCTCCTACTTCTACAGAGTACTTTTTCGAGCTGAGCAGCACTAAATTACACCAGCAACTCACAACCCATGATCAAAAGGCGATACTCCAAGAGTTACAACACGACACTTACGACAATCTCATACAACTTTTGATGAAACCGCAACATGAAAAAACAAAAATTTCACAATACCGTGCCATGCAGCTGCGTCTGAAACTCCTCTGTCAGATCGCGGACCGGAATCGAAGTGGGCGGGCTGGGTGACGGCACGGGTGCCACGTCACCAGTCCTATTTTTTAGCGTAAAGACATGTAAGAGGCTGTGCAACAATTGGACCCCCTTTCGCCATGGCGAAAGGGGGGGTAGCGGCCCGCTGGAGACCAACCTCCCCCCTCCCCCCCCCCTTTCGCCGGGAGCTGTGCGCAGTGAAAAAAATTGCGGGGCGCGGTGCGCGTGCCCGCTGCGAGCAGGCCTTGAGCTGCGATCAGTGCTCGCGCTGCCGGAATTCAAAAAAATTCGCGCTGCGCGCGCCTGCTCCCGATAAACCGAGCAGGTTTGTTCTGTTTGTTTTATTTGTGGTGGCGGGCGCGTAATGGTAATGTGGAAAATTTTGCGGGCCGCGCTGCGCGCGCCTGCTCCCGATAAACCGAGCAGGTTTGTTCTGTTCGTTTTATTTGTGGCGGCGGGCGCGTACTGGTAATGTGGAAATTTTTGCGGGGCGTGCCGCGCGCGCCCGCTGCCGATAAACCGAGCAGGTTTGTTCTGTTCGTTTTATTTGTGGTTGCGGGCGCGTAATGCTAATGTGGCAAATTTTGCGGGGCGCGTTGCGCGCGCCCGCAGCCGATAAACCGAGCAGGTTTGTTCTGTTCGTTTTATTTGTGGTGGCGGGCGCGTGATGCTAATGTGGCAAATTTTGCGGGGCCCGCTGCGCGCGCCCGCTGCCGATAAACCGAGCAGGTTTGTTCTGTTCGTTTTATTTGTGGTGGCGGGCGCGTAGTGCTAATGTGGCAAATTTTGCGGGGCGCGCTGCGCGCGCCCGTTCGGACTACATTTGCATCACACTGCATGCCTCCGTCTGTGCTCGCCGGTCCTGACAGCGCGCGCATGGATGCCTCCCCACCCCCTCCGCCTGCGCCTCACAACACGGGGCAAAAAAACTTCGGGCCGACCCCATGTGCCCACCGACTTGTCAAACCCCCCCCCAAGCAGCACGGGGAGCCCGGGGTCATGACATTGGGCGCCCGCAATCGACCCGATGCACCTTGCTGCTCGGAATGTCTGTGAAGAAAAACACCGCGGGCGCCCGCCCTCCTAGGGCTGCCCGCCCCGACGCACATGCTACGGCGCGCCCGGTTCTGGACTCGCCCATAGATAGCAGGCAAATGGTTTCGGCCGTGTTGCGTACGCCTGTGGGCCTACTGCCGACCAACCGAACAGCCGCCACCTGCGAAGGCGGCACACGAAGAAGAGCCGCCGGGCGTTCGATTGTTGTCTGTGGGGCGAGACCGACGGGAGCCCCCGCCGCCCTTGCGTCGGGGTGCCAGCCCCCGTCCTCCGGAATTGGACCAACCTACCCCCCCCCCCTTTCGCCTTGGCGAAAGGGGGTCCAATTGTTGCACAGCCTCTAAGTACTAAGCTGACTCATCTTCAACATGGCAACTACCCTAGAAGGGTTTTTGTAAAAGTTAAAGTAGATTTCAGTTTGACATCTCAAGCATGCCGGCAACAATCCGGATCGCCGCGAGCAAAAATCAGTTGAGAATTAGTCAGAAATAATCATTGGGAAAAATGGTAAGTACGTGTGCATAGGTGCAGCGATGATTTCGTTAAAGGTCCTGCGTCCCCACGTACCATCCGCTTGCTGCCATTGGCCGCGGCTATACCAATCCATGATAGTCTGTTGGAGGTCGGTAAGTGTCGGAGGGTTCTTTACGTCAAAGAACAAATCCTCGCGCACGGCCCAGGCGGCCAAAAGCTGCGCCCCACGATGTTGTGCACTACGCATCATCTGTCCGCGCACTTGCACTATGTTGTTGTCGGGAGCGTTCGCTAGCACCTGCTGCACCTCCACGTCAATCTCGTTGGTGACTACGAGGTGCATACAATATTCCGCCTATGATTTTGTTGCGGATATTATGGTTTTGCACACTATATAAAGCAAGCAGACTTTGCACTGTCTCTTCATCCAGATTTTGATTCGATAGTACGCTGCGAGCCTGGAAGATGATGTCTAAGTGCATGTACAACAAAGGGCGAGAAAGTGTATGGAAATTTTGAAATACTGTTTTCATCATCAGCTCCCCGGGTATCTTGAGCTCGTCAAAGCGAATGCGCATTGCTTGGTAGAGTGCTTCCGTGCCTTGGGTGAGATCTTGGGAAGCAACGGGCAGCTGCTGCATTCCGACTTGATTTTGCTGAGCACCGTTGGCGATGCCGTGCATGTTGTTTTGCGCCATCATCATATGGTGTTGGTTTTGCGGAAAGCCCGCCTGATACAAGTACGCGTCGTTCGGTTGGTACCCTGTTCCCTGAGTGAAGGCGCGCACGTTGGCGGTGGATAGGGTACCAATGGGTAAAGGTGGTTGCGCCGTCTGCTGACCCTGACAAGTTAGAGTAGAGGTCAAATCTTTGTTGATTTCAGATACGTAGGCACACGCAAGTCTGACGAACAGCTCTCTTATTATCCGTGTGCCTTCATCTAGAATTTCATGCACAGCTTTCCTACAACAAGAAAAGAACACCAGCACTTGCTGGCTGCAGGGATGTGAGGAGCCGCGTCAACCGGCTGTAGTGATTCCATGATGTACATGTTTATTTAGTAGAAAGTCAAAATATCTCCATCAAAACGTCAGAAGTATCGCAAGTAAAGAAAAGTACTTTTCCGTCAGCCTGAGCGCCGCCGCCCCCAGGCTCTGCAGCTGCATTCCCCAGGTCCGCGAGCGCACGATTCTGCAGCTTCTTCTTCTCGCGCTTGTTGCCCCCTAAGGTGTATGCGCTCATGTCCGAGGTACGGGGGTCCGGCACGTTACCGCCGGCATCTAGTGGGGAGCGATTGGACCGCTTGGACGAGCTGGAGGTGGTTTTGTTGTGCAGGTCCAAGCTGTTGACGCTGCGGCGCGCCTGGCGCGTCGTCCCGTGTTCGCTATCCAGCGCGAGGGCGGCGATCAAATCGTTGCGGTGCGAGGGCTTCGCCGACTGGTTGCGCGTGCGCAGCGTGGTGTCCTTGGATTGCGCGGTAGTGCGGGAGCCGGGCTGGAACGCCTTCCGCCCGCCATCCTCCGGCTCCGTCGTGGGTGATGGTGTCGCCGGCTTGTCGCTCTTGGGCCCGCTTTTCAGTAGGCTCCCCGTATCCCTGTCCGCGGCGTCCGCGCTGCTGCGGTGTTTCTCCCGCCGACTGATCTTTTGCAGACTTTCCATAAACTGCTTCTTTAAGTCGTCGCGGTTCTCGAACTTGTGATCCGCGTTGAAATACTTATCTCCGCCTCGTTTGGCGGCCAGCTTTGCGTGCAACTTTTCCATCGGCGCCAGCGGCTGGTGCACAGCATCCTCTTTCAGGTGCTCGCTCAACGCCGCGTCAGGCTGCTGTGGCTTCGGCCGCGAGGTGGGCGGCTGCTCCCCGGCGCCGGAAGCAACAGGCTGGGGCTGCAGAGTGGGTGACGGCTTATTTTGTTTCGCCGCTTTATGAGGCTTCGGCAGATGCGCCTTCTCCTGCTGCGCTTTCATGTACTCCTGCAAGGTAGCGTACCCATCCAGCACCCCCGCTTTGCTTGTCGCGCCTTCCTTCTTGATGTGCTCCTTGCTCTTCACGTCTGCTCCGTTTTTACTGTGCGGCTCCTTGATATCGTGGTGCTGGAGGTGATGCTGTGCTCTTGCCCCAGTGTTGATAAAGGCCTTATGATCCTTCCTGGTCGCGGTCTGGACACCGAGCCCGAGGCCTTTCGATTGAAGAAAGGCCGCATTACTCCGCCCCTTGGTCTTTTCGTCGAACGCAGCAAACATATCGCGCTGCTTCGCCAACTTGCTGGTTCCTGCCGTGGACTCCGTACTTGACACCGGGAGCTTGCTGCCTGTTGACTCCGCGCTCCCCGGCTGCTCCGGCGCTTCCTCTCTCTTGCCGGCCGTAGACGCCGGTCCGTCGCCCCCATCTGGTGCGCCCGGTGTCGCCATCGGCGCCGCGGTGCCGGCGCCACCGTCGGCCGCGGCCAGCACGATCGGGGTCGCGGGCACGGTCTGGGCTTGCTTGGGGTCCGCGGAGGTGCTTGCGGGCGTCTGCTCATTCGTGGCTGTGCCATTTGCCGTAGCGCCCGCCCCGACGAGCAGCGACTGGGTTTTGGCGAGCGCCGACCCTCCCTCTTCCTGCTTTTCCTTGCTCTGGCGGCGCGCCTCGTCGTCCTTCACCTGGTCACTTATGCTCTTCCCTGTGTTGGGATTGATGATTGCAAACGCCTTGCTCTTCTTCGGTGGCTCCGGCGCGGCGGCACCGCTGGCCGTGGTGCCAGTGGAAGTAGGCGGGGCCTGGAACCCCATCTGCACCGCGGTGCCCGAGGTGGTGGATGCCGGAATCAGGTTGTTTCCTGAGGGGTTCTGCGAAAAGGTGGCGGCGGGGTAAAACGTGGCGCTGCCTTGCGTTTGCAACTGCGACCCGGGGCCCCCGCCCATGTTGTATTGGAACTGCTGCCCGGCTTGTCCCGCGTTCAAACTGCTGCTGCTGCCCTGCTGGTTGTACTGAAACTGGTTAAAGGAACCCGCAGCGCCGCCCTGGCTCTGCGTGTGCTGCCCCATGCCGCCGACGTTCGAGTGCGAGCTCATCATCGACTGCGTGGCCGTCAGCTGACCAACCTGCGACTGCGTGCCGTCGTTTTGGTTCATGCTCATCGTGGACGCGTTCAAAGAACCCTGATCCGGCATGGTGCCGTCCGGGTTCATCAGGTTCTGGTGCAAATTCATCGTGTTCTGCGCCCCGTACATCCCGCCCTGCATCATCTGATTTGCTCCCGGACCCCCCTGCTGATGCGACAGCTGCTGCTGCTGCTGCAAGGAGCTGGACATCTGGGTTAAATTGCTCATAGAAAGAGCTCCCACGACCGGGCCGCCTCCCGCCGTGCTTTGGTTGCTCGCGCCCCCAGGTTGGTTCATGCTTTGTTGCAGGTTCTGTGCGTTCATGTTGTTCTGCATCTGCATCGCGTTCCCCTGCCCGCCCATCATGCTGCCGGCATTTTGGTTTTGTTGGTTTGCCCCACCGTAGCCCATCATGCCAGGGTTCTGGTTGCTTCCACTCATTGTGTTCTGCATACTGTTTGCAGCCCCCATGGCGTTCGGGTTACTGTTTTGGCTTCCGCCCATCATGCCTCCACCCATTTGGTTCATGTTGCCACCGCCCATATTGTTTTGCCCCGCGCCCCCTGCATTCGTCCCCTGGAAAGTGGCTGCCATACCGTGGTTCATGGTCCCAATCGAGCCTGTCGGCTGGTTTTGCGATCCAAACCCCCGATTGTTACCACCTTGCTGTCCTGGTCCGAAGTTCTGGTAGGGGTTGTTATTGTTATTTCCCGCAGCAGTGGCTCCGCCCGCTGCACCGCTGTTGCCGACGGACTGCGCGGTGTTCGCGTTGCCACCGGTTCCATTAGTGCTCGGCCCGGCCTGGTTATTATTTTGTGTGGCATTATAGCCCCCTTGCGGGTTATTTGCACCCTGTTGCTGCGAATTTCGCCCGTCGGCGCTCATGCTGTTTCCGCTCCCTCGGTTGTTTTGCTGGTTGCTAGCCTGGGAGCCCCCTGTCTGGTTGTTGTTTTGAGCGGTGTTGTCATTGTTACTCCCACGCCTCCAGTAGGAGCTCCAGTCTCCCCAACCGCCGCTCGACATCTTAGCCGCCAGAACTTGATTTTAATCCGCTAGCCTCGGGAACCGGATTCCACGCGCACCAAAATTCTTTGTCGTCTTACTTCATACAATTACAATCAATTTTCCGACTTGGGAACAGCGCTCCTGGTACAGTTTTTCCTTGTCTTCAGCTCCCAGAGCAGTTGCGGGTCCAGTGAGCTTACAAGCTTGTTCAAGATGTCGTTCGGGGTGTGAAACACGTGTGGTCGAGCGTGTCGAATAAATGCTGCTGGATTTCTTTTTGGCGTCCTCTTACTTTCTGGAATGCAGGAATGCTACACACCTAGTTCAGCCTGGGAAAAGTGTTTGCGGGGGTGGAAGAACAGACGCTGAGACACAACGCCGACTGTGCTTTTACGACACTGCTGCGTTGCTTCCTGCCTTCGCAAATCTTGCAGCTGCGCGCAGTTCCCTTTTGTGACACCACGTCCATGTTTTCAGGAATTCTTTTTTTTTGTCCCACAGATTGTCTGCGGAGTCGGACTGCAAGATTACAATGAGTGCGGCACTTGCATACTGAAACTAGAGGTTCGATATACGATTCTTCTTGATGAATTTTACAAAATCAAAAAGGCTACTTTGCAAGTCGAAACTGCAAAACATCAGCGGTAATTCAAGTCAGTGGCTCGGAAATTTTAAGTGCTACTGCTACTTAGTCGCCGCAATTACATACAAGTAAGTTGGTAGTCAAAGCGGACAAGAATGGGAAAAATAAGTGCGCTATCACTTAAAAATATCCCGTATAATTCTTGACACTAACGCTGCAGCAGAAGTGGAACAACAGACTGTAATTGTACTGCATTCTCGGATCTTCTCGTTTTTTTCCTTCCACAAGTCGCGCGCAAGCGATTTCATTTTTCGGTCATTCGTTTTAGTCATGCCAACTGCAGGTGCCGCATTGTCTTTTCCTTTTTCTGCAGAACTAGAACAGGAAAATATCAGTCTTGATGTCGGTTCCTTTCGAACTCTGTCTGAGGTTGAACAATGTGATCGTGATCCTGCAATGCGCTGCATTAATAACGGCACTCTTGCTACAAAGTCAAAGGCGGAACACGAGTCTGCGAGATAGATCCGCAGGAAATCGAAGTGCAAGTTGCGTGCGGTGTGAAGCAACGCTATATTTTGGAAGGGAATCTTCAAAGTAGCACCTTTTTTGTGGAGAACGGGGAAGATCTTCTGGGTCCGTTGACGTTAAGTAGCATTTTATTCGGACTCGTTGTCGTGCACTCAGATGGACAGTAGTTCTTCGTATTCTTAACCAGTCTTTGTCCAGATTGGCAGTCAGTGTATTGGTACTCCTGCCTACTGTTCTAATTGTACATACAGATGCGATACGATCCAGAAATGCAGATGAAACAATTTTTTTCTTCAGCAGAGGCCGGAAAGGGAATAGTGTAATAAATAGTACAACTAACTTTGAAAATATAGTCACCGGGGTTAGTGGAGTATTCATCATACCGTTTGGGATGGGGGTGCTTACTGACAGATGTCACGGAGCAACGCAGGGCAAGCTACATGCAGCTCCGGAATGCTTGTGAGTGTGGGCGTGAAAGAGAATGCGCTTGTGATTTAGGTTCATACGGGTACATTACATTTGGTTTCGTTACGGCAGTGTTGCAATTCCAAACAAGACGTGAGAAGTGCATGATTACTTCTCAATCTCGTCACCGACCCTACTTTATGAAAACCAAAACTCGTGAAACTGAAAACTAACCGTGCAAATAAATTGAGAGCAATGCCATGTTTTTACTTAGTACGGATAAACGAAATATGGTACTTAAAGGCAAAATCGTTCGCTACGGTGACGCTGAACATCCGGCCCGAACGGAACTTCTATTCAGGGCCACGGTGCTTCTGCGGGTGACTTTCTCCCGCGTGACAACTTCCGCGTCGAAGGTTGTTCATCTGCATCGACGCCAACCTGTGCTTGCCCGCGCTCGTTCACCACGTGTTGCGCGACCAGGGTTTCCGCGTAGGACAGGACGGGATCGGCGATCCGGGTCTCGTTGTAATACTGGAAGGTTTGGGACCCCCGCCGGGTCCCGCTGTCCCCGCCCAGGTCGCCGCTGCTGCCCCCGCTGCGGCCCGAACTGCGCTTCTTCGCCCGGTGGGCGCGGTCCTCCCGCTCCAGCTCGATGTCGAGGCCCACGTCCTGCACCCGCGCCCCTGCCGGCGCGGTCCTCCCATAGGCCTCGGGCTGCGGGCGACCCTCCTCCTGTTCGTCCTCCAATTCCATGAAGCCGTCCAGCTCCTGCCCCGGCACAGGCATCGCTCCTGCCTCGCCTTCCCCGCCCCCATTTTGCAGTGCCATCACCGCAAGGCGTTCTCTCTCCGACTTGCGGGTCTCGATCGAGGCGCGCGCCTCCGCCTCGTGGTCGTGCGCCTTGTTGATCATCGACCGCATCTTCCGGTCCGTGAACAGTCGCTCCAGGAAGCCCCGCTCCCGTTCGAGGTCAAAGAAGGCGCCCAACTCCGTGGAGGAGACCTGGTCCCCGATGCTGCACGACTCCACGAACTCATTCAGCTGAATGGTGCCCGTCCGGTCCACGTCCAGTCCGTGCATCATCGATTGCGTCATGCAGAGCAGATCCTTCTCGTCCAGATGCCCGTCCTGCACGCACTGCGCCAAGCATTCCACCAACTTCTGCTCCAGAAATTCCTCGTTGAAAGGCACGACGTTGTCGCCAGGCTCGGACGCCGAGGACTTGCGCTTCTTGTTCCGGTTCTCGATCATGGCCTTGTACACCTGGGCGGTGACGATTTTCCGGGCGCAGGTCCCGTAGATCGCCTTGGTCAGGTCCAGCGGCTCTGCCTGCACCCGCGTGTACACCGCAGAGGCAGGGCCCGCGCAGTTGAGCGCGATCACCTTGATCACGGTGGTCGGAATTGCGAGCAGGACCAGCGCGTTCACGATACCCGTGATCAGCGCGTTCAGGTCGAAGAACGAGAAGCGGCCCGTGGCCTCCAGGGTCACCGATACCCCGTATTGGTAGCGGTACCGGTACTTGCCGTCGGCGTTCGACGCAGAACCGAGGCTGGGGACGGCGGTGTAGGCCACCACCTGGTTCGAGTTCCACAAGGGCACCGCACGCACACGCACGTAGCACACGACGCCCTCGAAGTCCTCCTTGTGCTCCTTCGCGTTGTGGTACACCATCTGCAGCTTCAGCTGCATCCCCGTCACGCGCATTTTGGGTGTCCCAACTTCGCCGGCAAGCCCCGTCTTCAACTGTAGTTCAAGTTCAAGCGATAAGTTTATATGATTTGTACTTGTTCAGTAGACTCAGTACGACTTCTCTGAAGTCGGATGGCGGACACAAGAAGGCATTGACTTTTGCGGCCGCGTTTAACTCGACCATTTTTTATTTTTTATAATCACGAAAGCACTTTGTCGTTGCTTGTGCATGCGGTTTAGCTGCGCATCGTCTTCCTTGACAGCGACAAGAGCCTAGGTGCGGTTCGCTGTCAAGGAAGACGATGCCCCTGCAAGAACATAGAGATGAAACAATAGTGCAAACAAAAAATGAAAAAAGTAAAAGCCGCGCGCGCGTGATCTCAGCCTTTTTGGAAGCATAGTTTTAGACTAGTATACCTTTGGTGCGTCGCTGTCGAGATTGACACCGGCACAAGCGAGCCACTCCTTGAGCTTGCCGTTGATGCCCTTCGAGGCATCGGCCGGTTCCCACCGAGAGCGTCCGCCGACCACGCACTCCCGGGAGCCACTTTCGTTCTGGATGACGGTCAGAATCTGCCCCTCCTGGCCCGATACGGTTGTCGGCGCGTCGCCCGGCTCGCCGATCTCCGCTTGGGTCGAATCGCGGCCCTGCTGGATCTCGTCCGAGCTTTTTTCCGTGTTCGTCTCGTAGCCGTGGTTGAAGTAAAAGACCTGCTCCTCCACGTTGGCCACGAACCACTCGGCGCGGCCAGAGGCGGTGCTGTTCCCGTCGTAGAGCGAGTCCTGCACAAAGGTGGGAATGTACATCTGCGACCCCAGCTTCCACATGTGCTCGCCCACCGGCATCGGCAAGCACTGTGCGGGGCGGTACTTCTCGGTCGCATCCCAGTCGTAGTTGTAAGTGGCCGCCAGGGTTGCCGTGTCGCAGTGCTGCGGCAGCGGCGTGGCAGAGGCGTCGTACGCGGGGGGGCTGCCCGACCACAGGGACACGGAGCTGTGCACCGGCACGAACCGCTCGTTCCAGATCTGGGCGGTGATGCTGGTGTACAAGACAAATATCAGCGTGGCCAAGGTGAGCAGCTTGTGCAAGAACCCCAGCCGCCGGTTCTCGATCACCACCTCTTTCGGCAGCCGCACGAAGGCGATCAGGTCGCCAACCTTGTCCCAGAGCCACGACATTTTTTTTCCCTCCGGCTCCGGGCTTTTCTGATTTTTGCCTCTGGTAATATGAACAGTATCGCGTAGTTGTCACTGTCAGTAAAACTCCTTAATGGAATAATTGCGCAGGCAGTGGAAAGACCGACTTCGATATGAGATGAAATGACCGAAGGCGAGGTGCGAGACCAAATGTGGAAAAATACGTGTAGTTGAGGGGGAACTGTTAAATAATGGCACTACTTACCAGTATCAATCGCAGGAGGAAAGATTTAAATTATAAAATAAAGACCACACGCGCATGCGCACATCACCGCCGACGCTAAAAAACTACCGAACAAAGTCAAAGCACGACTGAAGCAACCTTAATGGCTCTGCGGAAATTGAGCCGGAACGAAAAATGAATACGAAGTTGACGACACGATCCCACATGGACGATGGATTCCAACACTTCTAAGGATTGTACGACAAAAGATCATTCAAGGATAAAGACGTGTAGTTGCTCCACCTTTTCAGGATACCGATACTTTTTGGACGCGACGCACATCGAAAGCAAGGACGACGACTACCAACGTTTTCTTCGCGCACGAATGGTACGAACCTAACCTGCACGGGCTGAACGAACACGTCCCAAGAGCGTTTCTGTGTTTATTTCTAGGTGGATCTGTCCTCGAAGTCGAACAGGACATTTTTTACACTTCTCGCAGGCTTTGTGAGAACGATCACGATGCCGCGGCCCCTCATCTGCATAGCATTTTTGTTGCGGGGCTGGAGGAATTTAGTTTAGCTCCGATTTTGAAAAATTTCCTACCTCAAGTGGATGTCAAGTTCATTCCAATCGTCCAAAAATTAAACTCAGCAGCTGAGAGGGAGACCTTCCTAGCTGCGAGAACTCGCATTGTACATGTTGCTGTTGGTCAGCAGCTTCTCACAAAACAGAATCAATGTCCGCGTTTCAATTTTACAAGAAAAGCTCCGCTTGCTACAAGAAAACGAGCAGTTTATTTAGACAGTAATTGAGCGGCTTTGAATGAGAATCGAATGATGCCACGCACGTGCGTGTGACAAAAATCTACATTATATTTTGAAGACGCGTCGTACTGCTTGCGCTATCAAATAGCTCAGAAGGACCCCCCATGATCCGATACTGCAATCAGCTTCGTCCTCGATGCGGACGCTGTCACGTGACCGATCGTTCGGGTATTTGCACCGGCGTTCATCGTCCCTCCTGCCGTGGGCGGAACAAATCCCGAACTGGCATTAGAGAAGCTAGAAACCGACCGGCTTCGCTGTAGCATTGCAATCCCGCCGGAACTGGTTCGGGACAGAACACTCGACGAGGACCCACTCGTCGCGCCCCCGACTGTAGTGTTGCTCATCGTGGAACCCTTGCGGAGGTGTGCGTGCGTCGCCATGCCACCCACACCATTGATGCTGCCTTCGACGTCGCTGTAGTCCGACAGCGACACCGTTCCTGAACTCGTGGCCGTTGTACCTCCCCCGTCGTACGCTCCAGAAGAAGTACCGCCCGCACTAGCCTTGCTGGCACTCCGGCTGATCTGTTGTCGCAGTTCCAATGCGCGAAGCACGCTGACGGGCCGCGAGTCTGCGGTGTCCTGCGTCGCCGCACCACCGGCAGAGGAACTCGAGAAATCGTGTGCTGTGGTGTTGCTCGTCATGCTACCACTGTTGAAGTTGCTTCCGCCGCCCGGATTCGTCGTTGGAGTTGCGAAATGCGAAGACGATCGAGCCGCCGAGCCTCCCAACACTACAGCCGCACCTGTCGCGCGCGCTACCGAGGACGTGGCGACGTGACGATTCGTCGAAGCGGCGGGCGTGGTTGTGGCGGTCCCGGTTCCTGTACCTCCCATGATCGCGGTGCTTGATGTTCCGGATTTGCTGCCACTGTGCGTCATGTGATCGCTCCAGTAACCGGAACCAGGACGACTGCTGTGCCCGATGATTTGACGCTGCGGCGTTTCGAACATGTTTCGAGACACAGGATCTTGCTCGAAGTCCGCTGTATTTGCCGCGGCAGACGCAAAACTATTTCCCTGTGAAGACGTCGTGTCGTGCGTCGGGCCAAATTTGTTGCGGTTCGACTTCTGCGGAGAGTGGAAACGCACCTCGCTATCAAGAGCATCTTCGACTCCACCTTGTTCATCATGATGTTTCTTCGCCACACTCCTTCCCGGGGACGCGTGAAACATTTTCTCCGCGCTGCTTGCTGCGGAAAGAGGCGTCACAAATGGTGTGCTGGTAGCACCGACCACACTACGCGTCGCCCCTCTTGTTCCGCCCATCGTTCCGGAAAAGGGGGTGCCGGAATTAGTGCGCAGGAACGGATGCGGGTGCGCAGGCCCGCCCCGTGGCGCGGCCGGTGTCCCGGTCGTGGTCTGCTGCTGTTGAAAGGCGGTCGGCGTCGAAGATACACTTGACACTCCGTAGTTGCTCTTCTTCCTCGAACTCGTCATGCGCTCAACGAGTTTCTGCAGCGGATCGACCGCCCGGGCGGGATCGCTCTCTCCTTCGGGCGCGTTAGTTCCACCTACCTCGGGGTCACCGCCCATCGCGGCGTGCTTTTTGTGCGGTGAACTCACGACCGCAACCGTGGCGACCAGCGGCACTCCACTGTCGAGCACGCCAGAGCACGTGTCTGAGATCAAGCGCATGCGGTTCGGGAACTGCCGCCCGTAGTAGTAGGTGTCCTGCTCCTCCTCGTTGTCTTCTTTCTGGAGCAAGCCGCGCTCGTACAGCAGCAGTGCCTTGACGAAGAAATCACGGAACAGATCGCGGCCCTCGACCTCTTTCTTGATCGTATCCGGAATGCCAAACCACGGGTCGGACGAGGAGGGCGGCAGTACGCGGTAGGACTGCTGAAACTGATTTACCGCTCCGCTGGGTGTCGCGGTTGGTCTTGAGGACGACCCGGAGAAGGAGGAGGTTTTGTGGTCGTACTGATTGCTCTCGACCAGCTTGGAGCCTCCGGGGTGCCACATGTACTGCGGCTGGGTGTCCGAGTTGGCGCCACTCCCGCGACCGCCCGACGCGGCGTCCAAGTCCGTCCACCCGGCCTCTTTGATCAGCTGGCGGAGAAACGGTAATCCCACCTCCTTCATCTTCTCCATCCCGAATTTACATTGCTTCGCGAACTCGTGGTCTAGGATGAAGTCCGGGATTTTACCCGTTTTCGACCCCGGGCGCGAACTGTACGTGGGCGCCGAAGTTGCACCCATCCCGCCGTGGGGGTCGTGCTCCCCTGAGGATGCAAATTCAGCTGCTCCGGCCGGCACGTTCCCGGCGGTCGCCGCACCTTGATGTTGTCCCGCGTTTGCGGTCTGGCTCTCCATAGCGGCTCTGCATTTCTGTGTGACCACCACGTTTTTGAACAGCGTGCGCGGGCTGCCGCTCAGCGCGTTGGCCAGGTCGTTGGCATTGCGCAGCCGTTCGCCAAAAGGCGTGTTGTTGGCCTCCGCCTCTTGCTTCTTCTTTCGCTTCTTCTCCAGCTCAAGCTGCTCCCGCTTGCGCTCCTCGTCTTTCTTCTGCAGCTCCGTGTAGATGTCGTCGATCAGCTGCAGACAAGAGCTTGCCGTGAGAATCGCGTTGTGCGTGTCCTTCCAGCGCGGCTGATTGGACAGGAACTCGCGCGCCTGCTGCTCTGCGTCCTGGCCCGTCTTTGAGGGCGAGCTGGCTTTGCTGACAACGGCACCATTCGAATTCGTAGTCGTGTTTCTGTTCCCTGCGCCGCCCTTTCTTCCCCCTTGCTCGACATCGGCACCGGCACCGGCGGCAGAAGGTGTAACAACTGAAGACGCAAACTTCGGCGCAGTGTCTGTGTAGAGGGAGGATTCGCCGCTGAGAATTTTCTTGCTTTCGAAATCGAAATCGGTCTTCTGCGCCGACTCGGATTCCTGGATGAGGCACCGCACCACCTCCTGCAGTTGGCGCTTGATCTGGTAGGACTCGCACTCGTAGTCGCGCGCATACTCGAGCAGCAGCTGCCTCTTCCGGACGAACACCCCGAGCACACCGTCGTTGGACCCCACGATGACCCGGCAGCCGTTCTCGTCTGGCGAGAAGGCCGCGACGTTGACGGCGTCCATTCCGGTGGCCTTTAGCCTCTGGAACGGCTCGAAGATCACGTTGTGCTCCCACGTCTGCTGCCAATGCTTTGTCGCGGCTGCCTGCGGGTTGAGGTTCTGGTGGTCCAAAGAGCCAGCACTTGCCGCATGCGGTTGCAAGCCCCGGTTCGCGCGCGTCTTCAGCGGACTGCTGTTGTTGGACGCATAAGCCGGCCCCAGGACCGCCGTCACCGCGTTCGCGATCGCACTCCCGGCAGAATGCTGCTGGGAGGATATCAAATGTAAAAATGTCTGGGTCTGGAAGATTCTGAGACTTGTCATGCATATTTTCCCTGACCCATGATGTCTGTGATGCATGCCTTAGCATCACAGATTTTTTGGGGGCTTCGCGATGCCTTTTCCGCATGACAAATGCCCTCTCCGCGTAGCAAAAATAGCACCCCCTTTGCTGCTCATGCAATACAGATTTTTTTGGAATCCAAATTCAGCATCACAAGTTGCATTCTTCCAGACCCAGACATTTTTACATTTGATAGAGGAGGTCGTCGTGCCACTGTTGTGATTGTGGCGGAAGACCGCTTGCCGCAACGTAGTCACTTTCCAAATGAGCAGCCGTGGGCTCACGCAGAGACACCAGAGGCAGTCCCGGCTCAATTTGGGGCTGTGCACGCCGGGCTCGAGCGCGATCTTGCTGAGCAGCTGCCATCCACTCGGGTCTTCCTGTGTGAAGTCCGCCCAGAGCCGCAAACTGTTGTCCTTACTGGTACTGACCAGCACCACCCTCGGCCGCCGATGCCACCTCGGGTGGGTACCGTTGCTCCCGTTTTGCATAAGTGAACCGCCTCTAGTACCGTTTCGCGACGCCGAGATCTTGTCGATCGGCTGGTTGCCGCCACCCCTGGTCGACGCGAGGCCGTTGGACTTCACGAGCGCACCTGCGGACGAGGCCCCGTCCCCCAAGTCCACCGCTCCCGCTCGGCTCGCCAGCCGGCTACGTCTGCCCTGCTTGGACGGCGACCGGGAGTTTGGGTTGCTTTCGGCTTCCGACTCCGTGTTCGACCGGGATGCGAAGCCAGAAGAATGCTGATGATCCTCCTCGGGGTCGGACACCTCCAGCTCCTCCAGAATCAAGTCCGTGTAAAACTCAAACGCCGTGATGGCCCCGTGGTGGCCGGAGAGCATCTTTTCCATCGCGAACGTCTGCGCGTGCCAGATGCTGATACTCCCGCTCGCGTGCCCCACCAGGACCCGGTTCCCCGAAGGCGAGTAGGCGCACGCGGTGGGCGCCCCCCAGGACATCACGGACCGCAAAATTTTCGGGGTGCACTTGGCCCCGCCCCAGTCCTTCGTGCTGTACACCACCAGCGCCATGTCGGCACACGCCACAATGCAATCCGTATTGTGCGGCGCGGCAGCGACGTTTGTTCCTCGGGTGCCACTGGTACCAGGCGCGTTTGTCGCCGCTGCGCTGCCTCGATGAAAAGCTACGCACTGCCAGCGACTGCGTTCCGATAAATCAACTGTCGTGTTACGAAAAAGAATCTCAGATAGCCCGGACACAGTAGTACGAGAGGAGCACACAAGTTGTGCCCCACATCTTCAACTTCATCTTTTCTTCGAGGTGCCAGGATGAAATAACAAAAAATAGAAAAGAGCAAGAACTTTGCCCGACCAATACCATCGGCATTCGCTTCTTTGCTACTGGGTCTTCCGTTTTGCGCGTTGAGCACGTGGCGGCGCGACGTCGCCTCGAAGCCGCCGGTTTGAGGGCGATTTTGCTTCTATCGCTTGCAAAAATGTCGATGTGTTGGCCTTGATGTGAGATGAACCTAGGAGATGCAAAGCTGCATTTACCATGCATGAGCTGCTCGAACGATAGAGTGATGACATGGAGCAGCTAGTACTACCCTCCGCGGACTCAGGAGATGAAGTGGGTTCTTCTTCTTTTACACAACATGAACGATTGCGACTTCATTAGATTCATTTGCGAAACGTTCACCAAGAAGAGCCAACGTGCGCCCATCGCTCTGTTAATATTATTGCAGCCATGCAAAGGAGGTCGCCACGAGAACGTGCACCACACGGGAACATACATAAAAGCTGTGCCATGCGTGAGACACTTCGCGCGCCTTTGCATGTTGACAAACGTCCGCACTTGACCAGACGCAGCGACACTTTTTATATGCACGTGATAGTTTCAGAAGATTCACCATCTGCAACTTGTCTTCCTCCTGTTTTTGCTGCGCAAGGTCGCTGTCGAGCATTTTAGTCAAGGGCGGCACGATCCACTTGACGAAGCCGAAATCCTCTTTCACGGAGAACACTCGAATCCCGTCGCCCGAGAGCACGATGAGAAATTCCGAGACTGGCGTTTTGTTCGCGCCGGTCCCTGGTTTCGTGGTGAAGGTGAGCTGTTTCGGGGGGAAGAAACTGCTGTTGTTCGTTTTCACAGTGTGCGTTTCTGCGTAGGACTCGAAATCGTACACCTTGACGTCACCGCTCCCGTTGCCCACCACGAAGAACTCGTGGCAGGGTGAGATCGCGATCGAACAGATCTCCTGGTTCAAACACACCAGCGTCCGCTCGTACAAAAAATCGTCCCACGAACTTCCGCCAGCCTTGTCGATGTGGGCCCCCGTTGTCGTCAAGTTCCGGTTCTTCGACGACGTGAGCGGATGACGGGTAGCGGCCGGGTTGCTTGACGAGGTAGTAGAGGAGCTTGAGGGGAAGGCTGCGGCGGGAGCCCCGCTGCCGGTGGTCCCCGTCGTGGTGGGGATGTGCATCTGCTGCAGCCCCAACCGGTTTCGCGCTTTGCTCCAGGCGCTGTTCGCGAGCGCCGGCGGCCCGGTGGAGGAGGCTGCCGAGGTTGCCATTGATGTAGCAGCTGATTCAATGCTTCTATTGACAGCTACAGGAGCGACGTTGCACCGCGGTGCTATTGAGTGCTTTCAAAGTACTGGAATGCCGTCGACCTGGCACCGACCCTCCTGCTTACAGCTACTACCACCTGTCGTGATTACTACACCACCGCTGCTGCGCCTGCAGCTGCTTCCACCTCCCTGCCCGCTCTACAACAAAAAAAGCGTGTAGGTACGCCTGCTGATTGGGATGATTTGGTGATTATGCACTCAATTTGCTTAGCATCTTACCAGCAGCGACAGCCAAATTCACTCATCGAGGAAAGGTAAAACTCGGATTCGCGAATTGCACGCAAACACCTCGAATTTGCGTCATCTCGAACTCGAACTACCGCTAGACGCTTTGACACGAAGCTCGGATCCACTCACGGCGGCGACAATCGAGGTACTTACATCAAACAATCGACCTACGAGAAAGAAGCACTGTCACTTTTCGGATGCCGCCAGGCTTGCGAAACATCCTGATCCTCTCATGATCTTGGAAGACGCGCGAAGGGGAACTCAGTGGTAACAACGAATCTGGCAACGGGGACAGGAGCTGAAACTGTCCCTTTCTTACAAAACCCGTTCCATCCAACCATGTTGCGTAGTTTTATCTTATCGTCCATGCTGAGTTTGAATAGAATATCCAAATGTTCGTTAACCTGTCGATCTCGGTGCGAGATGCGAGGCAGTGTGAATTCATTTCCATTTCACGCTAGCGTAGTTTTATCATTTTTGCAGAAAGATTTCAAAATGACGGTGAAATCAAGTAGCTCGTACAAATTCGGGAGATGTTAGGAATGTGAAAACAGCAGGACATGATGTCAACAAGATTTCCCTGACATCAAACGACCGGAACTTAGCCCAGGTGCGCAGCGAGCTTTCCAGAAACTTGGGTGACTTTCTTCAGGGCGTTCTTGTCTTTGATACCTTCTGCATTTACCTGCAGCAAGCGCAGGCGGAAAGCCATATTCTGCGTCTTCTCCAAAACTTGCTGGTAGATTTCCGTCTCCTCTTTCGGAAAAAACACACTGCTTGTGCCCTGTTTTATTTCAGATAAGAAAATATCAAAATCCGATCTTTCTTGATACCGCCGCCCCATCAGAACGAATATGTCCACCTCTTCATTGTATACTCTACTGAGTTGTACAACAAAACCAAACATGTATTGAAACACAAAAACATCGTACGTTTGCGTCGCTGTCAATGCAGGCACCGGAGAGCTTTCCTGTCTGAATCAGTTCGACGATCCACTGCTCCGCCATCTCTGCTGGCATGCTCATTTTGTCCGCAATCGTTGAGATATCCACAGATTGATGGATCCTGATATTGTTTTTGGTGCAACATGTTGCTGCGTGTGTATTTTGCTTATCCACTCATTCAAGGGGCACCAGGCATCGGCACGCAAACTATCCTTGTGCATCTGCTGATAAAGCGAGAAGGAGAACATCAATGAAAGGATTCAGCAAATAAAGCCGCTTCTTCTCTTGTACTACATGGTCTCAAATGCAAGCGACGTCAAGAATTTGTTCCCAGAAAAAAGTGCGGGTGCTCTTACCTGCAGTAGATGGAGAAAATCGCGAGCCTGGCGTTGGCAAGAATGACGGTGAGGTTATCGCCCCACAAGAAGTAGTCGCATCAAGTTTAAAAATGTCTGGGTCTGGAAGAATTCATGTTTGTCATGCTTGTCTGGCACGACTCTTAAATCTGTCCTGCACGTTACCCAAGAGCTACGCTTTTCTGTGATGCAGAAGCGCAGTTTGTCATGCAGAATAGGCAACACCTAGGAGCTCAGAAACTTGTCATGCTGAGCCAGCATTTGTAGCCTCATCATGAGACGCCACCCAGCATTACAAGTCTCCAGACCCAGACATTTTTACATTTGATAAGTCGTTGTTGCAAGCAATTTGGAGCTCGTCGAGCTTCTTCTTCGCCGTCTCGAAGTCCAAGTCTTGATGCAGGGCGAGGAGGTATCCTAAGTAACAACGTCCCCACCCCATAGGCAAGTTGGCAATCTAGCAACACAAATCTCCAAGCTTTGGGAGCTGTGCATCACAAGTTTCCCTCTGCAGTGTAGTGCTGATTGGCAAGAGAAGCCACATGAGAAAGCCATTTTCACATCCTGTTTACAGCATTACAAATTGCAAAACACGATTGGAAATTTCTCTCGCGGAGCTGCGCATTACAAACGTTCCTGTCATTGCACATTTGCATGACAACTCTGGTGTGGGGACGCTTTTACTCAGGATAGGAGGAATTCGGTGAGCGGATCGGCGTAGTTCTGTTTGTCCTGGTTCAGCACGTGAATCAGGTCCTTCAACATCGGCTTAAGCTTCTTGTTCAACAAGAACACCGCGGCGGCGTATCGCAGCATGTGTGGGCACATCAAGCTGGTTTTTTGTTGTAGGGAGGTTTCCTTTAGCTACATCACTTGCATCAAGCGGAAAGGGAATCAATCTGTGACACAGACACAATCTTGTTGACTCAGGCATTGGAGTGGGGAATCTCTACCTTACATGAACAAGAAAAAATTACGGGAGGTGGAACATACCTGATCAGCGCGAGGTATTTCTCGGACAAGAAAAGTTCCATGACCCGCTGAATCTGGCTGTGCGCAGATTCCAAGTCGCCATCTCGGAACAAGACAAAGAGCATCCAGTGCTGCAGCCACGTTCGCTGAATCAGGATGGCCTTCTTGCTAAGACCGCTTCCCGGCTCCTCCAAAAATTCATCCAAGGCGAGAATCTGTGTGCGGCGATGTAAAAATTAAGTACAAATTTTGCAAATGCGACACTCACCGTCAAAGATGAGTACCAATGCAACGCGATGAAAACTTGTATCCCAAAAAGTTGAAGTATCGAAGGGACAAGTAAGAACGACAAGTCAGTAATCGTGAGACCAGGCACTGTTTGAGCAAAAAACTGTGCCTCGAGAGAGTACCTGTGCGGCTGCTTCCGCGTCCTTGCACTCAGTTGCGATGTAGCCCGCGAGCATGCCCCACTTGACGCTGAGCAACCTTGCGTTGAAGTTTTTCTTTTCCTGCACGTAGACTGGGTCACCCGGGGGCAGTTGGGCCTGGAGGATTTCCAGCTCCTTGGCCATCACCTTGGTATACAATTTTTCGTACACAGCCAGGTTTTCGATGGACTGGTCGTAGAGCCCGATGTTGTAGAGGGACAGACACCAAGTGTAGTAACCATCCAGATGGTCTTTGGACAAGCCCAAATCCGCAAGGCCCTGGAATCCATTCACATTCATCAGCTGCTCGTGAAGGCTGGATGAACCTGAGGTGCAGTGGTTAAGCAGTTGTTTTTTGCTTTTGCATCAACGAATGGGGTGGATTGCACGGCAAAAATGACTTCGCTGCGCTGCGCTGCTCCAGCTACTAGCGCTCATTCTCTACATGAGAACATCAGTGTATTTCTGCTTTCTCGTTTTCTTGCATGCTATGGACATGTGCAAGAGTGGAATTATGGGTCCTCTTTGCCAATTTTTATTTTTTACAAAACATTTCCAGATAAAATTACTTGAGCTGTCGGCCGATTGCAGCTCTCCCGTTTCGGGGTTCTCCACGGCGCCGATGCCCTTGCTCTCCAACTTCGAGAGCAGAGGTGCCAGCTCTCGTTTCTGCGCCTCCACTTTGTCCGCACTAGCCCGGAGCTCGTCATTATAATTGTTGTTCGGATCCTTGTCCTGCAGGATGGACACCAGGTCCGTTCGGCTTCTCAGCACCTCGATGATTTCCGGCTTGATTACTTCCGCGGGGTACACTTCCTTTTTCTCCAGACCATTCATCACGATCAGCAGCAAATGCGAATCCAAAAACTGCGCCAATTTTGGCGTCAAATCGTACTTCGAATCACCTCCCATTTTGTTCTTTCTGCTGAATGCGTAGCTGCGAAGGCTGCAGTGTTGCTGATGAAATATTAATATTTTTCGCACGAAGTTGTACACAAATTCAATACGAAAGCTTCAAAGTAGGTGTCGAACGTAGTGTACATTTAAAGCTCCTGCTATTTCTGCCGTCTACAAACAAGGAAACAGTGACCACTACGACAAATCGAATTCAGATGTGTGAAACCCAAGATCTAGTATCGTAAAACGTCACAATTGACACTTCTGTATCTGTATATGCATCTCCGGTCTGTGAGACCTGCACTGTTGGAATAAGTCGAAAAATGATTCATTTTTGAAAAGTTTTTGAGAGCCGTCGTACGGGAAGACGAAGTCGAAGAACTTCGTCATTGCATGAAAAAATTGACATAGAGGAACATGAAAGTTCAGTATTTGATCTGGATTCGATGAAAGGATGATCTGTGGTATCTTGATATGACCATAAGCGAGATCTACAGTGTGTGACCTCACGAAGTGTCAACTTGAATTTGGCCTGACTGACTCCAAGAAATTTTCATCCTTCCAGATCTGCAAAAGAGTGCAAAACAGGATCATTTACATCTTGATGGCAGTACCTAGTACTATTACGCCACCGCAGCTTGCTGCATGCGCAGGTTTAGCGAACAAGTCGGATCTTTTCTTTGCTCCAAAACAGACGCGCTTCTCAGTCGGGAAGCAGAAAGGTCATATGCATAAGCACCCTCCCCTCGTCTGCCGTCTCACAATGAATAAAAAAATGTAAACTTTGAAAATAAAATTTGTTTGTTCGTGAACCATGATAGATCGCAAATTCACTGCGGGGATGTAGTCAGAAACACCAGTCCACCTCATGCACTGGGGGTACCAATTGCGGGACGGTGCGATTGCGGGGAGAAAAACGCTTGATTTCGGGTATAATACTTCGCAAAAACAAAATGTGCAGAAGTAAACGAAGCTAATTGCTATTTGTTACGTTTCAAACACAATTCAAAATTGAAGATAACATTTGCAAATGGGGTACATTGACTTGCTCAGAAGGTCAGGCTAGAAGACCCTGATGAAGTGATACCAGTTTACTCTCTTTTTCAGCGGGCCACCCTATGTGTATGTCCGTGTTCCGCATGTGCATGAAAACCTTGTTGCTATTTGATAGCGTCGATGAGTCTTCCTACAACTTTTTTGTTTCCGCCCGTTCTGCTGCTACCTTGCGCGCCGGAAACTATCGGTTGCCCGATCTGAATCTTTTCCTTCAATATGGGCGTCAAGGCCTTCTGCTTACTGTTCCCGCCGCTGCTGCCGAGCAGCAGTGGCCGCACGGGGCGCATTTCGTACTTGGAATACTCCTTTTGCGGCTCCTGCCCCGGCGTAACCGCATCGTCGAGCTGCTCGTCTTCTTTTTTATTCTCCGGCGTCGACGGCACCATCGGGATCTGGCGCGCGTTTGCGCTGCGCTTTCGTTGTTCGGCGATCTTCTTCCTTTGCTCTTCCTCGTCAAAGTCGCTGTCGTTTTGTTCGTCAAACAACCTTCGACTCATGGCCTCCTTTTTCGCAGCAGCTGCCCGCTCCGCGGCAAGCCGGGCTTCCTCATCCAGCAGCCGAAATTTCCGCTCTTGTGCCCGCAATTCCGACAGCTGCTTTTGCGTTTCGCGCATTTGCACCACCGGCGACTGGGTCATCACCTCCGCTGCCCAGTCCTCGTCGTTTGGCAGCGGCGAGTCGACTGGAGACGTTGGCGCCGCCGTCGACACGCCGCCCGGCGACAGCGGGTGCTGGTCGCCCCCTCCCGGAGGAAACACCATCAAATTACTTGTTCTCGCGGTACTATTTTCACTTCCGGTCATCATTCCGGGGTTCGTTCTGCCGGTGGCCGGCGAGCCTCCGTGCTTCTCCTCCTCCGCCGCCACCCCTCGGGTCGTCGTGGTCGTTGTATTCATTTCCTGCAGGTCGTGCGCGTGTGTGGAAGCTGGTCCCCTTGCCTGCGAGGGCGAGGTACTGGTGACGCTGCTGGAGACCTGGTAGAAGCTGTTCATGCTGTTGAAGTTGTAAGGCAGGACCGACTCGGCCGGAATGGAAACGTGCACGGCCTGCCTTTTTCGCCGCTCCTCCTGGTCCCGTTTCGCCTGCAGGGCGGCATTCGCGGGGTCGTCCCTGGAGGTTCCCTTCGTCGCCGCCGACTGTTCGCTGAAGAACGTACGCCCCGTGGCCGCCATCTTGTCGTCCAGACCCCGAAATCCGGTGCTCACGGTCGCGCTCGGGAAAAAAGTTCCCAGATGCGTGCTCTTCAACCGCGTCTCCAGCTGGTCCGCCTGCTTGGCGCGGATTTCCTTGTAGATCTGCGAAATCTTCTGCCGCTCGTAGTCTTTCTATCCTGAGTAAAAACGTACCCACACCAGCGTTGTCATGCGGATTTGCCATGACAGGAACATTTGTGATGCGCAACCCCATGACAGGCATTTTCAATCGTGTTTGGGAACTTGTAATGCTGTAAACAGGATCAGCAGATCGATTTGTGATGCGGCTTTCCTTGCTAACTTGCACTACCTTACGGACTGAAACTTGTCATGCGTGACTCACAAAACTCCTAGGTTTGTGTTGCAAAATCCCCATCCCGACTCTGGTGTGGGTACGTTTTTACTCAGGATACTTTCCCGCTGTTGTTCAGGGCCGCCGCGCGATTCTCCAGAAAGGCCGAAACGCGAAACTCGTGCGCCTTCTCATGCGCGGAAGCCAGCGCCGCCGCGAACCGCGCGCGGGGAAGATCGCCCTCGACAGGCTTTTGCTGGTTCATCAGCCTCGTTTGTGCACCATGTGCAGCATCAATGCCGGGCCGATGATCCTCCGTTTGGTCCCGGTCTTTTAATATTAGAGTCGTGCTGTTACTAGGTGGAAGGAAGTGTCCGCTCCGCGGCCCATCCACGGGGAAACTAACGCTAGTGAGCAGTCCCGATTCCGGATCTTCGTAGTTGGTGACGAATGCGTTTCTTTTTCGCGAAAAATAAACCCCCGGGAGTCGGCGCTGCTGACCGCTGGGAACCGAGTCCAACAAAACCACCTCGGAGCAGTCGGCCTCGTTGAAGTGGTCTTCGAAAAAAGTATCGTCGCCAACCACGTCGTGTGGTGGATAGACATCGTGATCTCGGTGCACTACCAGCGACATACTGCTTCGGGTTCGGGGTTAAGGATGTCGTATACTGGATAAATAGAGCAAGCGTGGCTCTTCCAGAAGCAATAGCAATGTAAGTACTTGCAAAGATTTCCTGGTGGGGTACACCGTGCGCAAGAAGAACGAACCCAACCGTCAATGAATACGGAAGGAAAGAAATAGGGCGTGGAGGAAAGGCCAAGGTGTCAAAAGAGGGCAGAAAAATAGTAAAAGCGCTACTTCCAGGGGACGGAGGCGATTGAAAACTACTTAAATGGGTTTGGGATGGGATACTATGTATGATGTGTGTCTGGTAGTTGGTTTGTTCCGAAAAAGCAGATGGAGAAAGTGGCTTTGACAAACTCGGCGCCAGTCAGTGACGACAACCAGCATGAAGATTGGGCAATCTATCAAAAAAAACCGAAGCAACACGAGCAGTGTTGTGGTATTGTGTCGTGTACGGTATACCGATTGTTTTGTCCGATGCACGAAAAAAAAACGAAGATCGCCGACTTTTGGTTCTTATTTTTCTGTTATTGTTTTCGTTTTGCCTTCGATGAAAAGGCGCACGATATCATCGAAATGAACGTAGCGATGCGCTTTCACTTTTCTCTGCAAAAACGAGATCGCTTCTAAAATGCAATCTAGAACGCTTCTACCACATCCTGTTTGGTGCGCCCATCTACAAGACCCGATGAAGCAAATAAAAACGAGGGTACTATTTGGTCATGATGCAGCTGGTTTGATGCATTTATTTCACATGTAACATTAGTCTCGTACGTAGTACCAATCAAACCCTTTACGCTTTGGTGAAAGAACTCTCGTTCCAATCATTCATCGAGAAGCGACTTCAAGTATACTGTAATCTTGCATATTCCCGCCAACTGACCCGCGATGTGTGGAAAGGTCGGCACAAAGAAAGACTCAAAGCAATCCCCAGGTTGCGGAAGGTACCCCATACTCGTATACCAGGAATGCAGCCGTCTCTTTACCGGATGCTCGTAATCGGCGGGCTCCAACAGCTCGCGTCTCCTGAGCAAAAATAATCAGACCCAATCCGTAGCGTCAGATGGATGCCTTTGCTTGGGGCCCTGAGTACAAAAAACTTGAACTGTTATTAGAGCGGGCACCTCAGATCCATGCACGATCGCGAAGCTACCTTTTACTAATCCTCGTACGCGCGAGGACGGACTCCGTAGAGGTAAATTGAAATTGTACACGGTCAGAAATACAAAAATAGTCTGCCACGATTACCTAACAGGCTCACACAACACACGAGGCGGCTACGTATCGCTCTTAAGGAATCGCTGGAGCTTTGGGGACGCGATCTTTTTGTTGAGGAGGATACCGCAGCGCATGAGTTGCAGGCCCGGCCTTCGCTCTTTCGCGTACTCTTCCGCGGCGCTCACGAGGGCGCGCGCCAAGCCCTTGGGCCTCGCAGGGACGGGGTCGCTCTGAAACTCCATTCCCCGGCCCTGCTGACGGTAGTCGCTGCGCAATGCCAACATACCGAATTCGGCTGTGTCCGGCGCGAAATCCACGTCCACAAACACCTGACCAATCAGCTCGGGTCGTATTGTCGTGGTCTTATGCCCTTCCGCTAGATCATCATCCCTGGCCGTGCAAGAGCTCTCATCTTCAGTTCTCCGCGTCACTTGCTCCTCCGCAGACACACCCTGATGTTCTGCTGTTTGTAGCCGCGATTTCCTTCTTCGAGACCCTGGCGCACGACCACTGACGAAGAGCCCTAATAGTTGCCCCCTCTGCAACTTCTCGCGAAGGTCACGCGCCGACGTGCGGCCAGACCAGCCAGACTTCCACATCCCGCGCTCCCCATATTCGTAGGCTTCGTTTACCAGGCACGCCAGCCGCTCGATTTCTAAACCCATGTTTTCGTGCAAGGGCTCGACGAAGTAGACTGCACTGCCACCCTCGGCTGGTGCAATTTGCTGCTCCGGGTCAAGAAAAACTTCCTTGCGGAAGAGCCTCCCCCGTTGCAGCAAGGAAGGCGACGTAGAAGACGAAGATGCCATGACGTCGAAAACCAGAGAAAGTTGGAGAACAAGTTGAACGAAAACACTGTATTGGGCCGTACAGATCTGAATCGATGGGAAACTTCTCATACTTCTGACTGTCTCCTCCTATCACATCGGCGAAAGATGCGCTCTTTGCGTCTGTTCAATCTCCACAGCCACAGCTGTTGGATAGTTTTGCTGCCCTGCAAAGAAGTAAGTACAACCCAAAGCTGACTTTCAAGCCCCCGACTTCGAATAGCGGGCACGGAACAGCTCAGTGATTATTTACGCAAGGGTTTCCAATCCTGTTGAAGCACGCAATAATTATTCACAGAAGTTCTTTCCTCGTAGCATTGTTGTTCAGCACGCAACAAGCCAAACGCGCGCCCAATAAAGGCGACAAACTAGTTCTCAATATCCATCGGATCCGACAACTTCGTCTCAATTGCACATCCTGATGCATCAATCACACTCCGGACCTTCGTATTGCCGCCGCATTCTGTCTTGTGATCCTCCGCGTTTTTGATACTGGTAGTACTGCTTGCACTTTCATCCCCGCCACCAAGCAGTCGAAGCACCCCTGCACACAGATCTCGGACGCGCTTCGAGGACAGCATGCGCTGGTGCCTCGCGATCCGGCGCGCCGCAGACGCGAGAGGAACAAGCTCCGGAACATTCTCGTCAATCCTCCACAAGCAAGTTGCGGTGTCTTGGTGCTGTTCCTCTAGCGATGCCAAAGATCTCGGGGACATCGCATCTGCCTGTCGCGTCTCGAGCTGGCGTCCCGAATCTGGCGCCGCGCCGGTAGCAGACTGCGAACCTCGAGCATGCGCTGCGTCTTCGCTGTCCGCTCGCGCACCGGCGGGTGAAAGCCGGCGTGCCAATCGTGCGGCGCCAACCCTGCCCGCTTGATAGAGGTCGTACTTCAAAAGCTCCCCCGCGTGGTTTGAAATGCTTGAGCACAGCTTTGGTATCTCCGTGTGATACCGCAAGAACGCGTCAGAGGCCTCCAAGGCCTCCGCTAGGGCATCGAGGGAGGGAACCGTCGCCGTCGTGCCCTCAGTCGCTGGATGCTTGACAAAAATCGCATCATCTTCGTCCGGGTTAAGCGTTCCGCAGTTTTCGGTCGTAGCTGGGGACCCCGACGAACCGTCCGAGGGCACTATTGAGTGCACGTCTTTTTCCCCTGGTCGCGTGCCGTGCGGTGACGGCGCCTCTGCTTTGGTCCTCGTGTCACTCCGCGAATCAGCATGTGCGTCTCCGTCCCGGCTTACTCCGTAGCGCTTTGTGCTTGCGGTTTCAACAGTGCAAGCCTGTTTGTCATGATGAACGACTTGCACATCTTCCAGCAGCGCTCGGCGCAGTTCTGTCTCGGACTTCGTATCACTGCAGCTGGGAACGGGAACCAGGTCGTACGCTCTGGTCACGACAAACGGCTTGTTGCTCAGCACGTACAGGACAAGGCGGGCGAGGTCTGCGTGGATGCCGCGCACATACGTCACCACGTCTCCAGGCGCGCTCCGTTTTATCGCTCGCTGCTCGGCTTGACGCAACTTCTCGGCCAGGTTTGCAAAAGGAACCAAGAAGGAAAGAATGCAAGCCCGGATCTCATCCGGGAAGTAAACCACAACCATGACGAACGCACGTTGAGGTCCTTCTGATCTTCCTTGTTCCGTACGCTGTGCATCAAGGACACATAACTCTTTCTTGGTCGCTCGAAAACCAAACTGAAAGGAGAAAATCTTTGGTAAGTAGCACTAGCACGGAAGAATTACTAGTCTAGGTTTACGGTGTTACAGTATCGTTGCTGCCAAATAGCATGGAAGAATCTCGCCATAAGAACAGTAACACAAGGCTGCCTCTGTTGAACCTTCTATCTTCTACTGCGCACTTCGTGCCGTACAAATAACACCCGAACTTTTCAGCATCTTTCCTGTTGGTGCTCCGCGGTGTTTCTGCTTCGTTTCCGGTTATTGCCTTTTTGTAGACCAAGATATGAAATCCGTTAGGATCATATGGCAAAACTCCCACCGACCTAAATCGAATGCTCACTCATGCAAGTCACGATGTAAATTTTGGAAGCACGACGAAGATCAAGACGTACGAATTTGAATCACGATGGTGCTCAAAATTTGTGATGATCAAGACCACAAAATCTTGATCTGATTTAGAGGCTGTTTTAGACCGTGAGACATGAAAATTTGTGTGTGTTTGTGAACCTTTACATTTTCCCTACAGGCTGTGACGCTAGTTCAAATTGACTATTGATTGCGACTAAGAAACACTGAATCTCACCTAGATCCTAACTGAGATTTAAGATGGCCAGTGTTCACGCCGCCCGCGTTTCTTCGTCGTTGATTGTAGTAACCGCCTAGGTTCTAACATTCTAACGGCACAGCCTTGAGCGCTGACACCAAGACACGACCAGTGCCAACACGACAACAACTACCAAGACTGGTCCCCCCGCAAAAATACAACCACGCCAAGACAGGGCCAGAAACAAAAAGACAGCCACACCAAAAGCCGCAGGAAGGTACAAAGAGAGAGAGAATTTTGAATTTTTGGCTGGAGATTTAAAGTAAAACTTTGCTTGAATTTGAATTAAAATTCTTCAGCAAAATAACCCCCAGCCACCGAGTTCAAATCAACCAACATTGGTGATTTGCTGCTGTGATATCAATTGTTGATACACGGTCAGAGGCTGTTTGAAAGTAAAAGAGAATTTGCAATAATACACCTACACAGGTGCAAGAGAGACAAAGCGACCAAAGGTGCGCGCTACGAAGCCCGTAACCTTTGCCGAAGCACCGAGCGAGGAACAAGACAGGTACTAAAATTGTACTTATTTTCGGTCTGTTTTTCAAAAATCATTGGAAATTTTGAATGCGGACACGCATGGCGCAACACAAAAGTCGCATGCTAATCCTCGCCAACAAAAACTATTACAGTTTTGGGCGGCGGATTTACGTACCGAGCAGCAAGCCGGTACAAGAGCAAGGACCCGACAGCAGGTCACGAAAAAGGTGCTGAATTTCGTCTGTTTTTGAAAATAACAGTCTAAATGTAATTCTGATTTTGTCTGTAGTTGCGTCGTGAATTCAACAAGATGATCGCACTTGACATGCTGGATACCATCTGAATTCGACTGCAAATTTTTTGTACAGGTAGCCGCCTACGCGTGTACCGAGTACAACAGACGACACAACCGCGACGCGCGTGCTCATCGTGAAAAGATGGGGGCGCCAGGTGATGACCATCGTCCGAGCACTTCCGGCACCGTCGGAATGCTGTATGACGCGGAACACGAAGGAGAAACTGGAAAGGACTTCCAGACGTTCAAGGGTAGCGTGATCGCTCAGGCGTTCTCGTTGAACATCGGTCCCCAGTAGTTCAGAGAGGACTTAGAAGGAAAAGTCACCATGGACAAGTGGGATCAGGTTGATCAGTTAGCCCGTGACCAGTGGATTGCTGACGGCAAAGACGAAAACGACTTCTGGCCCACTTACACACCCGATGCCCGCTCCTCCTACGCGAAGTTGTATGGCACAGCATTCAAATCCTTAACCGGAAAAGCCCGAGGCAAAGCGCAGGAAATTCAGGAAGAGCCCGGGGCTGACGCGTGTGTAGTCTGGTTGTTAATTCAGATCAAGGAAAAGGCTATCCCACAGACCGCCGGCGCCCGCCGTATGTTGATTAAGGAATATTTCAACAACAAGCAGGGCGATGATGAAACCTTGGAAGAACACACTGACAAACAGAGAAACTTCTGGAGCTTCAAACTGGGTGCGAAAGTTACTGCTTTGACGAGTTACGCTATCACTGTATCTTCGGGAACATGCGCGAGGAATTCGATGAATGCAACAAGCGTGCCTTGGCTAATGGATCTAGTTTCGAAAAAAACGAAGAGTCACATGGTCGAGGAAGAGCGCGCTCTGTCTAGCAACGGAGAGACCACGAAGCACAGAGCTAATCTGGTCCGCAACCAGAATGCTCACAACCAGCATGGCCCACGCCCGGATCACGTTCAGAAGAATCGCGAGAAGCAGATGCTTTCCAATATGTTGAAGAAAGAGATGCCGAGTCTGATCCAGCAAGCCGCTGCGAATCTGATCGCGCAAAGTCCGAACTTGACCCAGAAACACACTGCTGGTGGTAATGACGACAGTCATGCGGCAAATTACGCAGGAGATTCCAAGTGGTGTTCGAATTGCAATTCGGAATCACATAACACCAAGGATTGCTGGCACAAAAACGGCAATAAGGTCAATGACAAATCTTCCAACAAAAGCTCCGGCAAGGGTAACAACACGAATACTGTTCGCAAGGGCAACGAAAAGACTAAGGGTGGTGGCAAGAAGGGAAAAGGAAAGAAGGGGAAGAAATACTGAGTCTTAGATGGTGTCTCGAAGAGAAGTAGCTTGTTACACAAACTACACAAAGTAAGAAAACTACTCTTACGGCTGACGAAAACTCGACGTTATAATACGAATTATTCTCGATGTTTTTCAACTAGAACTTTAACAAAAATACCCCCCCAAAAGAACCCCCGCCCCACAAAAAGCGCAACCACCTGGCGATGATCCACCAGCGACCGCGAGTCTGTTTGAAAAAGATGAATGTGTGTTCGACAGCAAGGCTGATATCTTCAATCCAGATTCTTTATCATTAATCGACATGGCTGATTTATTCTCGAATCTCGATAAGAATGAAGATGAAACTTGTACCAATGATGCAGCTGGTCCAACGAGACAGCTGAAAGGAAAACGAAAAAGAGCAGAGCTGGAGCTTGCTTGAGCAATTTGCAACTCCAGAGATGGCAAATTTGACACAACAAGTCCAGGCTCTTGAGTCGACCGATCGCGAAATCCGCAAGATTTTACTTCCTCGATCTCATGTCTCGGATGCGTCCAAAGCCGAACGAGTTGAAAAATGCAATCTGTCACAAGACGCAGTGTCTTCGATCGTAGCAAAAGAAAGCGAGCAAAATCATTCGCCCGAGTACACAGCAAGAAAGCTAGCACACCTCTACAGCGTTCGCGAATCAGCATTGAGGAAGGTGCGTGAGGCGAACGATGCTCATCGGAATGAAAAGGACGAGCAGCACCGAAATCATGAAACAGCTTTTAATTGTGTCGATGATGCAATTTGCGACAGTGGCGCAACAAGTCACATGTCGGGCCGACCAGAGACTTTCGAATCTTGGGACGACAGTAATCCAGTGCGAATAACTGTAGCAGACGGAAAAGAGTTGGATGGCCCTGGATATTTTGGCACATTGAAACCAAACGCACTTGGTTGCAAACGTGCAACATTCCATCCATTCCTTCCACAGACCCTCCTGCTCAGTGTCGAACAACTTAAGAAAGAAGGCTACACAGTTGTTTTCGACGAGGGGGGCAACTACTTGCAAAGTAGGAAAACAGGAAAGAGAACTTTTCTTCACAAAGGGATCGGAACCAAGCTGCCCGCTGTGGCACTTGGGTTCAATGAAGATCCAGGCGAACGAGGTTTGTTGTGCGAAGAGATCGGGACAGAATCCACTATGATGACAAAGGCAGAGAAAATGCTTCTTGACCATCAGCGTGCTGGACATCGTAGTCTACCAGGAATAGTAGTCCGATGCCCTGCCTGCGATCTCGCGAAAAGCAAAGGCGCGCAACATGCAAAAGCGAAGAAAGAATGCTACAAAGTTGAAAAATTCAGTGACCAAGTCGATTTTGACTTCACTGGACCGTGGGAACCTGACTACTGGTCGCAAAGATGGGCTTTAAATGCCATCGATCAAGCAACCAGCTGGCCTCGTTCTTTCATCTGCAAGAGCAAAACAGAAGCAGGATTAAAACTGCAGGTCTGGATAAATGAAGAGGGACCACCGAAAGGAGTGAGATCCGACAACGCCAAAGAGTTCAAGGAACCAGGTAGCACTTGGAAAAAGACAGCACAGAAACAGTCCCCGCCGATTCATACTGACTATTCAGCTCCATACGAGCCCCAAGAAAATGGAAAAGTTGAAAGATACAACCAAACTCACCAGAACGGAGTAAGAGCAATGATGGTCGGAGTCGATAAGCGTATGTGGAGTTATGCAGCCAGCACTTTCTCCCACATATTCGCCCGAGCCCCGCCCTACAGCCAAAGGAGGCGAGTCGCCATTTGGAAAACGCTTCAAAAGAAAACCTTCCATCAAGTATTTCCGACGTTTCGGATGCTTGGTATACGCGAAGGATCACTCACAGAGGTCGAAGCTTGAAGACCGGTTTACCCGTGGAATTTTTCTAGGCTACGCCCAAGAAAATTCTACATACCTGGTAGGCATGTGGTCCGCAGATGGTCGATGTAAGAAAAGCTCCAAAATCCGTTTCGGAGTCCACGAGGTGAAGTGTTGCAAGTTTGATGAATCAGTGCTGGTCAGCAAGATAGATGATCTGAGGCCGGACGCTGGCAAGTTGTTAATTGATTTTCCGAATCCGGCGCGTCTGGGTGATAGTTCGCAGCTCGTTGAGCCGAATGTGCCCGCTGTAGATCATGATCAAAGCAGTCGTGGTCAGGACGCTCCGAGGACCGATCGTTCGAAAGATGAAGAGGATGCGGACAAACGCAGTTCGAAGGAAAAAGAAACCGTCGAAAACGACGAGGGCAAGAGTTTCGAAGGGGGTGAGCAACCTGAGGAAGGGGGCGAGGAAAATCAAAACCCTAATCAGGATTGGCTCGATTTGTTTTCAGATGAGGCGCCTGAAAAATCCCCGAAACAGAAAGAGAAAGCTGAGAATGGAAATCGAAAAAGAAAGTCTAACACAGTTGACGCTGATGAAAAAGAGAACGAGACACAAGAAGCGCCTAGGATCCTCGTTGAAGGACCTACACGAAAGAAACTTCGCAAGAAGGGCCGAGGGCAGGACAAGAAGAAGCGCAAAGAACGCAACGACAAAGGCCAAAGTCGTGGCCCTCGAGCAAAGAAAAGACAAAAAGTTAATCTTGTGTCGTCATCTGATTTGTTGAAAGATCTACCTATGGAACGAATTTGAAAAAGAAGCAGAAGCTATATTCCAGATTCGTCACGAATTAGAGGAGGACGAAACTCCCTACCTTTTTGGCCTGCAGCACACTTGGGCCAAGTGTCTGGAAAGTCCTGACGCAATCAAATGGATCGAGTCAGATACAAAAGAACGCCTAGCGCTAGAAGAAGCAAATACGTGGAGGCATGCAACCGCAGAAGACATCAAAGAGATGGGTGATAAGTTAGAAATTATCCCGACGGTATGCATCTACACGAAGAAGAGGGACGGCCGCTACAAGTGTCGCCCCGTAGCACTAGGAAACAGGCAAACGCTATCTCTTCAAGGGGAAATATACAGCCCAACTGTGAGCCTGCCATGCCGCTAACAGGTATCAATCTACTTGTTGAAGCAGCAGCACGCGGATGGAAAGTTAGACAGTTCGATACTTCAAATGCGTTTGTGCGTGCAGCTCTAGGCGACGAGATCGCGTTATGTCGCCTGCCCAAGCACAACAGCTGGAGCAAGAACAAAGAAAAAGGCGACGTTGTCAGGCTGTTAAAGTCGTTATACGGTCTGAAGATCAGCCCACGCCGCTGGTATGGCGAATATTCCGGCAAACTCAAGAAGTTAGGCTGGGTTGTATCCGAACACGAACCAGGTCTGTTCAAGAAGTTTGCAAAAGACAAACAGGGAAACAAAAGAACAAGAACTCTGGCTAGCAGTCTATGTAGATGGCAACACTATCTCAGGCGAAGACGATGACCTTGTCGCTGCAGAAATGAGTGCAATTTTAGCAGAGTTCCCAGGAAAAGAAATTCTCGCAGAATATGACAGAGAAGGCAATGAGATCCGCGACCTTCTCGGCGCAAAATTGACCTTCGACGCGAAGAAGAGGGCCACGAAGATCACTTGCGAAGACGCAATTGATAAACTGCTTAAGAAATTTCACATGAAGGACTGCCGCGCAGCAGTTTCCCCATGTTTACCAAATTCCCACGCAGACCTGGACTCGCCGTCGAATTCCACACTTCCGATAAGATCGCTAGTAGGCGGAATGTTGTATATCAGTTGCGTCGCCCGGCCTGATATCGCATTCGCAGCACAAAGAGTAGCGACGCAGGTAGCTAGTCCAACCGACCAAACGGCAAAAGATGCCAAGCGTATTCTAGCGTATTTGAAAGGAACCAAATCGCAAGGATTAGAATACAGCAAGCAGCAAGCGAAGAAGTTCAAAGAAATTTACACAAAAGCCGCAGAGCTAGAAAACAAGGAATACAGAGACACTATAGCTTTCTGCGATGCAGATTTTGCAGGATGTTCTGTAAGTTTTCGATCCACGTCAGGAGCAATCTTATATCGCCGCGGAGTTCCCATTTGCTGGAAGTCGAAACGTCAATACGATTCGAGCTACGTCGCTCGGTCAACAATGGAAGCCGAGCATTGCGCGATGTATGACTGTGTTAGGATGACAATGGATCAAGGATATTTGAACTGGTTTTCAGAACAAGAGTCAGGATCTCTACCGTTGATCTTCAACGACAACACGCCCGCGCTTGCGTTGAGTCAGACAACCATAGCCACGAAAAGATCCAAGCACATGAGTCTTCGACTACACCTAGTACGAGACTACGCAAAAGACTTGTGCTATGTAAACAGACACAGATATCAATCTAGCGGATGGATTGACAAAACCACTCCCAGGAGAAAAGTATATCCAAATCTTCAAAGCTCCCGCCCGAAAAGCTAATGAAGTATTTGCGAAAGCCCACTTTGTTGACTTCACTAATCTCTAAGATTGATTGATGCGAATTTCACGCAGAGTCGTCTCATCTGATTCATTTCGATGATTTAATGTTCATTCGGAAGGGGGAATGTCGACCAAGATATGAAATCCGTTAGGATCATATGGCAAAATTCCCACCGACCTAAGTCGAATGCTCATTCAAGCGAGTCACGATGTAAATTTTGGAATCACGATGAAGATCAAGACGCACGAATTTGAATCACGATGGCGCTCAAAATTTGTGATGATCAAGACCACAAAATCTCGATCTGATTTAGAGGCTGTCTTAGACCGTGAGACATGAGAGCTTGTGTGTGTTTGTGAACCTTTAAATTTTCCCTACAGGCTGTGACGCTAGTTCAAATTGACTATTGATTGCGACTAAGAAACACTGGGCCTCACCTAGATTCTAGCTGAGATTTAAGATGGCCAGTGTTCACGCCGCCCGCGTTTCTTCGTCGTTGATTGTAGTAACCGCCTAGGTTCTAACACTTTTCCTTTTACAAACAATCGCTAGTACGTATTTTCGTAGAAGTTTTTCTCTAGGGCCATTATCAACAGGACCTTTCTAATACGCGAGGCAAGGCAATGAATAAGCGGAAAACTACAGTTACATGTACATTGTCATTGAGTAATGCAATTAGATAAAAAGCAGAATAAAGCGTAGACGAAGTAGGGTATGATATGGCCGGGCGGTGTGGCGAGTAGCATAGCACTTACGTGTGCTAGTGTTGCGAGTGGTATAGCATCGCTTTCATGGAAATTCACACCTTACTGGTTGATTCATCAGACACAAGGCGCGCTTCCGACACGATATTTAAACATGAACTTGGGTTACTTTATCTTTCGCATAAGTGAAGTTTTCTGAAAGAACTGAAAGGCATTTACTCACGCATAAAATTAAGTAGTAGTTCGCAAAACATTTATTGAAACAAAAAAAAGTAACTTTTGGGCGACAAGAAAACTCTTTGGTTTTGTTAAAATTCTTTTTTCTACTCCATGTAGCTGCACGATAGGATACATGCACTATGTTCTCTGTGTGCGATAAGTGAGCTTACTTTTTCCCAAAAGCTGCGCTGGCTCCGAAGGCACTGGACGCCCCGCCGCTTTTCGGTGCTCCGAATGCGGCAGAACCCGTCGCCGCAGGCTTCCCGAAAGCGGCCGAGCCTGCCGCTGCTGAACCTCCACCGAAGGCACCACTCCCCGCACCGAAGGCACCACTGCCCGCACCGAAGGCGCCACTTTTCGCGAAACCACTGCTCGCCGCTGCCCCGCCTGCGAATGACGTTGACGGTTTGCCGGAGATGGGCGAACCGCTGCTAAGACCGCGCTGTCCCTGGTAGAATTCGCCGCCGGGCCTATCCGTAGGAAAAACCTCTCTCACTACACATAAACGAAATTATCCGACGTTCCCTCTAGTATGGCAAGAGCAAGTATCTCGTCGTCGAGATACAACGCGCTTGCAAAAAATTCACCCGAACGTGAAAATAAATCTAAAAAACTTTTCTCTCGGGGGCAAAAACGAGAAGTTTTTCCAGTGGATAAGCGAGGCCAAGTTTGATTCCCCCGATTTTGGATGCCGCTTTCGGCGGCTTCATCTTTTTTCGTCCGTGCTTGGCGCTCGCAGCCAAGAGGATTGGGTCAACGTCAAACTCTCCATCTTCCAGCATTTGCAGCGCTGGGTCCTTTGGCCGCGGTCGCCGGCTGCACAGCAGGTAGTGTCGGCACGTGACCAAAAACAGTAACCCGAATGACACGATGAGCACGATAAACCCCTTCCCGTTCGGAAACTCGAAAAGCAAAATGGGGTTCCACCACGCATCGATTTCGTCGAGCGCAGAGGGCTTCAGATCGCACCACAAGAAATACGGCGGCTCCAATCCAGCACTCTGCCCCTCTTTCTTGCGGCTTCGTTTTTCAAACAGCGCCTGAAAGGAAAACGCCGACTCAGGGCTTGATTGCTCGTCGCCATGTTCGTTTTCCTGCTGTCGCATCAATGCTGAACTACCTGAATTGTTACTGCTCACAGGACCTCTCTCCCTACTTCGTCTCTTGCTGTCACGGTTCTGATGACCTTTCTTCTCGCCGCCAGCCTCGCTTTCCCGCGGCGGGCGGCCGCTTTGCTGCCGTTTCTGTTTGTACTTTGCCATTTTCTTCTTGCGCATGCTCTCCACCAACATCGTGCGGCGCCACGCGTGCCGCTTCTGCCGAATCTCCGCCTGCCGGATCTCCAGCCGCTTGACGAGTTTCTTCTCGAGCCTCCGCGCGTGAAAAACTTGAAGATACGGGGACGACAGGTCTGAACTGTTTTTGCTAGCTTCCACAAACGCGTCCATCTCCTGGTCCAATTCCTTATCCAGCTCCCGATCCATGACCGAACCCAAGGCTTCGAGATTTTCCAGGTTTGCCTCGTCCCCCACATCGGCTAAGGAGAATGACGCGCTCGCTGCCGCTGCGTGGCCGTCCTCTCCCCCAGCGATGCCCCGGAACGTGACCTCCTTCACGAGCTGAATCTGAATGCCCTGCAGGTCCATTGTGGTAGTGTTGTTCGTGAGGTTCTTTTGCTCCTTCAGAATATGCTTCTGCAGCGTTTTACGCACCGCTTCGTCCAGCTTCGTACTGTTGTGAAATTTCTTCAGCGTCTCACTGCCTTCTGTCGGCTGCGTCCCCACGAAGTACAGCGAAAAGTTGAAAGGATTGGGACCCTCGTCGGCCGGCTCGATTTTCCCCGCAAGCACGCTGATTTGGTCGGACGACTTCTTTGTTCTGCGTGCGTCATGCCCATGTTCCTCGTGAAGTTGGCGTTCCTGGAGGAGAGACGCTCCGTCCTGCGCCCGCGAGCTGCTCAGCGCAGCGGCGCCTTCCGCTGCGTCTTCCGTCTGGAGGTGCAAAGCCGCGGCAGCTTTTTTTGTGACCTCACCACCGGCGTCCTTCATAGTAGTTTCCTCTTTCCGTATCAGCGACAGCAGCCGCGCGCCCCCGCTATCATCTTCTGTCGCGTTGACCTCCCCCAGGTCCGCATCTGTGGCTTCGTGACTCGTGTCCACCGGCGTTGTGAAGTTTCCAACTTCCAGGTACACATTCAGGGAGATCTCGACAGCCTTCTGCAGCTTCTCTGCAAACGTTGTATCTTCATCCTCTTCCTCTTCAGTCCTGGAAGCGGAAAAGGAGGTGGAAGTACTTCTACGGGGGCGGGCACGATGGCGCTTTTCGTCCTCTACGCCTGGCATCTGTGACCCGCGCTGCGCACTGTCATGGCCGTCCAACTGCTCCCCAGTGTTCTTTTCATCTGCTGTTTGGCGAAACGAAGTCGCAGACGACGCGAACGACGACATGGCGGCATGACCCGCAGCGGCAGCCTTCTGCTCCTCCTCCAGTTCCTCCAGATCTTCCGTGTTCATGGCCACCCGGATGGTGACCGCTGACAGCCCAGGGATTTCCTTCTGTGCCACCGCGAGCGGAAATAGAGCTACCAGCCTAGCCTCGTTGAGCATGTCCGGATTCACGTCGTCCAGACGCGGTTTTAAGTCCTTACTTTCGGGCAAGCGGCTGCTCTTCAGCCAGACAGTGGCCTTCGTCGCGTCGATCAGAGTAGCATTGTACCTCGTGTCCTTATGCACCTCTCAAATTGGTCACGTAAAACGCGCTTCAGAAGTGTTGAATCGTGCCAATCGAAGGAGTGCAACATGCGCAGGACCGCTCCGGTCAGGGCCTAACAACAAGAATGAACATGGCGAAGAAAGTGCGAGGTGGAATGAAGCGCTCCTTCTTTCACGATAATCACATGCAAATCACCACCCACGACGGCATCTTAGTTTTACGTGAACACGAATTTGGGGCTGGAGCTTGATGATATTTCCCGTTCCTAATCGGCGAGGCCATCCTGGACCCTGACACAGTTGGGCTTCATCCCTATGGAAGAGTGGCGTCGGTAAGACTCCCGCATCGCGGAGTCCTCGTTACCGGCTTTCATTCGGTAATTTAGGTACTCGGTGCCCGCGCTAGTGACGGTCTCCTCGTCGCCCGCTTTCTCAATCGGGGGTAAAAGCAAGCTGTAGAGGCCGTACTTGCTGGTGTCCGTCACCAGACCCTTGGTGCCTTGGTAGGTATCTTTCACGTCAAAGTTGAAAAAGTTCTCGTCGTACTGGTAGCCGTAGCACAACGTGGTGGCTACTTCGCCGTTCTCCTCATCCCAGAAACCCATGTCACAGGCCCCCTTCGCCTCCTCCTCGGTAGCGTAGAAACGCGGCGTGTGGAAAGAATCGCAGAACCAGCCGGGTTCCTTGACGTAGCTGAGACAACAGTCCACCACATCCGGGTGTGTATTGAAGTCACCGAGATCGCATTTGTCGTTGGTCGCACAGAGCCGCAGCCGTTGTTCGGTGGAGAAAATACCAGACATCTGGTAAGTGCCGTCTCTCCACACTCGCTCGTCTTTGCAGTCCAGTTCCGACGTGTCCGCCACGACCGCCGAATCGGTTGCATCTCCCCCAAAATACAAGGACAGGCTGCCACCGCTCACGAAAATTCCCAGCTCGTCTGGATATGCCACGAAAATACCGATCTGGAAATGAATGCAAGGTGGGTACTTATGATTTATATCAGACGAGGTTAGTATTACGAGCGCACAAATGCAAATGGGAGCAGCCGCAGTAGCAATTTTCAAAAAGAGGATCGAGACTTGCAAGCCTGAACCTGCTGTAAGTGACAATGCTCATTTCAACGACGCGCAATTTCAACAAGAGCCAGACTCATCATCTGCGTGGTCGTCACATGTACAACAGGTGTGTGGTGCAAGGTAGACCGGCTGTTTTCATTCATTGTTTTCAAGACCGACTGCACTCACATCAGATAGCGGCGTTACTCCCACGATGTGCGGGCACACCCTCCGCCGCGTGCAGCAGCTTACCGTTTCTTGTACGGAATCACAAGCGAGGTCCTCGCAGTCGTTGTTGTCGCGGTTCCCATTAGCGATAAACCCCTTCTCGGGCGGGGGACACTCGCGATTGTTCGGCGCACCGAAGAAGCGGTCGCTGCACTTGGGATAGCAGCAGGTGTCGACGTCGTCATGGTCCGCTTCGTGTGTGTTTTTGCACCGGTTCGACACACACAAATTCGTCTCCGCAGGAGGTCGCGGTGTGCGCTTGTGCGTGTGCGCGCACTTCATCGTATCCGACTCGTGACACAACTCACGGCAGCCGTAAAACGTCAGTCCCTTGTTGGAACCCGCGCACTGCCAGGTGGGGCACTGGTTCGTATCTCCGTCCAGGGGAGAAACTCGGTGGGAAACTGGGTCGCACATCAATTTGCTTGTGTCGCACACTCCACCGCTGAGTGGCACCTCGTCCGGTGAGCTGTCGCGGGGGTATGCATTTCGGAGTAGATGCGACCAATCTGCTATTAAATACCCGTGCGGTACCACGGTCTTCGCCTGGGTACACCCGATTTCGCAGCAGGTATTACGATCCGCGTTGCCAGCGCACGCCACACTCGAACACTTCGTTGCGGCAATCGCGTTTCCGATCCGTTTGAAGTACTGCGCAGCACCGCTCTTGAAGGCGTTGCAGAAGGTATCGCCCCGCCTGCCGCACGTTTCTCGGCAGCAGGTTCCCTTGTCCGCATCAACAGTGCAAGCGAGTGCAGCACACTGCACGGTCTGGGAGTTGTCAATCCGGGAGTATCCGGACCCGCAGTTCACACCTGACAAATGGGAGTCGAACGCCCTGCATTGCTGCCGGCAGCATAGCTCCTTGTCACTCTGCGTGTCGCACTCATACTTAGCGCACACCTCCCCACTAAGGGTTTTCTTACGCTCCAAGTAATCGCCTGACGAGGCACAGAAGTCGACTACATTGCCTTCTGAGCACATCTATCAACTGTAAAAATGTCTGGGTCTGGAAGATTCTGACACTTGGTTGGTTGGTTGGATAGCGCCTGTCGCCGGCGCAGGTCCCGCCCTCCATCGATTGCGATCCGGAGTAGCCGGAACTCAAGGCCCTAGTGGCACAATCGATCGACGAAGCCCTTTATAACCAGGCCACAGTCATCCGGCTGCCCTGGAGTCATTCGCGGGCCAGGCACGTTTTGCATGAGCCATGATGTCTGTGATCCATACCCTAGCAATACAGATTTTTTGAGGGCTTCTCGATGCCTATTCCGCATGACAAATACCTTCTCAGCGTAGCACAAATTGCATTCCCTTTGGTACTCATGCAATACAGATTTTTTTGGAATCCAAACGCAGCATCACAAGTTGCATTCTTCAACCAGACCAAGACATTTTTACATTTGATAACATCATTCGGCAGCACGCGGGTCGATCGCTAGTTCCGCACCGGTTTGTTGCGCAGAGCGCGTTGTTATGGATTGCAAATATGTCTGGGTCTGAGAGATTGCAACTTGTCATGGTAAATCTGAAGCATGCAAAAACCTGTGTTGCATGAGTGCCAAAAGCTGTCCACTTTTGACCAAATTGGAACGGAGTTTCTCATGCAGAATAGGCATGGCAGAGACCTCGCAGAGTCTGTCATGCTTTGCCCTACATACCAGGCCTCATGGGTCATGGAAAACCTGCATGACAAGTCCACACTCTTCCAGACCCAGACACTTTTGCATTTGATAGTTGTCCGATGCCGGCCGGACTTGGTAATGACTTGGGCATTTGTCGTCTGAGCGACACTTCTCCCTGCAGCTCCCGGCGTCCAAGGCCAAGACAGACAGAGGATTTGGGACCGATTTCGCGGACGGGCATCGGTACCTCGGCGTACCTGCGTGCGTAGAGCTGCATTTCAGTTTACCGGTCGTCCACGATGTTCCGCTCTGTCCTGGTACCGCAATGCCACAGCTGGTTTTGTCGCAGTTTTGCTGGTTTTTCAGGAGATCACGCCAATCATTGTTGCCACTACTTTTCAGCTCGAAGCCGTCACCCACCTGATTGTTCCCGACGTTTGGCTTCGAGCAGGGTTGCACACAACAAGTTTCCTCTTCCTTGCCACCGCAGTTGTAGTCCGAGCACTCGGGCGGCCCGGATTTCAAAAAAGAGCCCGCGAACGAAACACGGCAGAAAGTGCTGGTGCACACACGAATGCAGCAACTTCTGAAGTTGGGATCATTGTCGTTGTCCGCCAGGGTCTTGCACGAGTTCGGGGCGGTAGCGCAGAAATTGCTCGTGTTTTTTCTAAATCCCGAAGGACACTGCACATCCGGGTGCGTGCATTTTTTCCGACAGCACGTATTGGCGTCACTCGCGCGGTCGCACCTGTGATCGCTGCAGTAGTCGTTGGCCCCCGTTTTGACCGCGAAGTGCGCCGACGTCATGTGCGCGTTGTTGCTCGTGCACAGCGCCAAGTTGTTTTGATGCACACTGCATTTCTCCCGGCAGTCTTGGAGGTCCAACTGCAGTGTCCCTCCTGGTTGGGCACACTTGTACTTTGGAGTCGCTTTCGGATAGTGCGTACTTCCGGCGCAGGACAGATGTGCTAGATTGGTCTTCCAATTCTCCCCTGGGTACGCCCCGGACCCCGGCCCTGCGCTCGACGTGGGACGCTCGCGAAGGCGCGCCCAGTGACCCTTGGCGTCAAATCCGTAGTGGTCGGCCGGATCGTTCAAGCACCGCTGAGTACAGCACGTATTCCAATCGAACGATCCACACTCATGCGTCGCGCAAGTTTTTTCATGGTCGTCTATGTCCTTAACAAAATCCTTGCCACAGATTTTGCCAGCGCCGTAGCTTACATCAAACCCGGTCTTCGGGACGCATCTTTCCCTGCAACTTCCGCCATCTATTTGCAGCGGCTCTTTCGAGGCAATGCACCTCACACTCCTGAACGAACCAGTCTGCACGTGCGTCGAGTCAACGCACTGGAGTCTAGTGGTGCTTACCGTCGCCCAGTTGCTACGCCGCCTACGGCTCGGGTCCGGGTAAGGCGGGTAAGCGACCGCCGCGTCTTCGCGGATTATAAGCCATCCCTGTGGAGCTTGAAACCCGCGCGTATCTGCTGCTGCCGGATTTGCGCAGCCTTCCACGCAGCAGTTGGCACGCTCTGCGAGAGACGAAGCAGATTTACCACACGGCTGACCCACGCAAACTATGCTACTTGCGCTCGACTTCTGCAACCATCCGTCCCAGATATTATAGCAAACTACCTCGTTGCAACGTCCATGATTCTGCTCGCAGCAGTGGCTCTGCTCACCGCTGTCCTTGCAGCCATCTTTCAAACACCTTAAATTCCAGTTCCAGTCGGCACCATTTTTGTGATGCGTTTTGTAACCGCAAGAAAAAGTGCTGCATCTGGGATTATCCTCACAGCAGAGCGCTTGATGTGAAGCTGCTACGTGTGTGTATCCAACTGGCACAGGACCAGTGCAGTCATTCGTATAGCACACCAGCTCGTCAGCATTGTCCCTCAGGTGGGTTTTTGCCGCACAGATGTCATGGTCGACACACCTTCCACAGGTCGAAAAGTCGTTTCTAGTCATGACAACCGTTGTTGAGGCGGATAATATATCCGCATTTTTGTTGTCAGGACTTGGGGCCAGGTTTGCTGGGCAAGCAAAAGCATGACTATTTCCTGCGCTCCTTGGGACTTTCGCGATTTTTTTGTACTTCGAGCGCTTTGAAACGGCGACGCCGCAACCGGTGGTCCAGCTAGTCCAGGAGGACCATTCACATTCGCAGGTTGGAAAAGTGCACTGTTCGTTTCTGTACGCGTGAACTGCCACTTCGTGTCCGGCCCAGCGTCTCCGCCCAACAGCATGTCCCCCATCGCACCAGCCATCGTAGCAGCGGCGACGTCCATTCAGTGGGGCATTGCGCCGACGTCTCATACTGCAAAATCTCCTTCTCGATTCCAAAGAGCCCCTCCACGTCTGTCGAAACTTTTGGTGCGTCCGCTGCGCGGACGGAGGGTATCAGTCGGGAAAAAATGCGTCCGGACTGGAAACAAGTAAAAGCTAGAAGATGTTCCCTCCGCTTAAGCTTTATCAGCTTTTATGTTTTGCTCTTTTATCTGTCTTCATACCAATAATCAATAGCTGCCGAAAAAACCGTGGTAATCGGGCCAGATCGACTGGACGGGGACGAGCCAGCATCCAAGCTGGCCAAATATTACATAACATCACCACAACACGGCAGCATAGCACGCGACTGGAGGCCTAACCCGTGGCACATTTCTGCGCTCCTTCTGAAGGTGCGGTAATAACACGCACGGGGCCGGGGCGCTGAAGCAGCCGCATAACATACGGCGGTAACCCTCTTTGGTTCTTCTTCTCAACAGATAAATATTACCATATACTTTGTAGAGCCAGTGCCGGACATTGTACCACACCTTTCCAGTCCGTACAAGGCTGCAGTACCCTTTGTCTAGCGCGAAGTTTATCTTACAGCAAAGCACACCCAAACCAAAAAAAAAACTAAATTCGTCGGTCGAGCGGTCGTCGGGCTGCGCCTTCATGTGGGACGGGCATACCACGACAATCCGTTTGGGAACCTGTGTCATGCTGGTAGCCAGCGTTACATCATTCATTCTTCAACATTTACTTTGATTTCATTTATTGAAGATGGTACGCCCGGCTGCACAAGTTTTTCACTTTACGAGCACAGCACTTCTGACGATGATGCGCGTACGGTTAGCCGCCAGCGCAGCCAGGCTTATTTTTTTAGCTCCTTTGCTACTTACAGTAATTGCAGCACCAGGAGCCCGGACCAGCTGAAAGGGCTGAAGCTCAGAGTACGAGTTTCTCTCAGTCTCACTCGGGGGAGAAGCGAATCGTCCCGCAAAAAAACTATGTAGCGCGAGCTTCTTAGACAAAAACTAATTGTCAGGCGAGCTTGAAGTGCTGCCCTCGTCCTATCATTGAATTCCTGAAGGTTAATTGTCTGCACTGGATTGCATTGAGAGCCAGGCATCTCGAGCGACGCAACACCACCCGTTTTAGCAGTGGAGGGAGGCTCAGTTGAGAGCTCTCGCTGGTCGTATCAGATTGTGTAAATTGTGGAATCAGATTACGAAATGCAATCAGGTTACTGAAATCAGATTTTTTGTGACATCAGGTTTGTTGAAGCAAGTTGACGCAACTGGAGGCGAAACAACTTAGGCAACGAAGTGTCTACATCAACCTAAACGAACGCCGGGCGGCCCCAACGCCGGTCCGCCGGAATCAGTGACGCGCCCAGCCGACCAAGGAGCTGGCCGACAGGCAGAAGGGCGGGCAAGGCGCGGGGGGGCATTGGCGCAACAACGAGAAGAGAGAACCCTAAACCCTAAACCCGCCGGCCGGCCGGCGGCGGCTGCCCCGGCCGACGACCAGAAGCCCCAAACCCTAGAAACCCAGACTCCTGATTTCAGTGATATTCTGAATTCAGTAACTTGATTGTACAACTAACCTGATTGTAATAATCTGATTTCATTTTGATAATCTGATTCGAACCGAAGCCCAAAAGCCCAAAAAAACCAAATGCCCTTCCTTCCTGATCAGCATCACAAAGATCGAAAACCAGCAGCACAAATCTATCACTTTTCTGATATGGGTGTACTTTTGTCTAGGATAAAGCTCTCGTGGTACTTTTTTTTGCTACGCCGTCTCCAGTAAGCATCCTTTACCTTTGCCACGCCAGCATTACCGTGGCCGTTTTGGGCAAATCCCTTCATACCACTCATAGTACGCCTGCGTCCAATTATTCCGTGTGGGCCTGCGTCCATCCAATCAGTATATCCGTAGCAGCTAAAAGGGCCATGTCTTTCGTCTTCATAACCGGCGCCGTCGACGTCCAAATATACGTCTATCTCATGCCAGTCCCTGCGCCGTGAGATCGGTGCGACGCAAGACGGATCCGGGTACTTCCAATCCCTGCGCCGTGCGGTCAAACGAGCGCGCGTGGTGGCCAAGGAGCCGCCTCCGATCTCCGTCTCAAAGAGAGGTAAAGATCTCGTCGTTCCCCGATTCGCGACTGCGCCCAGTCCTTTCTTGGCAGCTGCGCGAGGTACGGTCTTTGTCAACCACGTCAAGTACTTGCTGCGGGGGTGCGCAGCACTCGGTTTTGGGTTTTCACGACGAGCAGCCGTCGCCCACCGTAGCAGCCACCGATCTACGGCCGTTGTCGTCGTAGGCCCTTCAGTGAGACGGTTTGAGCGGACCACCGCAACCGTGCGATCCGGATCAGTCCACCGAGCGTGGAATGGATAACCGGTGGGCTGAGAAAGAGCCGAATTATTTCGTCCAGCTTTATCACCAAATCTCCCAACCGCTTCATCGGAAACACCTGCGACTAAGCCATGTTGTCGGCTAAAAAAATCCTCCAGCCGCACAAGTGTTTTCCTTTTTGCGTCTTCCGGATCACCGAAATTTCTGATCGGAAGCAGCAAGATTTCCGAAAGTTCTGGCAGCAGTTTGGCATTTTCTCGCAAGCTCTTCTCCATGAGGCCCAACGTGTTCAGCTCGGAGGTGTTCATCTCCAAAAGTTTGACAGCGGAATCATCGCCGGCAGTGTGTGATATTATTGGAAATACCGTTGCTTCTGTCATTTCGAGCGCACAGCCCTTTCGCGCGTTTGAAAGACCAAAGTTAGTCACGTCTTGGTTGACAATCGTGGCCCAAGAGGTACCGTTTTGCATGGCATTCTGCAATGGCGGCCCAGAATCTAAAAACAGAATCAAGGCTAGTGCGCCACCGTACCAGTCGAATGCCGGGCCGTAGTTCCGTCCTTCTATACGGCGACCCAAACCACCGTCGCCAGAACTCCCACCAATCGCATTGCATGGCACGTCGACACCCGCGAGCTCCATTCGCTGTTCCGCGGGTAACTTGTTGTTTTCGTCCAGCAGGACCCTGACAGTGCTGCACAGCAGGGGGTTACAAGAATCCACGCCACCGAGGACCGGCGTGACGTCTCCATTGACGACCACCATTTTGCCGAAGACAATGCGCCCGGTGGACTGTAGTTCAGCAACTCCAGCACGGTCTCGCTTAGTACCCTCGTCCCCGGTGTTCATCCCGATTTTTTGTTCAACCTTCTTCAGAGCAACAAAGGACGACTCGCTTAAGTCGGTAAACTTTAGATCTGTTGTTCCGAGGTCGTCGTGCTCCCCATTTCTATCGTGTTCAAGGATGCGGCGACCAACGTGCTCCACGATGACATCGTTGTGTACGAAACCGATCTTTGAAAATTTGTCCAGGCACCCGTACAGGCTCCGAATCAACCGCTCCGGCACCTCTGGTCCGTGCCGACTAATCAAGTTTTGCGATACTTCGCGCGAGGGCTTTTTACCGTTCTGCTCAAAAAGATCGAGCCGCTCAAGAAACAGAGCAAAAACTAAGAAATCCCTATGGTTTCTCCTGCCCTGCAGGTCATCTCCGATGTATGTTGGCTCGTCCGGACTTTCAGCTGCACTCTCAAGGAAAAACACCACACGAGTCAACTTCGCGACACAGGTGTTTGCGGCGTGGGTGAGAAATATGTTCATAAGAACCTCCTCCGCGATCCGGTCACACCAGTTTACGGGTTGTTTTCCTTCTTCCCCGGCGCCATCATTTGCTGAAGAAGACTCATGTTCCTCTTGCTGGTCCTGGGCTTTCAAAACACTTTGCATCAGATCGTCGCCCGTGCAGGAGATCTTCTTAACCACCTGTCCACGACGGGGTGGTTCGCCCGGAACACCAAAGGTGCCGTTGTTCGCTGTGTCGCCCGCAATGACAGCTGCGTCGGACGACCCGATGTGGCGGTCTTCGTCAAGTGCGCTCTTGTTCCTGGCTGTTGCACTGCCGATGGTGCGGCCATGATACCGGCTGTGGGGCACTTTCTCCGGCGCGCGAACAGAAACGGTGGCAAACGTGCTCACCTCACCATGCTCCCGAGATCCTCCTTCTCCTACCGTGGTGCCCTCCTCCAAAAGGATGCCCTGTGCCGTGAAGAATCGCAAACTTGGCGAGGACGCGGCTGTTTCCGTCTGCTCCGCGCTTGTGTTCGTCCTACTGCTGTTGTATGTACCAGATCGGCGGAAGAACGCGGCCCGGAGCTCCTCACCTCCATCATCTTGTCTCGCGGGCACCACGAGAGTCGTCGTGGTGTTGGTCCCAAACAAATGCCCCGCATTATTTTCCTTGAAGGCTAAATCATTGACTATTTCACCCGCGTGCACCATAGACTTTATCTTTTTGCACCAGTAGTGGTAAAGAAAATCCTCCTCTGTTTCATCTTGTCCCTCAGACATTATGTCCTCGAAAGCCGCTGCTTCCGTTGCGTCGCCATCTTGAGATTCAAAGCCTGCCAATGTGATTCTCTTCAGAGTGTCTTTCCCTGCTTCCCCGCCTTTGTGTAAAAACTGGCTCCGGACCATGTTGCACAGCATGCGGTGCACGATTCCGTCTTTTTGCACTGCAGCGGAGACTTCTTCTCGTCGGCCACCACTGGAGCTAGTAGTGCGAATGAGTTTATTTTCGACGCCTTCACTAACTGTAGCTGTTGCTGTGACGACGTGCGGGTCTTCAGGTTGACGAAAATGCTCGGCGTCGACGTTGTGAGCTTCCCAGCTAGAAGCTTCCCCCTTGTCGAAAGCTTCTGGTCCGCGACGAGAAATCAAAGAACTGTCTGAATCCATTTGTTCTTCGTCCTCCTGATCGCTTTGTTCTTCGTCCTGGTCGTCTGGAGCGTCATCTCCATGTTCGCCTTCACCGTCTTCGAGGACCCCGTCCTCCTCGGATGAAGTCGCACCTTCGCCGTCGTCAACTTCCCACGGATCGTTTCGATGATTTTTGTCGACACTATATCCCGTGTAAATGAAAACAAACCCTCATCACACATGACTCCAAAGCAGTTTCTCGCGAGAAGCTTGTGCAAGCAAGCAAAGGTCTGACGTCTCCCCCGACCCATACAGGCTCTTTCTTTTCCGTGTTTCACTGTTGGCTTCTTGTCATTGCATCATCCATGGACACGAGGCTTGGCTGAAGCAGCAACTCGGCTCTGCATTACATATTGTTCTCGATAACGCCACTTCATCAAGAGAAGATTCTTTTATGTAGATGCTGTAAATGGAAATTCAAACCTCCTCCGAACCTGAAATTTTCTTCCGCTGATCGTGCTTAGGGGGCGCGTTTTATACACAGGGATAAACTAGACACCTTGTCTGATGTGCTGCTGTACCTGCTTCCATCACGCGGCTGAGTGCTTGCTGTTCTTCCGATGCTCTTAGCCATAGCGAAAAAATTGACATTCGTCGAAGAACGAAAGTTGCAACGACCCAGCAGCGTGCTGCCGTTGTTCATTTCCCAGGAAGCAGGAAGTTCTGCCGTCCTATTTCGCCAATGCTGCTGGTGAACGTGAAAACCACAAAGAAAAAAGAGCAGCAATGGAGCTATGATGATCCGTAGCAAGCCCGGGCATGTCGCGTTAAAAACGCCGAATTGCCATCCTCGCTTGTGCAAGAACTTCCGCCGTTCATTTTTACGAGCCGCGCCCGGGACCCACGAGATGAATACGTCGTTTCCGACCGTCGTCCTGAAAATAGCACAACAGCGTCGTACAACGCTCGGTCGCGCAAAAGACGCAACCAAGAGCGCAAACATGCTCATGCACCTGCAAACGACCGGACTGGTTTGTAGATCGCCGCACACAGGAAGGTCTTCATCGTGGTTCCTCGCTCCATCCGGTCGGCTCCATCCGGTCGGCCAGAGATTCTGCAAGAATCGATCTCCTCGAAGCCACATGCTCATCGCTCGTAGGCAGGTGTTGGATACTAGTACTACATTCTGGCCAAATAAACCACGATAAGCGTAATTGATTTCGGATGCAGCCTGCAAGTTGCGTGGATATAATTTCCTCCGCACGATTTTCCCCCTCTCTCCGCAAGGCGGCACTTCAATTTACGGGCGTGGTTGCGCGGAACGTTTATTCTCTTTCGAAACACACGACCAAAAGAACCGAGTTGGGTCAACACTACGCAAAATCCCGCATTTTTTCTCTTTGCTTTTCCAAAACGGAAGAAGAACCTCCACAGAGCGTCAGCAAATATTTATGAAAGATCTACGCGCAATGATCTTGTCAGCGGCGAACACGCGGATTTGTTTCAACAAAAAAAAGAATTGCCAGGCGTGTATTTGTTTTGGCGACTTGCGCCGCAGCTCAGTTAAACATTGCGTGCAACAGATCCGGTTCAGTTTCAGCCCTTTGCATCGAGATTGCCAGCGAGATGCTTCGAACAAACACTTTCCATTCAATAACGATATGCGATGTGGTTCTCAATACACTCGGGGGTCACTCGTGTATCGTAAAAACTTTCAGTTCCCCCCATTTAAAGTTGAATGGAAAGTAAATCTTAACCTAAGTGATTGGTATGATATAAAAGTAAAAACTCATCCAGAGCTATGTTTATCGTGGCTTCAAGCTAAATTTTTCGCAAAAGATTTAAAGACATCCTATCTTCAAACCCATGCTGCATCCCACAGCATGACGCACTACATCTTATAATGCGATTTTTCTAGTGGTTTTGGCATCCTACCAAAATAACGAGCCTGACCATCCTAGCCAGGGTGGTAAGCATCCTACTTACCAAAATTTTTCTTTTGTTTCTACTGTGGAGCGACCTGAAATAATATTTATCATGATAAAACGCTATGTCTGAGTGAGGTTGCATGCTTTTTTGCTTGCTCGAAGCCATTACTTTCACTTACTTCCTTCGATAGGTCCAGGACTGAGTCTTAGTTTTACTGTTGCTTACTTTGAAAAAACTGAGCCTTCTGCGACTTTACCTACGTGTTCAAACTTTGTAAACTTGGTCAAAAGTAGCTTTTTCTGACAAGAAAACTCATTGCCTTTTTGAACTCATACTCAAAGGATTTTCTACGGATACATCTGTTTTTTATCAACCACTTAACCTGCAAAACCTGACACCAAACAAACATCACAAATTGTTGTTCTTGTTCCACCTTTTTCAAAACTCCCAAAACACGATCCTTCGCCTTTGCCCCAGAGCCCAAAAACTCCGAAACACCGTGGCGCGAGCTATCGGTGATGAACACACGAAATGCTCACAGCCCCGCTCAGAGCAATGGAAACTGGCGTGGGATGTGGAAAACATCCAGCAACACAAAGTCGGCTACTTGTCCAGGTCGGTGCTCAGCTCCCGGCGCATCCCAAGCATCCCCCCGGTACTCTTCACGTCGTCGTGTCGGTACCAGACCAAACTCCCGCCCATGAAGTTCCTAAACTGGTGCATCTTGTCACTACTGGCCGCAAAATATTTGGTAAGACAGTCAGCCACCATGACGCGGTCTGATATGTGAACTAAACAGCGAGGAAATTCACTGAGAAGTCTCCGACTGCGCAAGAGCGTCCGGCACAGCCAGACGTTGGTCTCCGACGGGCAAGTGCGAGAGAGTAGTCGCTGAATAGTGCCGGTATTGTCCACCAGGTCGTACGTTTCCCAGTGCTCTGGTAGTTTCAAACCATTGTGCTCAACTATTTTCTTGCTCCTCTGCATGACAGATTCTTCCCCGGCATCCTTGGCCTCCGACTGCTCTTTGGTTGGTGGTCGTAGTATTTGCGTCCACTTTTCACGCACTACTTCTGTCCTGTGCATGCCTTTTTGGTGGGCTTCGGCTTCATTCCCGAAGGAGCTGCCGCACGGTGCCACACCCGTCTGCAGCATGTAATCCACCACCGACATAGGCAACTCCTCCTTGGTGTCCATGACCTCATTAATTTTCTTCTGCGAGGCCACGCAGAGGTCGACCAGATCGACCCCCAGTGGGCCCCGAAAAAAAAAATATATGATGTTCTTGAAAAGTTTTTTTTTCGAAGAAAAAAAAAATCAGAGCCCGGCCAATATTTGACGAAACCAAAACAAACAGAGGCCCCAAGGATCGCGCCACTGAACGGAGAAGCTGGGAAACAATGTCAGACCAAGGAAGGAGAAGAAAAGCACCACAACCAGGACAACAACCCCAAGACCTGGCCGCGCAGAGCTCGCTACCAAGAGAAAGCAGGCCCCACCCCACCCTGTGGAAGGGAAGACTCCCGAGGAAGACAACAAAAAGGCGAACACACGGAAACACAATCTCGCCAGGACACACAACAAACACCACGTCGCCCTGCCTCATCCACAACACCACAGCCACAGGTTGACTCGGAATCAACCTGCCGCTTTCGTGGTGCAAAAAAACTCAGTTTTTGGTGCAAAAAAAATCAGAAAAAAGTCAGCTTGTCCGACCTTTTGTCGTCCAGAAATAGGTCGCTTTTGCAAACATAGGGGAAATCCCTTTGATTTTTTGCACGCGCCTACTTTTCTGAGTTTTTTCTGATTTTTTTTTAATTTTTTTCCGTGCATTTTGCAAATTTTTGCCGTGCATTTTGCACCGCAAGCTGCCGTCGGTCTGCGTTAGACTGTCGGCAGCTTGTGTTGCAAGGCTTCCAAGCCAATGGCCCCGCTTGCCCCGACCATGCCCTCCATCGCAGGGCGTCTGCGGGACGACACCTCTTCCCCATATGTAGCTCTTCGCCTCATGTGGTGCGTGCCACTGACACACACCACACGAGACCACAGGTGGCGCATCTGACTGCCCCGTTAGAGAAAACCCGGGCGCCCAACCTTGCCTAGAGACATCGGCACTGGGCGGCTGCCTCATACAAAAAGGCCGCGGGACACGGGCGGACCCAAAACACCACCCCAGTGGGCCCGCTAGAAAAATTTGAAAAAAATAAAAGCCAAGGACGTCAATTTTTTCAATGAAAGCCATAGATTTTTTATTTTTTCGGCTACTGGGGGTCGATCTGGTTGACAGAGGATGCACGCGCTCAGCGGCAGCATGGCCAGCTCATTGAGTTCCTGGAACTGCGGGTGCTGGTTATCGATGAGCTCGACGACGCCCTTATTTTTCGTTTTCGGTTTTCCGGTGACGTCTTTTGCTGGTTTATTTTGAAAACTACTGTCGGCAAAAGCCAAGAAAGCCAAGTCGTCTCCCAAACCGTAGGACAACTTGACTCCTTGCTCCGGTGCATACTGCAGGTGCGAAATCAACATGTTGACTTTCAAAGCGTTTTCGACCGTGCGGTTGCTATCATTTCCCCAACTGAGCACGCGCAGCAAGTCCATGCCGTCGATGCGCACCCACTCCACAGAGAAACTGCACGAACCCTTGATGGACTTGCACTGACTCACCTCGTCCTCGTCCAACAAGCGATCCAGGTCCACCTTGCTTCCTTCCAGTTCCTCCCGCGGCACAAAAAATTTTAGTTCCCGCACCTTGTCCTTCATGTTGATGTAGATGAGTTTCTCTTTTTCATTGTGGAGCATGTTCTTCCCGGTAAACATCTGGCACTCCATCTGCAGGCTGGTGTAGGTGTCGAGCTTAAAACAGGACTTGATCAGCTGCGTGAGATGTTCCAGAAAGAGTTTGGCAACCCATATTGAAAAATCATCAATATGCTCTCCCATGACACCTTGGAGAACATCTTTCTGAAAAAGTCTGTAGATCACCCTGCTCGTTGCTGGAGTTGTTAAGTCCCGTTCTTCGAATTTTTTGCAGACCGTGTAGAAGAACTTGAAACTGGCTTCAAGCAGGCCATACTGAGGAACATTCAAAATCAGGGCGCTCGACTCCGTGACTCTCTTTCCAGTACGTTCACCCACCCTGCTCATCGCTTTCCGCAGCGCATTGGCCACTCGTGGTCCTGGTGGGATGTTGATTTTGATTCTTGGTCTTTCCGCCTTTTTGTACTGGAAGCCCTGGCTGAAAGCGCGGGGCAAGTCCAGGATGAGACATTGCGCCTGTTTGATGAACGCCGCACTCAAACACAGCAGCTTCAGCTCGAGATTTGAGAGAGTAGGGCTGCTGTTCTCACTCACCTCCATGCCGGATTCCAAATCGTGGCGCTGCTGCGCACCGTTTGGCGCCCACCTTGATTTGACCTCACAGAACACTAGAGAAATGTCCTTGAGATCGACTAGAAATCTTGAACCGTAAACGCGTTCCCCTGAATGCAGTACTCCTGCTTGTGCATCACTGGCCTCCTCCGGTGTGGCCACAAAAGCGCACGGCTCTCCGGACGAAGTAAGCGCTTCCAACAAACCGGTCATCTCTTTTTCAAAAGCGGCAGACAAAAATTCATCCCCATCCATCTCGTCTGTTAGGTGGGGAGGTTTTAAGTCAGGGACTTTCGAACCCATCCTTAGTACTTTGCGCATACCGGCGGTAAATCCCTCTCGGGTCTTGTGCAGCTTTCTTTCGGCCGGGTTTTCGGGATCGACAGGCTCGGCAGCAAGAAATTCCCATCTTACCACCCCTACAAAATCCTTGTCCTTCATCCGGTCCCGCTTGGTACTGAAAACGTACTGCCCTCCAGGTCCAGCGAAAATCCCAACACCAAAAACTGTTCTGCCCTCGTGTGGTGATCTCCCCAGGTCTAGACGTTGTCCAGCGCTATCCCATGAAAAAGCGGCGTGCTCGAGAAACCACCGGCGGTTTTCGTGGATCATGCTTATCAAGTGCTCCCAGCGCGGATCGGTGACTAGTGCTGCAGACAGACCGTGATAGTTTTCTACTACCCAGCTTGCTTCCGATGAAGGCATGTCCAACGGCGGTAGCAGCAAATCCACGGTAGCCTTCCACAGCCTGTACCTTTTGTACTTTTCTTTTTCTGGAGCACTTCCGCTTTCTGCAGCAGTCAGAGTCAGAAGATGTCGCCCATCCCTCTCCTCTTGCGTGACACTTTCATCTTCCCACTGTTGGAATGGAGCTTCCAGGCCCATCATGTGCACTCTGGCAGCAGCAATGCGCAACACCTCCGCGAAGTCATCTATCAAAGGCAACATCCTTCACCTGTAGTTCGTTGTTGACCTCCTGCTTCACATCTTCACCCTGCTGCTCGCTTACTCCACAAATTCGCTGGCAGTTGTTGATCACCACATCTTCCTGCTCTGGTTCAAAACCCAGATATTCGTCGAAATAGTACGCGCACTCCTCCGCTGCGGTGCTGGTAACTGCACTTGCGCAAATCAGTCTGTCAACCTCCGTTCCCATCAGCTCGCCATCAATTTGTTGCTGCTCTTCGCTCTCGCTGACTTCCAAATCCAAAGAGGGATCTTTGCTGGGTTCGTACTCCTTCCAGTCGGCATCATCTTCAAACCGCACCTGCTCCGGTCTCTCCTCCTTGACAATATCTTCCTCGTCAAAAACCTTTTCGCCATCTCGTGGCGGGAGCAAGTACGGACTCAGCGCGTCCTGCTTTTTGAGCGAAGGTCGATGGATTCTTGGCCACACCCATCCATCCGATTCATACAGGAATCTGTCGGACACGTCATGGCAGAAACATCCTTCGAAAAAAGAGCACCTGGTAAATTCAGCAACAGCTGACTTTGGATGCACTGCTCTTTCCGCCCCGCAGTCGACGCATCGCTGGAAGACAAACTTACCGCGGACGCGTACCAGCTGCTTGTCCGCCTGGATCTTCTGAAGGCACTCCCGCAGGTAAGGGAGGTCACACTTGTACAATTCGATCGTCTCAGGGAAGTCACAAAGATACTCGGAATCAAAAGCAGGGAATAAATTTCCTCTGTGCACTTCCTGCGAACCATCCCGCTGTCCTGGCTTGCGCACCAGCGCCGTGAAACGGTTTTTCCACTCTAGGAAAATTGCAGGATTGGTCAGTCCCGACTTGTCAACGTACTCCACGGGTTGACTGCGTCTGTACTTGTGCGTGCCTCTGTGCTTCATGGTCTGGCTCTTGTATCTCCTCACTCGCTGTCGGTAGGCCGGATCTTGCACTGTTTGGCTCAGGATTTCCTTTGACCTTTCGAACTGCGCTGCAGTGATCTTCTCCTGGTCCATGAACATTTCCGGCGTCCACTCCAGAAGGTAGTCTCCCTCGGGGTTTGAAGGGAAACCCATGCCCCAGTCGTCCGTGGATTCACCGGTAGCCATGCGCATCCGCTCGCTGATGGCTGCATGCGCCATTTCGCCTCGAGAAGTCACCGGCACATTTCTCAAAAGTGGGCCCCTTTCCATCCGGAACATTGTGCTCTTCCAGGTGTGGCGCCGCTTTTCTTTCCTGGAAACCGCTCGTGGCGTGTTCCGCATTGACAGCGCTAATCGTCTTCCCGAGCTAAGGCAGTATTTTGCCACAGCCATCGCAATGCTTTCGGGTCCCGGATCGGCCACCGTCAGTGCCCTCAGCCTATTAAATTGCTGAAGCATGGACAAGAGCCCCATAATATCATCGCGCGTGGGATGTCCAGGCAGCCACTCGCCGTCGAGTTTCAGCTTGTTCTTTTCTCCAAGGCATCGACAGAAAGAGTGGCTCAAGACCATCAGCAAGCACGGCACCCACACAAAGGCAATCTGCAAAATCGGCGGTCCTAATGACGTGCAGTCCATGAAACCAATTGCACTGGGGTCCTCTGCGCTCCACGTACCGCGCGCCAGTGGTCCCGGTTGCGAATGCGACCGGTAAGCGCGTAGGTTGGAGTACCGCATCGCCTCCAGAGCCTTCATCAGCTCGTCGTCCGTGCAATCTTTGAACACCTGCTTGGCAATACCGAGCCACTCCTTTTCTGGTTTTGAAAAGCGGTGCTGCGGTTCATGTCCTTGAGCGTCGTCGACAGCCTGACTTCCCGGGGCGTCATGTCGATGCGCGGGTCGTTCAAGTTTGTAAAGTTGTGCAGGTCCAGAGACAGCTGAATTTCTGTAGTTGCAGTTACTCCCCATGGTCGAACTACGCCGGCAATATCAGCCCGCTGTTGACTGGACCAGAGAATCCTCTTGATGGAGAAGTGCTGCACCTTTTTATTTTGAGTATAGCCTTCTTTCTCCTGAAGCGCTTCGCCGACAGCAACAGCTGACTTTGCACCATCTCCTGATATCGTAACGCACTTGGGCTTCTGGCTGGACATTGCTTTTTTCGCTTCCTGAGTCAGCTTTCTCACAGACGGCAAATGTTGGATCCTTGCGACTACCTCCGGCGCAAAACCGGCATAGCGAACTCCAGTTTCCTGCTCCAATTTCTCTATCTCGCGGCCCACTTCCATGCCCACCTCCAGTACTACACTGCCCGGCCCGGAGTGAAAGCGGCTTGGTGGCGCCCAACCCCGGCGCACCGTGCAAATTCTCCACATGTGCACTGATGTCGGTGCTCGCATCAGGTTTTCATACCGGCGCTTGTGCACTTGCGAGATGGTCTCATTGGACACAACTGGTATCTTCGTAGCAGGGGTATCAGGCGAACGGGGCCGCACCACCTAAGGCGCTAAATTGGGCGCAAAAATTGCGCAATTTTGAAAATCGGCAGGCCGCGCGAGGCTCTGTATGTGGAGGCGCCGGAACGGCGCCCAGGCCCCGGCTGCATACCCTACACAAAAACCCGCGGCGGCGCGCCAAAGGAACGAAGGGGAGGCCACACCGAGGCCGCCAAACATGGGCCCACACCACGGCCCCCCTTTCAAGGTGGCGCGCTCCGTTCATCATACACCTCAGCCAACTCGGGCAATTTTTGTTCAATTTTGTGTTCAATTTGTAGCCAATTCCGTGTGCAATTTTTGTTCAATTTGGTGCGCAATTCCGCCCCGGACCGGGGAAATTACCAAAAAAAATTTCTCTAATTGCGTCTCTAATTCGATGTGCAATTTTTTGCG